ACATCAGAATGATAGTGCCATTTTTATCAATCAATCCAGTGAATTTCTTGGTGTTCTCTTCTTCGATTAATAACGACTAAAATTCCCAAGTCTTCGATTCCATCAAAGCAGCAATCTGTATATACTCAAATTTATATGCGAAAATCAAATGTAAAAAAAGGGTTATTCAGAGCCCTTTTCAAAGGACGTGTGTAATGCCCAATAATAAATGGGACTGCATATCACCAAAACTTTATTGAATAACCACGGCAGAAAATAAATATCAAATTACAATGACATATCACCGGTCGAGTACCAAGTCAATTTGAATTCTATTATAGGCATAGTATTGACCCTATGTATGTAAAGTTCGATTCCCGTCATCAAATTGGTCGCGTACAAAGAAGGCTATATAGAATGTAGGCTTTCTCGCTGTCGCGAATCATAAAGTGGTCTATTTTGTGAAATGTAACATACTATCAGTATGAAAGGGTTAAATACATATGATCCATAGTTACACAATTCACATTCGCTACACAACTCCGCAGCGACAGTAAAAAAAATAGCTTGGTATTTTTAAATTTTGGAGTCTGGCCGCCGAGAGATTAAATTCTAAAAACAAAATAACACGAATTAATAAAAGACATTGACATGATATAGTGAATAATGGCTTAGTTAAACGAGAGAATCTACGTCGGTTTACGAGAAAAATAAAATTCGAGTATTTTTTTAAAGGGGTCTTTGTGTTGCTTTGAAATGCTTAACATTTTGAAAATGAAATTGTAACGAAATAGTAAAATAAAATGGCGACGACAACTAAAGGAAGGGACACAGAGGAATGTAAAACGGCTTTGATGTTTAAAGGAAGGAACTGAGAATAAATAAAATGGCGGATTTAATACTTGAGAATTACATTGAATTTGGTTTGGTGTTTAAGATTGTAAAATTGATGTTAGAGATTACTTTGAAGCAAAATAATAAGTTAGAATAATCCTGTAAATTGAATAATGAGTGATTTGACGGATTATTGAACCATTGAAGTTTACCGTGAATCAAATTCTGTATGAAGTAAAAGAACTCATAATATCTAAGAACAGAACAATACAATCATTAATCAATAACAAGTAGTTACAAGTAAATATACAAAAAAGTAAGCTCACACTACACGATTTTTTATTTGCCTGGTCTTATAATATTTGAATTTTTTCATATATTAAGGTTTTTTCTCACGTTTTATAATGGATAATAATAAGAGGAAAGAAATAAAATACAGGACGATTAATAACGAGGCGATACATTGCGAGATACACACTATATACAATTCGCAACGGCCGTCCGAATCGAGTCGCCTTGATCGAGTCGAGTTGCATGATAAGCGTGAATCGTTGCTATGACCTTGCTACGGGTTTACGTCGGGTTTACCAACCAGAGAAAAGTTTGATTTACTGCCGCATAGGGTGGGGATAAATTGAAGGGTTTGTTGAGTGGCGTAGCAAGACTCTCGTGCCAACAAACCCCCCCCCCCCCCCCCCGCAAAAATATTTTGTGGAAATGACCATAAAAACTCTCGGACATAAGCTAAAACAACGCTTTTTTTTATTGTGTGGGCCCTCCCGCGACCGCGGGGGTTGCGGGGGTGGATGCTACGCCACTGGGTTTGTTACAAGTCAAACTTTTGAGTCAAGCTGAGCTTGGGTGCTCGCTTCTGAGAAGTTACTAGTAATTTCCATTTATTCATCGTCAATTTCGACATCGGATAATTCGTGTATTTCTTAGTATATATATATAAAAGGGACAAATAACATTATAATCCATAGTTACACAATGTACATTCGCTAAACAAGGAGAAAATTGGCCCTATGTAAGTAAAGTTCGATTCCCGCGCTATTGAATTGACACTCGTTACGAAATGGGACTCCAATCTTGATTCCTTCAGACGTTAATAAGCACACAATATATGGAATCCCAATTGTTATATTGAAAAATGCACAATTCAATCCGACTACAGATAAATTGAAAAACACTTAACTTTTAACGCAGTAAAATCAGAATAAATCAAAAGCACAATATATTTCAGCTCTCTCTCGGCGTGGCAGGAAACGATAGGTCATCAAATTGGTCGCTTACAAAGAAGGCTATATAGAATGTAGGCTTTCTCCCTGTCGCGAATCATAAATTGGCCTATTTTGTGAAATGTAACATACTATCAGTATGAAAGGGTTAAATACATATGATCCATTTACACAATGCACATTCGCTACACTATTTAGGCTACAAGTCGAGTTCCAATTGTTTCTAGACATTATAGATTCCATAAATAATGGTAGAATGGATGGGTAAATTGTCAATCCTGAATGTGCATAATGCGCTGCTCCTAATACGCCATGCATTGTGCCCAATGCGCTGCTCTTAATGCGACCTCACTGTGCCCAATGCGCTGCTCCTAATGCGATCTCGCATTGTGCGCAATGCGCTGCTCCTAATGCGGCCTCACTGTGCCCAATGCGCTGCTCCTAATGCGGCCTCACTGTGCGTAATGCGCTGCGCGCAATGAGACTTTTAGGCTACCAACCCCTCTCACAGATACCGGTAGACTATGGTGAAACTGCAGCAAAACGCTGGGAACTGGAGTGGGCGTTAACGAATCAAGTTGCCCCAATGGAGCGTATCGCGTCAGACACTCCTCATTGGTCAAGGCTTTAGTTGCGCATCATGGTATATTAGTCGTTGGGTATAATCATGCGCAAACAGGAGTTCAACGTACACAAAATCTAATAATTTTTATCATCAAGTCATATTTACCTTTATTAGCCATAGCCATTGATTATATAAGAACTACAGCTCGTGAGTGAGTAGGATACGACCAACATATACCGGTAGACTATGGTGAAACTGCAGCAAAACGCTGGGAACTGGAGTGGGCGTTAACGAATCAAGTTGCCCCAATGGAGCGTATCGCGTCAGACACTCCTCAGTTATATATGTAACTCCTGGCAACATCTCCTCTCAAATTTCATTCTAATATCAAAATCGACCGGAAAATAAGAGGGTTTTGACTCCGGGGCTGATGAAAAAAAAAGCTACCAGTTTAAGACCAAGGTCAACTACTTATTCCAATGTAACATACTTAAAAAGCCATGAACGTGTAAATATTCAATATCATCACTTTCATAACACTATCCCTCATTCCAATTTGATAATATCCGACCAGCATTAATATTACTTTCCAGATTTCAAATTTTAGTCACGACGGAAGTTAGGCGACGCAGGAAATCTTCACGACTTCACCCGGGGTCTCAAAACTCAGTTTGGTAAGCATTGGGTTACGCCATTCGTGAGACCCCTCTTCAACGATGAGATCAAACGATTCGTCCTGAATTCATTATGGCACCATAATAAATGCCTTTCACGGCTATGTAAAGTTTATTATGATGTCATGCATCTTTTTTAAACTACGTGAAATGCGAAATTTTAGTTACAGCCTGCACGCGAGAAACGTATGTTAATCACTAAATAGATTGGATAGTAAGTTGAATATAAAAACGCTTTAGGAAACTCGAGGATTCATTAAAACGTCAAACCAGATGTCATAATATTCGTTTCCAGTCGCACAAGGTGGAGGCCACCGCTGATAAATAAAATTATAAATGTATCGGGTGTACGATTAAAAAAAATCCGAAATGTTTAATAAATAGTAAAAATAGATATTAATTCTTATATTCGTTGTTCTTTAGATAAATTAGTATAGCTATATATATACAGATATATCGACATTTTATTATCATTTTCCCAACGCATTATGCATCAGCTGATTTTCCATCGATGCCTCTTTTTAGACTCTCGCATCGGTCAATTGAAATCTGAAATCTGGCAACGGCGATCGGTGCTTTCAAAAACGAGAGAGATGTCTGCTGAGTAGGGCTTGGAATTTCAGGGAAAACATTTTAACCGTTAACCGGGTAACATTAACCGGTTAACCGCAGCTTGGCGTTTCACATAATAGTTTATAATTTTAGCTTGTTACCGTACGTCACAATGGTTACAAAACAATTTCGCATGTCCTTATCCCGGTATCGCTCAAAATTATTCACGAATCGAGATAGTTTCGTGATCGCTCTGCTGCAAGAGATATGTGGCGTGAGTAGGACATATGGAAGTATTTCAGTGCAACCCGATTCCGTTATTAAATGTCATGTATGTGACAAATTTTAAGTGTTTAACTGATAGTCTATACGATTTTATTTCAAAATCGTGAACAATATATTTCGACCGAAAAATGATTCATAATTAGTTATTGTCAAATTTTCATAATCAACAATCTTGGTACTCCAATTAGACTATTATTCCCATTTATTAGGTCCTCACCAATACAGTTAGCGATGAGATAAATTTGCGATGACGTAATCATTTTTGAAAGAATTGTACAATATAAAGATGATTAATACCGGTACCTGAGATGTCAGTTGACGGTTAAAATAAATCGTAACCGTTAACCATCTAAAATTGGTTAACCATTCCCAGCCCTACTGCTGAAAGATGTCTGCTAGGGTGGCTCAACGGGCTAAGCGCTAGGAATACGCTCGCCACCGAATCTCTAATTACTCTGCGTGGGTTCGCAGGTTCCAATCCCATGCAGGGATGGTTATGTGCGAGAGGATTGCTGGACTCCTCGCCGTCGTTGGGTGGTTCACGTAACCGCTGGTCGGTAACGTTATAATTTACTTCTCAAATAGCCTACACTGTTTCGGGTAGTCTAGACCAGGGCTACTCAACTGGCGGTCCGAATACGGACCTTTCGACCATGAAATTAGGACCGCTTTGCTTGTTTATTTTGGCAGCCTAAGCATCGTTTTATAGTTTTAGATGATTTTGATACAATTTAAATACACAGCTATACAGCTTATCGTACTGGTACCGATGTGCGATATTTTTGTGTCCATATTTGCGAGCCATTCATTGCTCTTGTATTTAATTTAATATTGCATTTGAAGTTTCGTTTATTTGATGAAATAAATTTTCTGTAATATCCGGACCCCAGTAATTTTGAAGTTTTGTAAACGGACCTTTGGTGAAAATAGTTGAGTAGCCCTGGTCTAGACTATAAAAATCAAATAATCTGTTCTGTAGTGCAACACATAAAATGCCTAAAAAGAAACAAGCTCCGAAAAATGCATTCAGTTTCTATTTGGATGACATGATTCCTGAATTACGCCAAAAAGGAATCAACATCCGGGGAAAACATGAAGCAGTACCTCATGTTCATCGGATGTGGAAAGAATTGACTCAAGCAGAAAAATCTTCCTATGAAGAAAGAGCTCGGCAGTGGAAAATAACAAAGTCTGAGAGACCTTTCAGACCTGGACGCCTTGATTGTACAGGTAAACTGAATTATTCTAGCAGTATGAAAGTGTGTCTGTGTGTGGTGTTGTATCTAACTACCAGAAAAGTAAGCAACTATGTTTTGCCTCCTTCTGTTCTTTAACTGTTTAACAGGATCTCAAGAAAAAATATTTCTATATTCAAATAGCCCTGCAGACTGTAGGGCCAATTTCTTCTAGCATAACCTGACAACAGTGTATAGTCAGTTTACAGTTTATGGCTCACAGGCCACTGATATCTTGACAAACGGTTTTGTACTAGCCTACCCATAAATTTTTTTCAAACATTGCAAACAATCTCTCATTGCTTACAGCATAAATTTGAATTGAGTAAAATTAAAATAACAATGAATGCAATAGCCCAATCAGCCTAATTAGTCCGGCAGATAAGGGGCCCTTTTTGGCCCAAGTTTGATTTCAGACATAAAGTTTTTTTTATTTGTGATTATTCATCTTGGGGCCATTGCCCATCATTTCTACATGGGTGTGGAGTTTGCAGCCTTGAGCAATTTTTTTTACGGCTCGATATTTGTATTAGTGTTTTTTGTCAAACCTGTGCATCATAATGACGCACAACCTGAACCATAACCTGTTACAATACTATGTTCAGGTTGTGCGCAATCTTGGTGCACAAACTACGCAAGCACCAAATTTACTAGGAAATAAAATCAATAACTTTTTAGATATTTGTTGAGCCCAGCTTTGGGTCGCGACCCATATACAGTATATGGAAATACTGTCGAAACATACGCGTAAAATAAAGAGTACTATTTTAAAATACCCGTTTTTGTTGCAATTAACAATACAAGCCTGCTAATGCAGTCGCCAGTGGTTCAAGTGGATATACACCCGGTGGAGAACAGTCAATTATTTGTTAGCGAGAATTGTTATGCAGCGGGATGATCACGACGACGCTGTGAAAGATAATGATATCACGAGAACAAGAATGAGAAAATTGCTACATTTTATAGTATATCCCTGGGAAAGAATGTAGTTCATTCTTATGTTCCATGCCAATGCTTTTCAAACTACCAAAGACTCTCAACACTTTTGCTTCTTCTCTTCTATAAAAATACATTGTTATTATATATTCGCATTTCCATCTGTTTGTTCGTGCTCCCAGATAACGATCAGCGGCCTCCAAGGAGGACGGGGTCCCCTTTTGAGAAACCTTGTCATAAACTAAAAGAGGCGACCGTGCTTCTCTTGCCTGTTGTCATGCTGTCCCTGGAATTCAGCTACAACAAAAATTTCACGAAAACGGATTTTTAACTTTTATGATTTCATTAATATTCTCAACAATGAATGATATACGGGTGGTAAAATGCCAAGTTATTTCAACAACATGATCATGTTTTGCAATTTACAACCAATATTTTGTATGTAACTTTGTTTGACAGAGCCCCAAGAGCTCTAACTACAAATATCAAAAATGTGAGCCGAAACATTCACACTACAACATTGTCAAATGTGCTGTATTTACGATAGATAACAGGTTTACCAAAAAGAATTACATGAAAAATGGTAAAATAAAGATCAATTCAGCAATATCTACTTGGTGATATGCATCTGTTGATGATTTTATGTGTTTGTTTCGGAAGTTTAATAACAGAATTAATTAATTGTGGTTGTTGTTGTTGGGAATGTTTTGAAAAAAGGTTGCATGGATAAAATTTTTCACAAAATTTGATAGTTTTCACAAGGTTTGATAGTAGTAGAGAAGTAGAAAAAATACTTTTTTTTCATTTGATAATCACGCCACAGAACTTCCCCGATATAAGTATACGCAGCATTTGCGAGAGGCAGAAATGCCAAGATGGGATTTCATCGCATTGCAAACCAATATTTGCAATTCTTATATATATTCGCGCATTCCCATCTGAACAGCGTGGAAAAGATTATACCCATCTACACACTTTAAGAACTATGTCAGATGAGCGTCATATAATCGAATATCAGTAAAGGAATAGTGCAATGGGAAAGACATATAAGGCGGAACTTTCAGTAGTATGCAATCAAATAATCTTATTGTAGAATATATATTTAAAAACATTTCGTCACGCCAACTGCAGTCCGAAACTTTTCGTCTCTGGCTGAGCTTAGATACCAATTGGCACTCATGTAGACAGGTAGGACTGTGAGAGGCACGCGATGGAGCAGAGTACTAAGAGTATCCATCCCCCAGCTGTCATTTGAGTGGGTACTGCAGTTTTTAAACCTAAAAAACCTATAGCTCAATAATCAAGTGGAATTTGATGCATGTGCGCAAAAATGTGCGCGTTACTACGTACAACCGAAACACGCAGGAAAATGTTTGTGATGTACTAGTATTCAAAGCGTTTGACTCAACTATGTTGGTATAACGGGTGCACATCTCGGTTTCGCATACGCATACCTTCTATCTCCACAAGGATATATTAATTTTGCCAAAGTCAATGCAGCACTGGAAGGTTGCGGTTCTTCCAAAAGAAAACACGATACACATCGTCAGATACCAGTAGATGGTTTTACATGGCCTTGTTCGGAGTGAAAGACGAGGTCAAATATTCCAATCCAATTCAACTAATAAAATATTTCCCAAGTCCCTAAGCTTAAACTAGGAAAACGAAATGCGCGCGGCAACGCAAATGTAGTTTGAAGAGCGCAATAGAAAGTGGCTAGATACTGTCGATGGATCTTGGCTTGTATTAGTGAAATAAACTACCATTTATTCTACTAAAATTGAATTTCTTACATTGTAAGAAGATTCAATGTTACTATGTATGCAAAACTAAACCATGTAGTTATGAAATAATTGTTTTTAACAAAAAGGGGCTCCTGAAGTATTCGTACCAAGATGGCGCACAACCTGAACATAGTATGTTTACCAGGTTAGGGTTCAGGATGTGCGTCATCTTGGACCGAATACTTTAAATCCACTTAAAAAAAATTGCTCAACATTATATACTCCACACCCACCTGGGTATCATTATATATGTCATATACATTATATCTAAACAATAAAAAAAACTTTATGTCCCAAAACAATGTTAAGGCCCGATTCTTCCGGACTAAATGGTGTCTATCTTTCAACAAAATAACTTCAGAGGTGCAATTGTCATTTCTGAAACTCTTACTCAAATAACATTATACTGAATCCTGTTGAGTTGTTGATGTAAAGTATTACTGATTTCCACATTATCTCTTTTTATATTCCGTAAGAAATAGGGAAGTGTTCATCGAATTACCAGTCAGTCAAAAAGGTTAAAGGCACCTTTACTAGATATGTCACTCTCTAAATCTCTTGAATCTATTTCATGAATGTTTTTACTTATTAATGTCTGAAATCCCCAATACTGATATTTTCAATAGTTTCACAATGAAATAGTCTCATTCGATTGACTGTAGGTTAAGCTTTGGTACATTACTAACATTACTATAGTTATTTAAATTATTAGGTTTTTTACATTACTTCCAAAGTGCTAACAAATTGACATGTGATAAATGTATTTCCATAATGACCTAGTAACAAAAGTTGGAGCTTCATTGGTTTAATAAGGTTTGTGAGTTGTAATTGAAGTTTAATTTCTGATGCAGTTGTTTTCAAATTGGCAGTGCTGCAGTACAACATCTAGCCCAGTGTTATTTAACTTAGTTCACAAAGTTTTATTTCTATTTTATGAGGTCAAAATAACGGAATGAAACTCCCCTCTATTGTGGTCTAGATCAGTGGTTCTCAAAGTTTTTTGTACCGTCGCACTCTTACAGTACTTGGGATTGGGACGAGTCCGGCTTTACAGAGATTCGACGAATCCGAGTAATAGGTCAAGGACTCGAATCGAATCTTCCGAGTCCGTGGCGTCACAATGAAAAAGCAGAAAAACCCGTTTTTGACCATGCTACAGCAACGTGCGCTCACAAACATACGTCGTACTCGTAGCTCATATTTTTTGCCTAATACTTCTGCAGATAGCTATTGAATCATTTCATAAATATATTTTCCCTATTTTTTGGCAGCCAAAATACAAACGTGAACTTGGATCAATTTCCAGCCCATCACCTTCTGGTAATTCTGGGCGGCTATTTAGCAATTCGTACATGTCAATATGAAAAATAAAAAGCTTCTGACTGCAATGCTTCCCCATAATTCCAGATACTTCTAGCTGTAAACTTACTATGTCGCGTGCGCAAATGGTAGAGAGATGCCACTCGTCAATACATTGAGGTACATCTGCTTGCAATTTAGTAGTTCATGTAAAAGTTCTAATATTTTACTTGCTTTCCATTTCCCTTTTTTTAGGGAAAAGATTGCACATAATAAACTTGATTTAGAAGAGATATTGATGAAATTACCCCTTGGGTTGATCCAGAGCATGTTTCATTTTTGGGTGAATCGAGAACTCAAAAAAATTGCGCCAACACATATTTCATTGTTCACATGTATACCAAAAAGGATAGTTAATTTGAAGGCAACTGGCGCAACATCATTGGTATAAGCGATCAATAGTTTTCAACATGCGTTATTATATCTAGATATCTGTCGACGTTTTCATTAAGAGTGCATATAATACATACGAGGAATATTGTTACAGATCTAACAACAAATTTTACCAGTTAGGGTTTGTACTGAGATTTATAGAGGTAAAAGTACTAACATATGCGCAAATTAGTAAAAACAGAATTGATTATAGACTCTGTAAAAATGACGTGGACTCGAAATCGAATCCGAGTCCAAAAAATGTGTAGATTCGACTCGAATCCGGACCCGAATCTCGGTCCATCCCTACTAGGTACATTATATGTCCCTCCCTCACCAATATAATTAAACATGAATTTACAAACAAATTTATTGCGAATAAAGAAGCAAGTAGACTAATCATAGTTTTTTAATGAGGCATATGAGCTTCGGCGAGTATTTTATTAATATTTGGAGACATTTTGGTCAGGCGCAATCTCAAATCCTGTTTGCTAATGAAAAGGTAATATTTTCGAATTTATAGTATTAGCGCCATGACTGAAAACACCTTTTCTACCATTAATAAGATGTTAGAGATTCAACGATTCTACTTCATCAAAAATGCCAGATTGCTCGCACCAAACTACCAGTGCAAGTCGATGAACTGATCTTGAAGTTCAACTTTTAGATCTGCAGGATTAGTAGATTATGGTCGAATTATCCAGCTTGGGATAGTATGGTTGATGAGATCCAGCAAATGTGCATATCATCCACTAGGTTATGTAAATGCAAAGAGTAGGCCTATCTTAAGTTATTCATCTTCGCCTTAATGCGAAATAGTGCTTTGCTTCCTATTAGCGTATTTTTGGGCTGATTACTTGGCCCGGCAAAAAAAGATTTTTTAGCACTGAAAATTTTTTTCACATTACCGCTCAACGAGTCAGGGCATACCCAGCCATGGAATTGGCTATTCTGCCCAACTAAGTCGTGATTTGGCATTAGGTAGCAGCAGCAATCATTCTGGACAACCCAACACATTAACTGGACGGATGCAATAACCTGTGAATATGGTGTGATGAATATGACACCATACTTCATGGGTTAACAGCTGTGTGTTCTAGTATGGTGTTCGTTAGCCATAAATTACTTTATCTCCTAGTTGCTGTTTTTTTTTAATTACCAATGTTGGGCATAAATAGTGAGGGAGTGCTTCTTTGCATGGGTCAGGTTATGATTTCCATCAAGTTTTTTTTTAAAAAGAATTACCTGTAAGAACAAATAACAGCTGGCAGTACAAAGTCGAATAACAGAAGCCGTGATTGGCAGACTGTTTGGCGATTTACAAAATGTGGTGCGAGGTGTAGAAATATAGATATAATTGACATGTTTTTTAATGGCTCAACACAGAGTGATTGATTGTCTGGTACAGTTATTTCATTTTAAATAAATGCACTGGACCTAAATTAATAAAGCTAAAGTGTTTGCAGTTCTGTAGGACATGTCTTCACATATTAAAGTAACTATATATTACCAGACTTTCAAGAGATTGTAGAGGCTGCTGTTCCAGATTAGGAAAATGTCCTGTAGTGTCACATCCCGTAGAGACTAGAGTCACATACAATGTGCTCAATATTGCCATGTATCTACAGTGTTACATTGAGTAACTTGAGTGGGTCCTTCAATTACTGCACCAGAAAATAGTATGGGCACCTACTGTACCAGCACAACAATTTACAACACAACACAATGAAACGTTATTGCATGGTGGACTTGCAGTCCTGTATTTTATATCTACTAACGGAGTCTTATGTGTAACTTTTGTGCAATTTTGTTTAAACCACATGAAGCGACTGCTTGGGTAATGATACAAAACATGTTGCTGGTAAAGTGGTAATGTAAAAATACATCGCAAATCACAACATTTCTAATATTGTTCTGTAGAGTCACTTTGAATAGCCCATTCTTTCACGTAATCTAGTCTTTTTCAAAGAATTTTTTCGAGAATATTTCAAATTATTGCCATAAGTAGTAAATACAATTAGTCAGTCTGTTGTGACAGATATAAAATGAGTAACCGAATCATTACGCCTCTCGAAGTCGACTTCTGTTGCCATGCTCTCCTTCCAGTGGAAGAAAGGACTTGTGCGACAAATACCTAGGTACTGTTCACACATAAACAAAACCTGTTAAGGGTGTGCAATTGTCCCACTGTCTGGATTTTTCGTCCCCCGAGAGGGGCGATATTGCCCACTTTGAGGATCATTGATTAGATTCCACATGATGACGAATCAAGGGCAACTCTAGAAATCAGACTACAGAGTAACACAATATCTTGCTCATATGAATGAATGGTTTTATTAACTTTGAATTCAGTTTTCCTTGGATCAGATTCAATGAAACATGATACAGTATTTGCAATGTATTTGGTGTTTGTTCTAAGAAATATCATCTATGATGAGAGTTATCATCTTTCAAATTTGAGGCAGTTGCTTCAAGTAGAATTGATAGTAAATGATTCTTCTATTGACCATTTGTACAGTATTGGCTTATTTTACTTGAAGGAACCCGCAACTATCAGTCAATTCATCAAAGGATCTAAGATCTGATCTAAGTCGTGTGTATGAACTGATAAAATATCACTAATGATTTGCAACCTTCAACTTATTTGGTTATAAACTGAAAATAAAATAATCATCATCACATCACATTAATTCCATCTTTTTTTTATTAAATCTTAATGAAAATGAAATAAATTTGTCACTTTTTGATTTCTTGTCATTAAAATTAGGCCCTGCTTATTACACCAGTAAACCTATTTTATCTCACCCACAGTGTAACAAATTCTCTAAGATTTGCCTCAATTAACGGGTACTCACTTGATGCTTTGTAAAACTAAAAAGGTTCTCACTATTTTAAACCTGTTAGCTTCTTATTTCTTAAATTCCGTCTTGCAAGCCTTGGTATGGTTATTCCCAAAACTCACATTTTGTCTTCTGCCTTGCAGGTAATCCTCTTGAGAATCGGATTGACATGGACAAAATGATATTAGATCAAAGGAAAGAACAGAAAAAACTATTGTTAGATAAATGGCAGTCAATCCCAAAAGACCAAGTTTTAGATGAACATGTTTACATCATCTCTTTTCAATCATTTTTTGAGTTCCCAAATGAGGAAGGATATCAACCATGCGAAGTTTCATGCGTTGATTACACTTTACGTTCTGGTATAAAACGAGAATGGCATGCTATGATTGATCCTGGACCCATAAAGAGGGGACTTGCTGCTGAAAGTAAAATTTTTAGTGAGCGTACTCATAACATACCAGTTTTTGGATTTGATCTTGCTCGTAATGATTATCTGAAGTTGTGGAGAGATTTATTAGAGTTCGTAAATCATGATAATTTGACGAGGATATATCCACCTTTATTTTCTAAATTGTCGGAACTGAAGAAAAACCTGTTTTGTTTGGATTATTTAGCACAGGCCGCAGGAGTATCAAATCGCCTTTCAAAGGTTTATCAGTGGGAAGGCTTGGCTTCAGCTTTGTACCAACATGCCGGCATTCAATCTCCTTCAATCAACATTATTGAGGACGGATCATCTACTACTATGTATGATTATGAAGCTAATACAAAGTGTGATTATCATGACGAAATTGAATGTGTTTACTGTTCTTTACTTACTGTGAAGAAGTGTTGTTTCTGGATGAGTGATGCTTTTTCTAAAATTTTCAATTATGAAATTACAGAACGCCACCTGCCAGTCCGACAAGCACCTGAGTATACTATCATTAATCCGGAGGATATACATGTTGACGGTGTGACAAAGCGGCGATTTATGGGTGCATCATCTGCTCAAAGATATGATTCTAATCTGCCACTTAATTTGCAAAATAATACACTAGCAGACATCAGTAGAATGAACTCTAGTAGTTTCAGCTCGGCGTTCGGATCAAGAGATATTCGATATCGTCCCAAGTATCATTTAGTCGAGCCAAAAATTTCATTTGGCCGTGGTATGGTCATTCCTGGAAGACAGCCTCCAATGATGACAGATGACAATTTATCAACAATGTCAGTAACAGACACTAATGATGATGTCAATTCAATGATTTTAAGTGATGTTGAATCAGACACTACTTGCCAGGCTGATGATGAGAGTGAATCAATTTATTCTCTGAGTAGAGCACCTAAAACTACGCCGTTTGTAGTTGATGCATTGAAAAACTACAGAAATTTGAGTATAATGACAAAAAATCCAGAAAGAAGCAGTACTGTTCAAGATTTGGCTGCTTCTTCAAGCAAATTGAATGCTGGGAGTGTGCTTGCAATAAACTTGACTAACGGTGCAAATGATAGTGATTATGATACTTTTAATCTGGCTGGTGTAGCGAAAGCACTAGACAAATCCAATAATAAAATGCAGGACAAACTTGATGAAGATTTCAGTGGAATGCCTTCACTTCATCCACAAAATCACTTTACTCTAGAACATATGAGGAGAAGTGATAGTATTCGCAATATGAAAAACAGTAACAAGAAGTGGTAGCTTCAATCACGGACGCAATCAATTAGAAAAATTGAGTGGAGACCTTGCTTTATCAGAAATTGCATTTGGTAGAGAATTTCTTTCATCAACTTCGTAACGTTTCTCAGCACAAACTCTGCCTATCCAGTTATGTTTTTCTTTGCCATGCTCAGGAATGGGAGCAGTTCTTTCATAAGTAAATCTGTGATTAGAGCTTAAGCCAAATATCTGTCTGTGGTGGGTTAAGCATATTGGAGATGTTGCAAAATTCAAGGCTTGTGTGATGGCCAGTAGTTTGCTATTCTAAATTACCTAAGTCTCGATCCTTTTGAGTATTATGCATGTACAGAGCCTCGTTGTGTAAGAAACACCCAATTGTGTAAGAAACACCCAAAAATGGTTTCGTTTTTATTGTTTGGCATCAAGCATCATTAATTAGCACTCCTGGGTTTAAGTGTTCCCTTTCAATGCAGTATTGGGACGGGTTGAGCCAAGGGTGCTCTTTAGTGATTTTTTTAGCAGAATCATGAAAATTCCTGCTTTTAATGCACTAGTGAGTGACCCTATTTCAGACTCATTTCTCACATTTGTATGTATCATTGTCATTTATTAAAGCATTTCTTCTTGGGCACACTCTCAAATAAATTTCGTTTATGAATTTAGTCTTTATAAATGAGTTAAAGGTGTATCAGGACATATTGTTTTGGTTGATTGGAGAATTAAATTAAACAATTGACGTCAGAAATCGGTTAATAGGGCTGGGAATTTTAGGGGGAAAACTGATTAGCCGTTAACCGGGTAAAATTATCTGGTTAACTGCAGTTTGACGTAATAAGTTATAAGGTAAGCTTGTTGAGTCCCAATGGTTCCAGAGCAATTTAGCGTGATCTTGCACCGGTTTCGTTCGAAATTGTTCACGGTTCGAGATAGTATGGTCGCACTTCTGCAAGAGAAGTATTTCAGTAAACTGATCCCAAAATTGGATGTGATTTATGTGACGAAACTTCCAGTGTTCGATGTGCAACTTCTACTTTGATATATCACAGTGGCGGCGCGTCAATAGGGCCAACCGGGGCAATGCCCCGGTTGTTTTTTCGGTATAATAAAAAATATTCGAAAAATACCTCAATATCGGTTGCACAGACTGTTTACACTAGCCATATTCTCCCGACATGGTTCATTTTTCGCTCGCAGCCTTCGCCGAACGTCGACGGGGCGACGCCGATTTTGCCCCGGTTGCTCATTGTATATCGTATTCTCTCTTTTATCTTCCACTCGCCGCGTTTGTCTCGTTTGTTTTCTGTTTTTTTTACTAAATCATCGGGGCTAGCCCCGAAATTATGACGACACAATGCCGACGTTTCTTACAACACCGTGTTGACATATTCACGCATTCCTTCTCGTTCGTTGGTTGCTTGAAGAGTTGATAGTTTCCTCGCCTTCGTTTTTGTCGCTTGTTTCGCTATTTGAATCAGTTAGAGACCTTTAGTCCATTTGCTTTCGATTTTCCACATTCCTTTTGAGCTCCTCACTTCTTTCCGGCTTCGCATTTCTTAGCCTTAGACCTCATAATGAATAAGGTTGATGCACTACTTCGCACTCCGTTTTCGCAGCTGCCGCTGGAACAAAAATTGGAGGTACAACGTCTTGGGCCTTATCAACCAAAAAATTGTTCACTGGAACAATCCCATGACGGAGGAAAGCGTCGGCGTACATTCTGCGCAGAAACTTGGTATAAAAAACACGAATGGTTGTGTTACAGCGAGGACAAAAATGCACTTTTTTGTTTTTATTGCCTACTTTTTGCTACCGCCCCTGACTCACGTTGGTGTAAATTTGGTTTTAGAGATCTTAAACATCTTTCCGAGCGTGCCAGGGATCATCAATCTTCTATGGAGCATCTGGACAATGCAGTAAAATACCGAACATTCGGAAATGTTAATATTGCAGCACAGTTGGATGAAGGACGCGCGGTTTCTATTCGTCGGCACAACCAAAACGTCGAGAAAAACCGCCACGTTCTCGGTCGATTGATAGATGTTTTGAAGTTCATTGGTTGTCACGAGCTGTCCCTCCGTGGGCACGATGAACGGGCTGGCTCTTCTAATAGAGGGGTATTTTTGGATATGGTGGAATACACCGCATTCCTAGATACAGTATTGAGAGATCATCTTGATGCCGCAACTGTTTCGAAAGGGACATCTAAGGATATCCAAAATGATTTGCTCGACTCAATGTATAAAATTTATTTACAACATTTGGCTCTGGAAATTGAGAATTGCCAGTTCCTTTCGATTCAGTCTGACGAGACAACTGACATCACGTGCGTTTCCCAACTGGCTGTGATTTTTTGGTTTGTGAAAGATGGTAAACCTACCGAGAGATTTCACAGCTTTGTACCAATCGTTGATCGCACGGCTTGCGGGATATCGGCTGTACTGAAAGAAGTGTTACAGCCTTACAACGCGAAGTCAAAATTGATAGCTCAAACTTATGACGGCGCGGCAGTCATGAGTGGGTCGAAACATGGTGTTCAAGTTTATATAAAAGAAGATTTTCCTCATGCGCATTTTTTACATTGTTATGCACACCAATTTAACCTCGTTATTAAAAATATGTGTCTTGATACCCCTCTCGTCCGTATATTTTTTGCAAATGTTCCGGGGTTTTCTTCATTTTTTTTCGTTTCGCCGAAGCGCTCTGACCTCCTTCGCCAGATATGTAGCCGCCGTCTCCCAGCTTGTGCACCAACACGTTGAAACTTCCAATCACGCGTGGTGCAGGGCGTGTCCGAAATTAGGTCTGAGCTCATTGAGTGTGTCAATGGCATTCAGAGCTCTCCGGTTTGGGACGAACGCTCTGTGAGGGAGGCGGCAGGTCTAAAGCGTCTGCTAGAAGATGGTGAGTTTTCATTTTTTCTCCACAATATTCTATCACGTGGATGTATTATACGACGCATTGCAGTCAAGGCTAATGGATGGAGCGTCTGTGCAGTCGTGTATTTCAGACTTCTGCGATGCTGTATCTCGTATCCGGGAAACAATAAAATACGACGACACATGGAGTGCTTCTTTACGCCGCGGGCAAACAACGCAGCGTTTGATTTTGTCTGCAAAGGAATGCTGTGACATTCTGGTGAATCAAATAGGCGATCGTCTGCGCACTGAACACCTTGCCGCGTTCTCTTAGATGAACCCAAAAAAATTTGCACGTCAATTTCCCATCCATTTGTTGGCTACTGTCTCCAAATTTTACCCCATGATAAACGTGGGTAAATTGGAAAATGAATTGCGATGTATATACACCAATCAAACTTTTTTGAACATCACATCAACTTGCGCGCTCTATGGGTTCCTCATAGATAACACTCTAGTAACTACCTTTGCGGCGTCTGCAAAATTTCTGGACATCATTTTGACGACGCCTATTTCTTCCGCCGACGCAGAGCGAACATTCAGCACGCTGAAGCGTATTAAAACGTATCTCAGAAACACAATGAAGCAAGATAGATTAAATTCCTTGGCTGTTTTATCCATTCACAGAGACGTTATTTCTGGGAGGCATGACTTTAATCAGCGCGTTATTGGGCATTTTGCTTCCAAGAAACCGCGGCGTGTTGCATATATGTTCAAGCAGTAGAAGTCTAGCAGCATATATATCTATGAGTGAGCGACGCATGTCCTTATCTTTGCATTTCTTTCCTTTCTTCATAGTAACGTTTTAAACCTTATTTTAGGTTTTGTCTGCTTTCCCGAAGTTTCTGTTAATATGTCATTGTATTTATCTGGGTAAATATTGCCTTTCCTTTTGAAAGAGGTTTCAAAATAAACTATGTCTATATTTATTAATCCCTTGACTTGGACCGGTTTTAAAGACACTTTCTTATCGTTAAAAATTGTCGCTTTTGCCGATTGGTTGTTACCGATGGAATGGTTTTTATACTCATAAAATGATGGGAGAACTTACAGCGCTCATCCTGTCCCCGTAGATGGGGGTGACTTGGTCCCGCAGTAGCTTGCCCCGGTTGTCAAAATGACCACTCGCCGCCACTGATTTTCGGTATCTTTTATCGTGTTTGGTTTTGTAATGTCGCTTCGTATTATATTCTCTCGTGACATATATTATCCTCCCAGTTTATTTCGGTCATCTTTTTTACACTCATTGTATGATGAATTGTTATGTTTGACTAATTTTATTACTTGTAGCGTGAGCAGGCATGGTGCGGTGGTCAAAGGACAACCGAGTCCGTCTAAGTCGGGACTCGGACCTAACTAAAAAAAAATGGATCGTGCGTCTCTAAGTAAGCTCTGCGGTTCTTCACTGCTGTCACATGGCCAACGCTTGAAAATAGAGTAGTGTTTTTACTAAAATGAAGGCAAAAACGTCCCTCCAAATGAGGAGTTACTTGGCGCGAGCCTGAGGTACGAAGTTCAGATAAAAAAGCGCTCATTGGCTTGGTCCTGTCTGCACAAGACAATTACCGATCACCGGACGTCATTCCCACATTGGCACCGTCTTGACGTTTATAGATACAAAACCGAAACTCCGTGATTTTAACAAACATGAATTTGGACATCGGGATTTGGAAAGGGCTATTACCAGATGTAATAGTTACAGCAAAATATTTGGCATTATTTGTCTATGGAATCTCACAAAATAGTGTTCAATGAAATGACTAGAGTTGGTCAGACCTCGATATTAGCCTGGTTAAAATAACTTTCTGCTTATTATTCTTTCCCAATTATCATCTTAAAATTCTCCCATCTGTAAAAGCGAGATTGCCAAAAAATATCATGTAAATTAATCCTAATTTGGCCCTCAATCAGTAATGAATACTGAAACTGCTTATATATTCAATTTGAGATAACATGGAACACTAGTTTCATTATTATTACTTCCCATGGATATATAGCGCATCAAGGCCAGTGCTTAGGGCCACTAATAGGCATAATCTGGCCCTGCATGAGAGATAGATAATTTTCTAATAAGGGGGTGTGTGGCAATAGCCTAATGGAGTGGTTTCCAACCAACTAAATAAACATGTGGGCGTCAAGAACAGTTTAAATTATTCTGCCAATCACTACAACACCACAATTAGATCAAACTGATATCCCATATGGAAATTTCATCAGAGTCATTAAGACTGGCACATACAACAATAGCCATGCGACTTATTTATTTCTGAAAATTTTGGTTATAATATAAAACTGTTTAATTTTAAACTTTCCAAAAAGCACAAAGCAGTAAAAAAACTTAAATTCAATGAACACCAGTAGGTCCAGCTCTGAGATCTTCACATATAGCTGCTTGTATTCTCCTCTTCGCAATCTCTAATGTTGGCTGAAGGTCGAGCGTTCGCTTGAAGACTGGAATTGATGAGCGAATATCACCCTGAAACGCACAAAGTTTCAGTAAATTTTTGCAAGTAATAAAGTTTACTACATGTATAAGCGACTGGGTAATTAATGTACGACTTACTCATGACTAACTGATTGAAATAGTTTATGAAAAAATAATATCATTGTTATGTGCTTTGTGAACTCAATTCTACACTGAAATAACATTTTGTAGTAATTTGATAGAATCAACAACATGAAAGCATAGAATTTTTATGACACGATATTGAAATAGGCTTTTGGTTGGTTTATAATTGGGGAAGAAAAGTAGTTACCATGGCAGCTAAAATGTTTGCTTTTGTGAAATGGTATAGAAAGTAGTCAGGATACAGTAGAATTGCCTGGTTTGTTACATGAATTGCATCTTTCCATTGTGATAGCTGTGCAAATACATTTGCCAGTCCAAGCAAAACTACATCTCTCATCTCCAATGGTGCAGTGGACAATGACAACCTAAGACAATCTATTGCCTAAAATGAAAATTGTAATATTGATACAAAGAAAATTTTCACCCCTTCCCTCAATACAAGTGTAACAATTTATATGATATTAATGTCACATACACATAACTATCAAACTAAATAAAAGATTCCCAAATTTACAACGCAATCAATATCTGTAATACAAAGCGCCAAATATTTAAGAGAAAATTTTAAAATCATAGCAAGAAAACATTTCACAATATTTGCACATATCATCAATTCAATACTACATCTGGTTTTTGCGCACATGAACGATCACAGCTAGGCTGAATGTCTCAAATAACAAGTCAATTTAAACAGATTTAATGGTTTTAGTCAAGTTCTAAACATGGGCAGATAACAGGTAATTCAAATAGGAAATGACATAAAGCATGATGAGTATTACTTCTTTCGCTCTCCCTTTAAGTCTCCAATAATAAGAAGACAAAAAAGCAAGCTTCCATGATGTAGGATGTTGCTTTATTCCTTTGGACAATTGTTGAACAATTGTTGAAATTTCTTCATCAGAAGATATTGTTTGTTTCAGAAGCTTGAACAAAAAAATGATGAAGGTTAGAGAACATTCTCATTTATTTCTCTTTTCCTTACAACACCATTTTTGGTTTGGCTACATTTTTTTTTCAATAATGAAAATATCAAAATTATCTTTCCAATTTCAATTTAGAAAGGGACATTTCAAAACTTAAGATCATAAGATTTTACTCTAGGACCCCTTTACTTACAACCAGAGTTTCTCATTTATTTCTCTTTTCCTTACAACACCATTTTTGGTTTGGCTACATTTTTTTTCAATAATGGAAATATCAAAATTATCTTTTCAATTTCAATTTAGAAAGTGACATTTCAAAACTTAAGATCAATAGATTTTACTCTAGGACCCCTTTACTTACAACCAGAGTAAAGAAACAGTATAGCGTATGTTTATAGCCTAGTCTATAGCAAGCAATACACAAATATTATTCTTGCAACCATTTAAAGCAGTGTTCTTCAACCCTTTTTACCGTTGTATACCTTTTACAATTTTTCAAGAACTCTGTACACCTTACAAATACCAATGTTTATTCAAGGCCTAAATAAACACTAAATATTTAGCACGGATTGTAAAAAAAAAAACTGACGATACTGCAATTTCATGATTAACGGTGTAAGCTGGACTGATGGCCCCAGCGTCAACGGGAATAATGTTCAGCGTAAACAAGCCAAGTGTATGGCAGCCGAAATTATAAACCCAGACACACGCCTGCATTATCTATAAAATTGGTAATGTAACAATGAGCTCAAGTCGGTTCTTTGCTACATGACATTTTATATTTCATGTGCGCCGTGTTTGCATTGTTGTCTCCAATTGAATATTTTATGAGAGTTTAGAATTGCTGACTTAGGCTGTACACTCTTTGTATAACATTTCTCATTTGTATACCCTACTTATGATACGGTATATACTTGGGTATACCGTATACCCGGTTGAAGAACACTGAATTAGAGTATGAAGAATACAAAAGAAAAACTCACAATTTCCATTCCATATTCCTCATCATACTTCATATAACTATCTCTGTTTATGACCGATTTTAAATGATCAACATTATACTGAGCAGAAGAGGTCGGGGCATCACAATATGGTTCCTCAGATCCTGATGTGGTTTTTAATCCTAGTGATGGAAGTTCTTCGGTAAAGCTGGAAATAGTAACGAATATTTTAGAATTCTTCAAAATGTATATTTTTAATGAAATATTAACATAAATTTGCAGAATCTTCAAAGAATTCAGTTTGAATAAAAATTTAAATAAAAATTTGGAAAACAATTTTGAGAAATACATTTTATTGTGATTTAAATTTTGGGCGCAAGAGTAAAATTGACTTTAGGGAATTACCCAATAACCATGTTGAAAAGTTTATTTAACATTCACACATGTATTAGCCAGAAAAATGTTCGAACAACAACATTCTTTCTTGCCATATTCTTAAAACAGAAAAATTAGAGTTTCACTGGATTCATAATAAAATGATCAGATAATAGTATTTCAGTAAAATCAGTGTTGACAAATGCAGGTCAAAATTTTTATAATGGAACATTTATTTATTTAACTATTTTAAGCTCAACAAATTTCCAAAACCTCAGCTATTTCATCTTCAATTCAGCTACAATACAAAGATACAAACAAGGCTCTGGACAAAAAGCTATCTTTTCCAAATAATTTGAGTATCGTTTCTTGGCATTGATCACACATCTAGAACCAATGGGCTAATGATTAAATTATGATGACCTCTGTATGTTCAAAATGATTTGATGTGATATAACAACGAAAATGAGACTTCGGAACAATAACTACCGAATGAAAAAATTGTTTTTACGCACTCATATCCCCTTGCACTAACATCAGTATTAGAACTCAAATAAGATCTCAAATCAACGCTGTGAAGAAAATGAGCACAATCTCTTGATGACGGCATGAGATCAGTTTTCCTGAATGTAAATTTCAAGTTTCAATAAATCAATAAATTGAAAGCATTGAAATAGTTTACTAAATATTGAAAGTTCAAGGAAAGGACCAAATTAATATGAATCGAAATATATAAGAAGCAGTAGATATATTTTTAACTATAGTAGAAGTCAATGTATATTCAAAATTTGTAATCCATCGGTAATGCAGGTGAGTTGAGACAAATGTAGGGTGATTCAATTTTCAATGCCCTGCTCTCAGACAGCATGCGGCTATACAATATGATATACTGATTCGAGCAATGAAACAAACAAATTTTTTTTTTTGAAAGCGTTCATGACTACAATGAGAACAAAATTAAATTAAGACAGTGTCCAAAACTCATGAGTTAAAAAAAATAAAAACAAACCCAAAATTTTAAAAGGGCAAAACCCTAAATTTGGGAAAAAGTTGCGTTCCCTTCCCAAAAAATACTGATCCACTCTCTCTAAATTTAATAAGGCTCCTGTGCCCGCTTACAATAAGTGGTAAGAATCTTCGGCGACGGGGTTGAATATATTTCTTTAGTGTTTCTGAGTGCATGCATCGCTCTTTCTATTCAGATTGCAATCAACATTCATTCTTTCGCTGATGCGACAATCGTTATTGAGGGTTTTTGTCAACCGAATAATAAATATCTTTCTGTGATATATGTTTAAAAGCCATATTCTTTCTAAGCCACCACAATTGGAAATTCTTTAATAATTAACCATGCATTTAAATTTATTTTGTCTAATATTTGATTCTGGACATTGTGACATGGTGCGTGTCAATCGGCATAGAGCCATAGACAATGCATGAGAACATGTTCCAAATAGCTCTATCTATATGCATTGTCATTATCAACAGCAACTAACAGTTATGTGCATATTCTAAACATGATTAAAAGTATTGCTGTGTCAAATTACATTGAGGTCATAGTGCACTGTATAAACTGGTATTAAAAATGTGAAATGCAGGTTAAGACAGTGGCGCAAACCAGGCCGTTTTCAACGGGGGGGGTCCGACCGGAATTTACACAATGCAACTAGGTGGTTTCGTGTTTATAATAATCCCGAATAAGTCGCAAATACCCTAGCGTCGTCATCCATGTGTGGTTCGGCAATATATTACAGCTGACATGAAAGAATTTCGATAAACGCCGGCTTGAAGAACTTATAAGACTTCGAAGACATTTTTGATTGAAAATATTTTCTTATCGTGTATTTTAACCTAGTCGAGATGGTTCAGGCGTCCTCTGCAAATTGTGTCTTAATTAGTTGTTTTCATCCTCAGTTTCGATGGTGACCGAACATAACAGGAAATTATTTCATTTCTTGTAATTTAGCGCGTATAAAATAGCTCTTTAATAGTATTTAATATCTATCGCGGATTTCGACGGCATCCGGCGTTGATGACAACATCGTTCAGTTTAAGTTAGCGGTATTCATTTACAAACAAAAATACATAACAGCCGACATGAAATATTCAAATCAGCGCAGAGTTCAAAAATAAAACACGTTGTTTTATGGTCTTAATATGCACATAGAAAGAAGAAAGGACAGAGAAATAACGACAAAAAACTGAGAATGGTATGGTATGTTTGTGTACTTTTGTTTACCATCATCATCATAATCAAATTAGTTAAACCCGATTCCCAAATTTCCGTCTGCCAATAATGAATAATAAAGATGGAAAAACGTGTTTTACTTTTCGAGTCGGCGTTGATTTAAATTTTTCATGTTATGTGTTATAATTTTTTGATTATAAACCAATACCTCCAACTTAAAATGAACGATATTGTTATCAACGCCGTCGGGATAACGATAAAATCTCCGATAGAAACCAAATAATATTTAGAAGCTATTTTATAGATTGCAAGTAATTAAAAAATTTCCCGGTAAGTTCGATAACTATCGAAACTGAGGATGAAAACAATTAATTGGTGCAGGATTTGCTCTTAGTTTATTGCCGAGGCGCACAACATATCTCGACTAAATTGAAATATACGATAACAAATGTAAAAAATTTTCAACCAAAAACGTCCTCGACGTCTTCTAAGCACTTCAAGTCAGAGTTTATTAAAAACCTTTCACGACGACTGTTAGGTATTGCCATGCCACACATGTCGGCTTTCGATTGCGATAAAAAATGAAATAATTGTTAAATGTTTTTAAATCAGAACGTGGACGGGGGCGGTAGGATGTGTACGGCATTTTGGGTTTTCGGCCTTTCATATGTAGGAAATCTTAGGTCAATCGAAGCAATATTTTTCTACGAGTTTCTACTGCATTATTATAACATGAAGACGGGCGGCGTTACATTGCATCAAGATGATCAAGCACGAGAGTATTCGTCCCAAGAGAGAGAGAGAGAGATAGCACTATGCTATTGTCGCTTTCAATTCGCATCGACAGCGCGCGATTTCTACTTTTTTGAGGTAATATATCTCATTTTCGAATACAAACATATACGCGGGATAGTGATTGTTACGTAACTCACAGCAAAAAGATATGATTGAAGTGGGCGGTGTTAAATTACGTCGAGGTGATAAAGCACTGGAAAAAAGTAGTTTTCACCGGATTATTATGACCGTAGAACGACGTTGTTTGAACGTAGAACAATAATAAAAAAAAAACGAATTTCAAACGGGGGAACCGACCCCCGTTACCCCCGCTGGTTGCGCCACTGGGTTAAGACCCCTGTAAATCCCCCCTGACTACACCCCTGCTAACGCCGTATCGATTCAAATTCATTATGGACATTCTTAGTAATAGTTATAAATGTTAATTTTTTTTAGGCATTTAAAAAAGTAACTAGCAAACTACTTAATGACCCACAACAGAGGTTTTGTCTGCATACTGACGGTATCCAAAGTAGAACTTGCTTCCTCAACCAAAGTTCCGAGATTGTCTCTCATTTGAGATAATTGTTGCATGATCTGACGAGCTGATGATACCCGAAGGCTCAGCTGAAAAAAAGTGATTTTTTTTATTCATAATCTAACATCACTAACTCTTATTTCATAATTTCAATCTAAACCAGACTCTAAAAAGCAATCAATCACACTTCCCACATAAAGAGCTAATAGATAATAGCAAAAAGTGGTATCTATTGATTCCGCATAGCCTACTGGATTTACCACTCAATGGTAGTAGTGGATTTAGACCCCTTGACTGTGGCACCAACATAATGAGAACAATGTGCTTAGTCACTATGTCATACCACAGATTAATTTCTGAATCTATTTTAAAACAAAGATAGAATTACATAAATTCCTTTTCTAAACTACGTTAACCGTTTATTTTCATATTTCACCATTAAAATCTTCACAGAAAAAAAAATTTATACAGATTCCATGAAAATGATGTCAATATTGTAGTCTTTTATTTGAACATTAAATCAAATTCAACATACAATAACAGTATTTAGAAAAAATTTGTAAAAAATTTGTGGGCTCATGTTCAGTTTCAATGCCTGCATTGCAGGTTAGAGATTAGAGAACTCAGGGTCAACACATTTGTATAATCATAACAAATTGTCGCGTCAAAAAGGTCAAGCGCCATGGAAACCGCTAATAAAAAATTGAACCTTCCAATGAAAGATGCGGTACTGTATTGCTGATAGACTATTAGAAAAATTGTAATGAAATTTTATTCATTACCTCTTCAGCACTATCTTTAGCAACATGAGACAATCTTTGTATTACATTATCAGCATCATGCAATATCTTGTCAGCGTTCTCTTTTGTTGTTTCTAATCTTTGCACTAGATCATTTTTATCTGTTTAATGAAAAGAATCATGTTACTCTATATCAGGGGTCGGCAAACTACGGCCCGCGGGCCGGATCCGGCTCACGGAGTAATATAATCCAGCCCGCGACGCTTCACTCAATAATAGTAACAAAACAGCTGCTTTGACGATTATATCACTTACGTAACAGAATTTACTGTGAGACATGTGCCGACTAAATTATATTATAATCAAATCTATTACAATCTATAAGTATAAAATTAACAATTACTTGGTTAATGAGCCTATAATTTAATTATAATTAGACATATGGCAACAATTTTTTGAGATGCAATGCAATGAGGAAATAAATCAATATTCTATTCGAGAGATGTATCACTGCTTGATTTTTATTATGAAAAGTATCTTTCGTTCGGTTTTCAACTTTCTAAAAATATGTGCGACCTGCCAATTTTGACCCACAAGCGACAAAAGTTTGCAGACCCCTGCCCTATATACACCCGACTACAGGTCATACATGTGCTAAACTTTTGTTCCGCAATCAGTCAAAGACATGAATTGAAAAGTCAATTATATATTTTGGTGGCCACAGTCATAACCAAATAATTCACTGTTTCAAATCCATTCGAAAATATTATTTTCCGAATATAAAAAACATAGAATATATTCTAAAATAAAAATCAAGTAATAGATGCTTTTCGTGGAGTGTATGGAAGAATTGGCACACAACAAACAATGGAATAACTGTTCTCCAATCATGCTATTAAAATGTAACAGGCTTTTTTCAATTTGTTTATTTTCGGTAGGATACTCCATATGAAACCGCTTCAAAAGATTCAGGAGTATGAAGAGCATGATTTGCAGTAGCACAAGATTAAACCTGAATGAGTGTATGTTAATTGCAAGTAATTGCACTGGCGTTTGGTTATTACTTATGGGTTCACATGATTCTTAATTTTTCCGACATAACTGGAAATGAATGCCTAAATTAAGTGGAAGCCTTCAAGGAATAGCGGCGATGTACACCATATGCGCCGCATGTTTGCACATAAGATAACAATCAAAGTGCGGATTCTATTTCATTGTCATAACAACACATGGTAAAGCAAAGAAAATTCTTTAAAGATTTCCTCAAAAACGAGACACCTTGCTGACAACGAAAAGTGGCCATCATTCGATATTATTATAAAATTAGTTGAAAAGTATTTAAATTATTCTAAAATTAGTTGAAAAGTATTCGATATTTGAATGAATTTGGACAACCCTGGTTACAATTATTCCAAACATCAAGTAGGCTATCAGACAATATTGTTACTTTGACAAAATGGTAGCATATTAGATGACTTGAAACATTAATTATGAGAGAAATACCAATAATTTATATCCTAGACCAGCGGTTCCCAAACTATGGGTCGTGACATTTGTGTACATATACTGTTGGTTTGTGGCTTTATTCTGATAGTTCTATTGAAGCAAAAGGAATCTTAGTGGGTCGTGAAAAGCTGTAGAAAGCTTTGATTATTAATACTGGCTATTAGGATCGGTGGCGACTCGAATACGTAAATCTCCAAAAAAACAAAAGAAATTAAATTTAAATTTTAATCTGTGAAAGTTTCCTTTTTACGATCTTCTCAAAGGAACAAAAATTTGCTACACAAAGAATGACCATGTGGCTTTTATACGCATAGCAGTTTTGTACACTGTACAGTGTTTCCCCAAAATTTAGACAGGATTTAGATTTATTTACTTTTGAAGAATAACACTATGTTTTTTTTTTGGAAGAGGTCTTTTGTGTTCATTTATCAAAAATAAAATTACATTGTAGAAAATCACGAGATTTTTTTATCAAAAATTATATAAAAACCTTTCCTCTCCCACACATTTTAAATTTATTTTAAGGGTAGGGTTTAATTAACATCATTTTTAAAATTCAAATTAGGTCTTATTTTCAGGCCAGGTCTTATTTACGAGAAAACACGGTAGTTTTGCGATGATTAGCCATTGCTGTATTCTGTGTTATATCATAAAAGGTTAAATGGGTCGACATAAGCTGTGGTAATAAACAGTGGGTCCCAATTCCAACTCAAGATTTATCAAGTTTTTCATAATAAAAAAGTCTTTCACGATCCTTTTCAAATAATTCATTGGTCGAGAGGCACCTCTAATATGAATAAATGTCATTCAAAAAATTGATTTATGTTAGTCTGAGGAAGTCTGGCATTGGCCATAAAATATGAAATATTTTTCTGGTCTGGAGTCTGGACTACTGGATTCTCTTAAGGGCCATTCCAAGCAAAAGTTGAATTCCATCAAATTTTTAAAAAGTGTAGTAAAAGTAATTTCTTTTTTTTTTGATATCAAAAGACATTGGAATTTTATTGGACTGCATTCATTTCATCGAACAATTTAAAATTTCACCCAGGTTTTTGATGGTTTATAAAAATTGGCCTGAAATGTAGAAATTTTGGTATAATTGACATATTTTGTGATGATTCCTGACACAAAGTGTTTGATTGTGTGGTACAGTTATTTCATATGAAATTGACGCACTGGATTTAAGTTAATATAGTTTAAATGTTTGCAGTGCTGTAGGACATTTCTTCACCCATTCAACGATTTATTACCAGAATTTTAAGAGATGATAGAGGCCGCTATTCCGAAGTGGAAAAATGTCCTGTAGTGTCACGTCCTGTAGTGTCACATACAATATGCACATTATTGGCATGGATTTTCAGTGTTACATTAAGTAACTTGAGCAACAGATAGAGGGGTAGTTCAGCTACTGCACCAGAAAATATTATGGGCTCCTACTGTACCATCGCAAAAATTTACAGCACAACACAACGTACTGTTAGTGCATGGTGGATTTGTCATCCTGTAGTGTCACGCTATATTTTACTATATTTTTTTTATCTACTAAGTAAGGTTGGGTGTAACTTTTGTGCAATTTTTTACATATTCAATAAAGCAACTGATTGGACAATGAAATAAAACATGTGGCTGAAAATGTGAAAATATATTGAATTTAACAACATGCAAAATTTCTGGAATTGTCCCGTAGTGTCACTTGGAATAGCCCTTAAATTATCATATTCTGAATTGTTATTTCACATAACATACCTGATACATTATCACAATCAGTTGTCACACCTCTTTCTGTTAAAAAAAATGAATGTTCATTCATTATTTGCTATAGATATATTTAGGCAGAGCACAAAATGGTTATTTGAAAGACCGGCCAACACATACCAAGGTAAAAAATATTACATCATTCAATTTACATTGGAAAGGAATAAATTTTTGTTACAAGCACTTGGTAGTAGCATGTGAAACTTGTTTCATGTATAAAATAGAGATGGTAATTTATTTCTAAAACTGAAGCTACTTTTACAAACATACAAACTATCATATTTATATTTCCAAGAAAAGAAATGAGCTGGACTTTATAGTATTGGCACATTATGATACATCAACAACTAATTTCAATAATGATCCCAATGACTGTTAGACATATTTACAGAAATACCGAATAAATCACATTTCGAATATTATATTAAATTACCTTTTTCGAATATGAAATATATAATATATATTCCAAAGTGAAATCAAGTAATAGAAGCTTTTTTTTAGTGTATGGACTTTGCATACAATAAACAATGGAATAACTGTTGTCTCCAACGTGGCTATTAAAATTAAGCAGGCTTTTTTTTAATTTGTTCATTTTCTGTGGGATACTTCACGCAAAATAACTTCAAAAACTGTTGAACAAGAGTGTGAAAAGAGAAAGATTTGCAGTATCCTAAGATTAAACCTAAATGAATGTGTTTCAGTTGCAAGCAAGATCCAAGTCTGTAAAATCGTCCTTAAATGAAAAGCTCCATACATTTTGTTTTATGTGCACAGTGACCAGGGATGGTCATTTCCGAATACTAAACTATTCCGAATACATTCTGAAATAATGTTTGTAAATCGAAAATAACATATTTTTGTTTGATAGCCAAGGTCTGACGCTTTCTATCAATGGTACCATGATATTACGATAATAGTCAAGTCTATTGACAAAAATACTACTCTATTCAGATAATTGTGTATATTTTCTGAGAGTAATAAAATTCATTGGCAATACAGGCAACTGGAGCAAGCAACAATGATCGAATATCCATTATGTCTAGAGTATTCTACTACCTACCAGTATATTTGTATATTAAGTTATGTGAACCATATTGTTATTATGTGTAGCATATTGTTATGTCTGAAATTAACAATAAGTTTTCAACGATTTCACGATTTTTGAAATCGGAAATTCCCATTGTCGCCTGTAACAGCCACCGCGATTCCACGCTCGTTCCTTTCAGCGTATAATGATTATCTTGTCACGTAAAATATTCAATCCATGACAACTACGAGATTCTAAAATATCTTTATATATTAATTTTATGAGTCCAACGTAACTCGCGGTTGCTCTTCATACGTCTAAATAAAAACATTACTATTCGGTCCAAGGCGATCTATGGTCTAAAAGTACGAGTTAAACTGCCTGATGTATTTAATTTTAATACGTAGTTTTGCAATCTTGCCAACTCGTTATCGCCGTTAGAAAAATCTCAATAACTGATATAAAATCCTGTAGACTAGAGTACAACTTCATTTCATACAATGAATATACATATAAAGTTTAGCAGTAAATTAAAAGTACTTATTCATCGCCGCGATTACTCCCAACTGTTAAAATGGCTGACTTTTACAACGAATAATATAACAACGAATATATATTTTTCTGTTGTGCAAAGTGATGAATTCGTGACCGATATGAGCATATTTAAAATGTCTTGCTTTATTAATTTAATTGTTTTCAATTTAACCTACGGTTGCGTCGACAAAATAAAATCCCCACCACTCTAATATACCATGGCATTCACGGACATAAAAATGTGTGGAAAACTGCCCGATTATATATTGTTTTGATTCGTATTTTGCGGATTCGGCAACTTTGAGATCTGTAACAGTGGCTCAATCGAAATGCCGCCACTCCGATTATTTTTAAGATACTCAGAGTAAAATTTATTTCAACACAATAAAAAATGATCGAATATACTTTAGATTAATTAAATTATATACATTCTCACAACCCGGGAAAAAGTCACGTTTCAAACCTTGTATACTGTTAACACGACAATTTTGGACTGCAATTTAATTAAAGTAATGGATAATCAGGCAAATCCCGCCCTCAATCAGTTACGATATGTTTCTAAAACAGACCAAACATAATGTGTGCCAGAGGCACACGAAATTTTGCGATTTTCACTGCCGTATTTTAAACTGTCGCGGGCCTCAATAAAAACTATTTTGTTTACGGTTTTACTTTCAGCATTTTAAATTGCCGCTTTCCAATCAAAAAATTTACGTTTTCTTTAGAAACTCGCTGCCGATGAATGTATTCACCGGATTCACAATTCCGTGCGAGTACGAAAATAAAATAATTGTCATCGTTATCGTGGAACAAATTTGTGGAAAATTTGCGTTTTAGAGAAAATAACACAAACGTAAGGCGTTTACGCCTAAATAACACGTCCCGCAGATGAAAGCAATGGTGCGCAAGTTTCTATCAAGAATGTTTTCATTCAACGGGAACGTCTTGAAAGCGGCGTCGAAAATGTGTGACGTCACACAAATATCCGATATTCTTATGAACACCATTTCCGATATTCGAATACTTTATTCGAATCGGCCATCCCTGCAGCGACAAATAAAAATGATACACTGAATTAGACAGTGTAAATCTCCGAAATTTGGTGTCTACGGCACACATTATGCTATGTTGGAAAATTTGGAAACATAACTAATAGTCATTGAAATTGAAACAGTCAAGTGTGTCCGCGATGCACCTTTTTATCCATTTTTAAATTACTGTTGGCCCAAACCCAACTTTTTTCCTGGATTATGAGATATATAAGCTGACCAATTTAAGTATATTCAATCAATTTATAATTGTACTGGAATAAATCGCGGATCTTGGTATTTTTAACAACGCTAACGACTTCGTAAGGTCACGAATATAGGAATCGAAATTAATTCTAATCGATCAGTTTATCACACATTTTATGTCCGCAGATTGTGTGGTATTTTAGTGTAATTATGCTGTTTTTTTAATTCGGAAAAGCTGCGGGTTTACGAACAAAACTAAATTAATATTACAGCAATTCCATAAATTAGTTGAAAATTTGGTAAAAATTATATCCTGCCTAATTGAAATATTGAACTGCAGAAAGTGTATGACATATCTTGAAGTTTTTAAAATCGCATGAGAAGGTACATTTACGGCACAAAATAATTGTTTTTTCTTCAGTGGGATAATTGATGATTTTCTGTCAATTTTCTTCAGTTTTGTAACATAAACTCTCACGCTATTTATGTTACTTTAAAATGTATTTGTTCAACCAAAGTATATGTTAAGTTTTACCTCTGATATCTGTGCTTAATATAAATATTGCACTGTGCACTATTGGCAACACTGGGCTAAACTAAACAGAGCTGATGGGAATTTGCCTTGTGTTGTCACTCGGTGCTTTTTTAATTATTAATTATTATATATTTCAATAACTATTTGCCTCAAAAACTGAGACGTCACTTTGGGGGTAGGGCCCAATAATTTACCAATTTGGCAGTTGATAGTTGCTTGTTGTTCTTTCTCAGCACTTCAAGAGATCTCGTCACTCCGTGACGTCACGGAGTGACATAAGTATGCCATTTTTTTAAATGATTATTTTTCTGTACGCGAAGTACTATATTATTGGGTTTGAACTGCAAATTCTTCCGCTTTGCCCTCTACTTACTTTGGATCTTACCCACAATGAAACTTGAAGATTAGCAAAAATAGGCATACCAAATCTTCATCAAACAAAAAGCGAGAAAGCGAGCTACACGAAACTTGAATGTATTTAAAAGACGTCTACGGAGTTGTAAATTGTACGATCAAAGCACCTACCGTATTTAATTTTACCATAAGACCCCCGTTGGAAAAACCCTGGCTGAGCGCGGCAAGTTCCTTAGACTTTCTTTTTGGTGAGTTGGTTACTCGATTACACTATAATATTATTATTATAAACTTATTTGGGCATCTCGGACAATTTCTAATTTGAAATAAATGAAAACCCAACAAGAACATATCATAATTAATACACAGATGTAAAATATAAACATTCATTATAAAAGTTGTTATTTAAGGAAGACAACATGATCGTACAATTCCCGATGTTGGCCAGTGAGATGATAAATAAATGCTTCCCGTGTATTCGATCAATCAACTTAACTTTAGCGAATCGATGTTCTGCAAATAGCAGGGGTACAAGATATTTCCGTCCAGTGATTTGCTCACAAATATTGCTTTTGACATTCATGGTTACAACAAAATGACTGTTAATACGACCCATGTATTTGGTGATTTCGCAAATCTGTGAGATGCCGCTGGAAGTTTCTTCTAATTCAAAAAATATTGGCCCAGGTTTACATTCGCTACAAAAAACAATGTCGTATCGGGTATCAGAACTTTCTGAATGCCTTCAATAAATTCACTAAGGATGGAACAAATCCCGTCAAACTTGCACTAGAAAATCGTGTACTTTGGTCACAATTCATCGATGTCATTGACAGTCACATGACCACTCTCGTTTGAAGAAACGCACTGCGTTGTATTCGGACATCTGGTTTTTCAATAACGCCGCCAACTGTTTTTGCGGGAGAAGCGGAATCGGTGTGCTTGTATAATAATCATATTATAAACAAGAATTTTGCCGTTAATGCGAAAGCTTTATCTCATATGTATGCATGTATAGGTTAGAATTCCAGCAAATATCATTATGTAATGCAAAATTGGGTTACAAAAGTACTAGTAGGCAACTTATTTGTCAACTTCATACCCGCACGAAAATAATTGTCAACTTTAAATTTTCGCCCTTCAAAATCGGAAAAAAGTGCTATTTTGCAGTCCCTAAAAAAGTTGCGAAAGTGCTTATCACTTTTCGCAAAAAAGTGCGCTAATAGTGAACACTGGTGCCAACTATATCATAAAGCTGGAAAAAACAAAAATGATGCAATAACAAGTTTTCGCAGGGACATATTTATCACTGTCTTCTTGTTCTGAATGTGCAGACTAAGAATGCTGTGTTTGGGGCCTACCGCTTCTATGTGTGCTTTGCAAGCAGATGCAAGTACTACCTAACAAGAGAGACTTCAACGCAAAAGAAAATGCTTTTCTATGGTTAATAACTTAGATATCCAAATAACAAAAAACGTCGCATGGTGCAAAGATTCCTAAACTGAATTGCATTAATGGATCCTCCAGATTCTGTATTTTAAATTGCCCATTCTTTTCAAGTCACTGCAATAAGATACCAGATATATAGGAGTGGAATAGTTACGTCTGTTTCATGTTGTCTGTGCAGCATAGCTTTTTACTTAACTATATAGATTATTAAAGTTAGTGCACTCGTTTAGCATAACAATATGAGAGAGACACAAGCAGAACAACAAAAAAATATCATGTTTCCCAATTTTTTGTTTAAATGTTTAGTAATTTCAAACAAATAACCAATTTTGACCTAATACTACCAATTGTTCAACATTCTTAATACCATTTTAATAAGGAATTTTTGTCCCTCCGTGACGTCATGGAGTGACATGCGACTAGTTGGGCCGTATAATTGGGCTGCTTCCTGAAAAATGTTTGTTGTACAATAAATTTTGCATAAATGTAGAGATTAATATCGCTAGAATACAGAGACAAGTTATTATATTTGATATGTCATGAAGCTTTTGACGAAATTTGGTTGATATATCGCAGTCATTTTATGCACTCAACTTTTTGTCACTCCGTGACTTCGTTTGAAAAATATTTGGTTAAAGTGAAAAGTGAATTATGGTAAATACATACGTGTTACTGCTACCAATTGGCATTCTAAAAATAGCAAACCACCAAAACCTTGATATAGTAAAATTGATTAAATGTGTGAAATGTCACTCCTTGACATATATGAAATTGCTTTATAGTGAAAACATTTTAAATTTTGGTATCGGTCATGGATTGAATAGTTTGTGCACCAGAATATCATTGCCTGGAAAAGTTCTTCTTTTAACTATTAATATCAAAATTATTTGCTAAAAAGTGAGATGAAAGAATTATTTGATTTGATAAGTTGAGCAAATATTGTAATACTAAAATCTTTTTACCATGAGATGAGAATGTATGTACTGTATACATTTCTGTACCATCATCTCTTTCTTCTGTTCTGTAAATCTGTTCTAACTGGAAAAAAAATTGGTTTAAAATTATTGTATTGATTTTAAAATAGTGGCATCTAAAATGGTATTTCTAATTTTCTGATAAATCCTATATTCTGAAAATACTTATGCAAAGGATTTGAGTTAAACTGAGTTTAAGTAATCATAGAATTAATTTGAAAAGGTCAGACAATGTTCATCTTACACAATGTCATACAATCAAGCAAATGGTTTTTCATTACAATGCAATTTTACTATTATGGAGAATCAAAATACAATACGGAACCAATAAGCCATGACATCAGCATCGAAGTGAAGCTAAATAATGTTAGACAACCCAATCAATCAACAGGTAACACATATAACAGCAACAAATATTGTCGATGAAGAATTCTAAACTTTCCTTTTTTAACGAAAAAATCAGTTTGAAAAATCAGATAATCATAAGTAACATTTGTTCGGTAGTGCTACAAAATAGTAAAAACAAATTCGAAATGAGGTAGAGAAACAAATCAAGAGTGTCATTGAAATCATATGGAGACATCATTAATATACGGTAGGTATGTTGCAAAATAATTTAAAGTTCATCCGATTTGAATGAAAACTGCTGCAGATAGATTTGAGTCAAAAAAGGCAATACCAAGTTTGCAAAAAAAGGCCACATAATAATGGAAATATTGACATTTTAGTACCACCCAAGGGATCAATTTTTCTCCATTAGGTTAGCATTACGCTGACTCAAAAACTGGGACCACAAGAATGCCAGATCCATAATAACAAGTTGCATCTCAACTATTTCTGAAGACAATAGGAAGAAATTTGGAACAAAAAGATAATTTGAAAGGAAGAATCTAATGAATCAAATTTGAATTCAACTGAATACAGGAAAATCTCAGGAAAAAACTTTTCAAAGTAATCAGGTAGTTCACACAACCGCTTTTTAGCAACAGCCTTCTCTATACAAGTCCACGTATACGTGACAATCAACTCAATTAGTGCTTTCCATATCCGACCATATAATCAATTTATTAACCATTCAGTATTCCTCGGCCTGTAAGATACTTGCCCTGTTTGGAGAAACGAAAAACAAGAGGAATCTTTGCGAAGGAAAATGTTGGCATTTTTTCGATCGTTGATTCAGGCAAAGACTAAGACTCAGATTGTATTAACCATCTCTTGAAAATATTTTGTGGAGTATAGATATACGTATGCAAATTGCTTTTTTAATAAGAATTTTAGTATAAATGTGGAAAAAACACTGGTTATTCAATAATCTCTCAATATGTGCCTCTAATGAATTTCAGAATTTGATTCTGGCAACAGTCATTGAGGGACTGGCGGATTGTTTTAAAAGCTTCAGATGATTAAGACATGTTCGCGCTAAAGGAAAAATTAAAAAAACAAGATTATAGTCATGTATTTCATGTATAATGTGTGTTTTGTAACATTCCTAATTAATTAATAAAAACCTCAATAATAATAGAAGAACAATTTACATTAGCAGAAACTGCATGTCCAAGAGATGATGAAGATGTAGGGGGTGAACCAAATGAGCACTTCGATGAATCAACTTGACAATCCTAAAATGATGTCGAATTTTAACAACAATAATTTGGGGTGAACCACGGAGCTGCATAGACCCCAGTAAAAAGATAATAGCGATAGCCTCCAGGGAGTAACAATCATTCACATCTTCAAATTTCTGATAGTGTGAAAGCTATTTTTGTATTCCATAGACATTTCAAAGGGTTCGAAATGAGGCTGCATCAATTTTCCATTTTCAGAATAAACACAGATGTTGCATGATAAAATAGAATAACTGGGCAGTTTATAATGTGATCAGTAGGGTTGTAGAGTGGGAATAAAAACCACTACGCCATGATAGAAAATTTAAAATTTGCCAGTTTTTAGGTAATGTCAAAAATTGAGACTCCAACAGAGGACTTTTTGAAGCCTGAAATGCTGACTATGAGGAATTTGATACTCAGACTACTCAGTTCAAGTAGCAACCAGTGAAATGAATACAAATTTCACCAAAATAACATAATTTTGTTCATTATTCTAACCTCAGCTTCCTCATCATCGTTTGTCGTTTTGATGTTCATTTTTTCATGCAATTTCTTTTCACGTATAGCAGCACATCTTGAGTTTAATAACGCATATAAATCTTCTTTATATTGTGGATTTAAAAATATTCCGTATTTGTAGAAAGTAGCAGCTCCTGTGCTATTGCCCTTTGCATGAAGTGCATTTCCAACAGCGAGATAGGTAATAGGCTCAATAGAACAATTTGATAAGAATTAATAATAAAAACAAATGTATTTATCAACATAGTGTTTTAGCCTAGAATGCCATTATGAGACATATTCCATACAAAATAATTCTACCTTGTTAATCATTTCAATATTTCTAATGCGGGGAAGGTCAGAAATGAATAATGTACTATTGGGATTACATCCTAAAAAGAATTTTCCAAACATGGAATATATTTGTAATTCAGGCACAAAGAACATATGTAAATATATGTATATTCAAAGAGATTGATTTTGAAAATTCAGGAAAGACCAGATATAATTTGATTGGTTCTCTGCAGCTTTCAGAAATGGACGTGTGTTATAGGTTAGCTATACTCAGACTTTCAATTGCTCAAAGTGATAAATATTTAAATGAGACCATTCTGAATTATTCTTAATATCAATAATTCAGAGTAATTAAATTTGACCCCGATATTACTAATACTAAAGATTTGACATCATAATCAGAGCTCGACCGATATATCGCCCAACCGATATACCGGGCCGATATTGCGTGTTTGCCGATATATCATATCGGCAGAAACCGCATATATATATCGGCATTCGGCAATACTCGGGCAAGCGCCGGGCTGCTTGCTTCAAGGACACTCGTCCTGCGTAACTGGTTTCCCAATATATTTCTCGCTTTCATTTTGTGGTAAAAATATGTCTTTCATAATTCCAGGTAACATATGATTAGCCATTTCATGCATAGTCATAATTGAAAAGTTATTATCCGGAGTTACATTTAAAATTAGGTTTTCGAGAAAGTACACAATGAGAAAAAGGCGATTTGGTACGGATAGAAAATGCTAGTTCTATAAATAGAATCAGTTTGAAGCTGGTGAGTACAGAAACATGGTACAGTGTACAGGTATCATCAAAGTAGTTCCAAATGTTAAATCCTCACAGGGTACATTATGAAAGCCCATTTTGTGGCTTATATTGATATCGGTATCGGTCACTAGCTGGCCTATATCGATATCGGCGCCAAAAAGTGATATCGGTCGAGATCTAATCATAATTTCCTGATATCAGAAATAATTTACCGTAAAATTTTACTTTTGTTATAAGATTGTTCTAAGAAATATGTCGCATTGTACTTCTATATAGATTTATTGTTCACGCCCTGCGTCAAATTATACAGAGTAAGAACACAATTTTAAAAAAGGAAGATAAAACCTTACACAGAAAATGTTAATTTTCAAATTTTCATAATTTATCAGAAGGAACAATTTGTTTTCAAAAATCATCAATTCTCTTGAAAATATTTCAATCATTTATATATATTTTACACATCAACCATAAATGGTCCCTAACATCATCAGCTTTACCAAATAGAATCAAAACAGTTACCTCAGTTTGATTGATCCCCAGTGCTTCAATAAGGAGTGTCAAAGCGTCATTAACTTTCCCTAACCTGTACCTAAAGATAATGGATTTCATTTTGTTAGTTTTATGTGAAATGTATCAAAAATGTATTTCAGTAATAAATTCGAATTCATCTACATCAGGGGTCGGCAAACTACGGCCTGCGGAGCAATGTAATCCCGCTCGTGACGCTTCACTGAATTATATAAACAAAACAGCTGTATTGTCGATTATATTCTTCATGTGATAGAATTTGTTTTAAGACACTAAATTATATCATAACCTAACAAGTATATAATTCACAATCACTCGTTTAATGAGCCTATAATTGAGTATAATTAGACAAATGGCAACAGAACATAAAAAAGTTGATGCTAAGTGCAAATGGTTTAAAGATGCAGAAATATTCAAATGATCAGTCCTCTCGCTCTGCTTGACTAATTCCATGTAAAAAAAAATGTGATTCATTGGCCATTCCTTTGGTTTTTAACTTTCTAAAAATATGTGCGGACCGCTAATGACTTGCAACCTTTAATATTGGCCTGCGAATGACAAAAGTTTGCCGACCCCTGATCTACACAGCGACTCTATTGTTTGCTGTGTTGTGCTAAGCGTCTAGAAACATGTTAACCATTAAACCTCTGGTTATCCTATGTGGGTTCGCACGTAACTTCTTGCCATCAAGAGTGGTTCGCAAACCACTAGTCAGTTACTGCTTCCACCCCCATCAAGTGCACACATCTTAAATAAATGAATGGTAAACTATTGCCAAGTCCGACATGGAATGAACGAGCGGTTATGATTAGGGCTGTCCAAGCGAACCGAATATTTGAAATCGAATCGCAAATTATTCGAAGCGTTTTTCGGCCAATTAATGAATCGCTAAAATTTAGTACATAATGCGCCTCATTGCACCGCGTTTTTCACCGGGCAAGCAAAAACATGTTTCTATCGCTTTCTTTGCTGTAAAAAGGTCTCTCCTATTGCCCGGTGACATGTAATTATCCATTTCATGCATGGTCATGAATGAAAAGTTATCGGTAACAATGATTTAAAGATGAAGTTTTTTTGAGAAACACAAGAAAAAAAAAGGCAACTTTTGTGTCAGAAAAAACGCCAGTTCTATAAATAGAATCGATTTGTAGCTGTTGAGGGAGTAATCATAGGAGCATGGTACAGGACTGAAACATGTTTTGGAGGTCCAATACCTTTTTTCAATAGAATTTGTAATTTCTTCTAATGGCAATACTTTGTATTATTACTATGACAAATAATTGCACTCTTGTGAGTTGATGGCTGTTGTACAGCAACAATATGGTCATCAAATATTAATGTCATCAAACTAGCTCTGAATTTGTGAGTTTCCGAAATGCAATTTAGAATTTTTTGGGTAACAGTTATATCTATATTAATCTATATTGACTTTTAAAACTTGATAGTTTTCGAAACCCCCAATTTTTTGACCAGTTCAAGGAGGCTTGGGATCTCTCTTTATAACTCTGGAAACATAGTTATGCAAAATATTTACAATAATTTAGATATAACTGCACATACGTTATCACAATATTGAAGAGGAAGTTTTTATTGTACATTAGAGACAAATTTAGGATTGTGCAATAATATTCGATTATTCGGTTCGATTCGAATCAAAAAAATATTAGATTTTGAACAGCCCTAGTTATGATCCAAGCATAATTATGATTACCGTAAGTCCTTCTTTTACCTTCCTCTAACCTGGATAAATATCCAAACGCTATCCCACAAAAGTTATAACCAATAAATGTTCCTTTTCTAGAATTGTTGGTTTTAAAAGGTATTGTGAGAATATAATGACAATCATTGTTTCTATGATTGATAAAAAGGTGCCCATATCTGAATAACTTTTTTTCTAAAATTCTGTGTGACGCCAAATTTTGATTTTAAATACGATTATGCAGCAGAATCACATTTATCATATTTGATGATTTTGCAGCAATACGGCTCATTTCACAAAATAGAATAACCATTTTTAAATATTCGAATACACCAAATCGTTATTTTTTAGAATATTTTTGTTATAGAATACAATTTCAAGTATTTTTTTCCCTTCTAAGGAGATTTTCTTCTTCTTTTGAAACCGGCTCCACACCCAATATCTTTATCCTTAGACATAGTTAGTTTCACAACTCTAACCAATAGGGAAGAAACACTACAAACTAAAAAACTTCTTACATTATATTAGCCAGATTTACGAGTGGAATATCATATTGTTCTGCCGGAGTTCTATGAGCAGCTCTTCTAATGCATTCAACAGCTTTTAAATTGTCTCCTTGGACACGGAAGTATAGACCAGCAAAATTGTATAACAACCAGAGATTCTTGTCCTTGTCCTGAAAAAAGTCTTCATTATATACAATTTCTTCTTCTACAACTCCTTCTCAGTTTTACTGACTCAATATTTTACTCCAAATTTTTAGATTTTTTGTAGTTAACAGGCAAGCCTGAAATTCGGTGCGTTTCTTTTAATGATGGGCTGTAATTTCACTGACATTGTGCTCGCAATATCTGTCATATGATCTTTCTGTCCATATATTTGAGCATTGCTGTTTTGTTAAAAACATAACAGTAGAAAGCTGAATGAAAAAGTTGATTTCATAGATACTAAGAGAACTGAGGATGAATCACGAATAAAATACATTTTTGGTCACATTGCCATTTCACAGTAACAAGTTGAACAACCATTTTAGATCGTAGTGCATAAGTCGTAGTAAGAAGTTAGAGCGCAAGTCAATATTTCGAACTCCTCAATGTTGGGAGTCAAGAATTCCAAGGTCCCGAAGTTGGGAGTTAAAATAGCTTGAAAGATGGAAACAAGTCAAAATATTCAAATTGAAAGAGACAGACAGACAAAGGAGAAGTTTCAGTTTCAACATCTTCCCATTATCCGACTCAGAATCTGGAGTTGAAGTTTTTGGAGCCCAATTCGGAGACCAAACAAAAAAAAATATTTGAACCCTGGGTCAAGGTTCAGGTTCTTGAATTTGAATCAATAGATAATTGAAACATTTTCCAACCCCAAAAACGTCAAAACACGAATACCTGACATTCCTTGCCTAAGGAAATGGGAAATGTTCCATTTATCTATTGATTCAAAGGACTGGATTAGGTTATTCAATATCAAATTAACCATTCAATTTTGGGTAAAAAACTCACCTTTCGACTTAGTGACTTTTTAATAGCAGCTTGTATCCTGTGTGCAATATCACCTGGCCAAACTCGGCCCTCATTCAAATGTAATAATAATTCCTGGAAAATGAATTTTAAAACAAGTTCAAAGCTTTAACCAGATTGTTAAATTGTGTGAAAATAGTATTCCAAACTAAAAAAGTTAATATCTATAACTAACTATATGTGATTGCTTGTACAAGCTCTTGTTTAGAACAAGCAAAATATTGTGTTTTTAACATAGATACTCAGACTAAATAAGGTCACTCACTCTGAGCATATAATCATCTTTCTTGTGCATGGGAGCAGAATGCCGGTCTGCAACTCCTTGAATCTTATCGATAGAAGATTTTTCACAGACTGGTTCTAAAGATTCACAATTTAATTCTGTCCATGGTTTTGGCAGATTTTCTACCTTTCTTCGATTTGCCGAATATATAGTACGTCCAGAAAGATCACCGACACTACAATCAAGAAAATAGATAAAATGAAGCAAAAATATTTTATCAGCAAACAATATAGAAAATTCAAGAAAGCGATATTTCACAAATACAGTGTTGCGGAGTCATTGACTCAAAATTTGAGTTGCGAAAGTCACTTTGCTCAAAGACAAGGACTCAATTCACCTTAACAATATGACCCCTACTTAAACAACAGCAAGAGATATTAAGGATATAAAAGCACAACAAGTGTTGGCAAAATGATGTAATTTCCAGACGTTTCAAATATTTATGCGAAAAAACTTTATTAGTGCATGATATGGAAAGGACACTAGCGTGTATACTTTGTATGGTAAGGAAAAAATATCAAGGGATGAAATCTAATATAAAAACATGATAGCATGATTATGAGTAAGTTCAAACAAACATAAAGACTATCTAAACACCGAATTATACACAGGCAGAAACAAGGTCGTTTCTTCATCATCCATCTATTTTTTTTCTTTATTTCTATGGTACAATGAGTCATATTCAATGTGTGTCGCAAATTATCAATCCATTTCCTAGGAAATTGTTTCCTAAGTGCTCATTAGGGCTGTCCAAAATCGAATAATTTTTTGATTCGAATCGAATTGTGCAGTTACATCTGACTTACTGCTGGTATTTTGCAATACAATGTTTTCAGATTTATAAAAGGAGATCACACGCTTGTATGAATTGGTCAAAAAAATTGGAGGATCCAAAATTTGGGTTTCGAAGAGTATTAAGAGTAAAAACTGCACAATTCAAAAATTGCAATCTCAATTTAAATGGATTCAGCTCGTTTACGAATTGTTGCGCTTATTATTATCATAAATTATTACATGTGTTGTATTTTGAAGCATTTTAGCAGTAATAATTATGGCGTGATACTATCAAAATCGTCGATTAAAGTGCTGAGGTCGCAAATTCCATAAATAAAATTGTGAGTTAGTCGGTAACGATTTTAGCAATAATAACCGTCGGGGTATTGTTTTGTTCCAAAAAAAAAACATTAAAACTTGAGGGAAATAGTTATGATTAGCGTCTGACCCTTTGTTAGGACCGAAAGCCTTATGACAAGTAGAAATGCATAACAGCCGATTTATTCAATCATTATTATAAATCAAATTCAGGATTCGCGCAATCGCAGGTGCAAAGCATGAGAAAGTCAATCATTGTCTTAATAAATATCTTCATCCCGGTGTCGATAATAATATTACCGTTATCTTTAAACTCGGACGGTTAATAATATACAAACGGTGATAAGTAAGATCAGAGCCAACACAAAAGATAAAAATCTGAATAAAATTATTTTGGGTTTTAAAATCAGACCTTCTTGTCTTTAAGAACTGTTGCCAATGTGAATGCACGGGTATATCAGATATATAAAACTTCGATGTCCGCCGACCCACAAGAATCATTACTCACAAAAAAAACAGACTGGAATATAGATAACCAACTTTAGGATATCGCAGCCAAAACGATTGCGGTGACAAAAACAACTAGAGATTTTGATGAATAAAACGAGTAAAAAAAACGCTTTGTTGCCGACCTTTTAACATTTCTGTTAATTTTCGAAGGTAGTATCGACCTCCGACGTCCTGAACCCTTGTTGTATTTAAAAATTATATTCGTTATTCGACTTTGGTATTCGTAAGAAAAAATTCGAACTATTGGATTCGAAAAAAATATTCGATTTTGCCCACCCCTAGTGGCATATATCATTCGTTAGTTTCTATATTCACATTATTTCGAGTCTCAAAATACCATTTTGTTCTTGATGTATTTTGTGTATATTTAGATCATTTGTGCAAGACACCAAGATGCAATATTTCGTATTTGGCTTACAAAATGTGCGAGAGTGCAGCTGCATCCATTTCTCTCTAGCAAACAGCTGATAGCTAGCTCATAAATGAAGGGCGAACACCACCCACTGCAGAAAAATGGTCAAAGAATAATAGATGTTTGAATAGGACATTCAAAATATACCCCAAACAATGCAAGGCAAAGGGAGGCGTTTCGATATGATAAATATGCAAGTTTTAGTTATTCACAGTAAACGTCTCAGGGTGTCATGAATTGCACTTGGCACACTGTTTTAATTTCACTGTAACCTCAGTTTAAAAAATCCTAGCTGTGTCCCTGACCACCAGATGACAAATCACCAAAATAAAATAAAATTTCAAATTAAACTGTACTAAATTTGTAATATTGAATATAATTAATTTTGAATCGATCCAAACATCCAATCTGTTTTGGACAAGAAAAACCATAAAAATGTAAATGCTTGTACGAATGTATTGACTTTTTAATAAACTTACGAAAAACCTCTAGATTCAGGATTGATATAAGTAGAAGGATATTCATCCCATGCTAATGTTCTCGGTGCGTGTTCTGAACATATTTCTTCACTTGGCCAACTTTGTTCCTGAATAGATTAGAAGAACTTTCATATCATAGAAAAGTTATGTACAATTAACTGAAATTTCTTTGGAAAACAGATGGCATTTTAGTAGTTTGTATAGAAGGGATAATTATAAGCCTAGAAAAAGAAAAGTCAACATATCTATGGAGCATTTAGCAACTCATTCCATAACTAATGGTCATATTACACCTGCTTCATATAGCACCAAGTATATAGGTATATATTCGGAGAATTTAAAGATGTTTCTAGCATCGAGATCCATATAAAATTTAGGACCTCCAGAAGTATGCGCACCAAGATGGCGAACAACATGCACATAGACGACATAGTATGTGTGTACCGGTTAGGATTCAGGTTGTGCGACATTTTAATGTGCATACTTCTGGAACACCAAAATTTACAAAGTTATAGGTGTCACAATTGTGATATTCTACAACCAACTTTTACTGCTGAAAATTATAAATCATCTTTTTAGTTTTTTTTTTTATACCAACAGCTGAAACAAGGCTCTAGAAAAGCATCCAGTGACATTTTTCAAAAGCTACTATGATTTTACACGCTGTGGAATCTGTACAGTTTGACATACAGCCTGACAGTCCTTACTTATATTACTTACATATTGAGTAAGACTGGTGAATCTGACCACCGAACTAAATTTCATAGCATGTTAGAAGAGCAAAGATATCTTAAACACTCAAAATAATGATATCTCTAACCAATGGGATTGTCCTATACTCACATGCCAATTACTGAAATCAATTTTCCCAACATTTTCAGGTTGTTGAAAAGTCCCTGCATTCAATCCACTTGCAAAATTAGTCGGTTGGGCATTTGAAATATGACCCCTTCTGTCTTCTTCAGCCTAGAATATATTATTTGGAAAAATATGAATAGTTTGAAAATTGATGTTTGGATGAATTGAATAATTCTACTTTAGACCAAATAAACCAAATAATTTACTTACAAATACTTTGGAATATTGTACATACTATAAAATGGGCCATGCAGAATGTTTTAAATGTACGAAACTAAATTTAAAAAGGCACAAAAGAGTATAGGGCAGGGGTGGGCAACCTTTTTCGGCTCGTGTGCCAAAATCGGCAAAATTTAACGACTAAATTCTTCCGCGTGCCAAAATTAAAAACAATGCTTTGGTACTTTTAAATTGGAAATAAACTATAATAAACTTTTTAAACATGTATAGACGGATTCACTATTCGGGAATATATATCAGTCCGATAAATAGATTTGATTACTTTTCTTATTCTATATCAGTGAGACTTCTGCTGCTGCATTACCGCTGATAGAGATTTTACATTGGGTTTATATTTTGTAACGCTCAAAAAAAAAATACACGAACTATTGGTTTCATCTTTCAGGCTACTCCTGTTATAAGACTTGAAGTTCATAACTAAGAACAGAGATCCACAAGCATATGTAGACGAAAACATGGAGAGTAATGCAGTTGGAAGGTTTTTATAACACGAACAATTTTTGGGAATGGCATCTCAAGCACGCGATAGTTCGTTTTCTGCAATTCTCATTTGTATTCCCTTCCCTAATTGCATATTACCTTTTAGAAATCAATTTATAACAGTAAGTTAGCACGTAACTATAGCCAACACATGCTGTACAACTTCATAAATCAAGAAGAAATGAAGAAAAACGGCACAGACGAAGTATATTACCTAAGAACGTAGCCAAATGAATGCTGCGCTCTTCCCGACGAAATTTCGCTAGAGCTCACTCATTTGTTGCGTCATAATATATTTCTTTGTAGCCATATGTCATCAAAGGACAAAAAATAAGGAGAAGGATCTTGTTTCCGAGGCCTTGCTCTCATGCCGGATAAATGGACTCTCGTGCCAAGTTTGGCACGCGTGCCAGGGGTTGCCCACCCCTGGTATAGGGTCTAGAAAGCGTTTCAAGGTATGAAAAATTGCTATGTATGATAGAGAAAAATGCCCTTTTTTACATTTCAAAAGGGAGGGTTCCGACCCTCCCCTGGCTACACCCGTCTGAGGAGTTACATATTGTATTTACATTTGTGCACTTTAATCTATGATACATGTGAGTTCGCTATTGTGCATATACAAGTGATAATAAGGATGATTGGTGGATGGCCGATATAAGCAAGTCATACTTCACTCTTTCACACAATGTTTCAAAGATTTTTATCATTTTCTGACAAGTTCTAAATGCGTGAGACATAACATGAGAAACTCTGAACAACATCTGGCAAAGTGTTGCTAGAGACATTGGAATTTTGATGTACGATTATCAAAAATCTTGACTATGTTTATCGTCATTAATGCCAAGCAATTTTTCGCCTTATAAATGTGAGGATGCCTCACAGTATTGCAAATCAAATTGCACCTTGGGCGCAATGTTATAAATCCAGCATAACCCGCCCGTCATTGAAAAATTCCTGGCTGTGCTGCCGCGGGTAGCATTTCCCAAATATTTTGAATTTATTGAACATTGTTAACATGGAAGCTGATCTAAATTCCAAAACTTACCTTCTCAGTTTTTCCTCCTTGATTTGTCTCTGTTTTAACAGATGCTTCAGAATTCTAAATTATAAATAGAATAAGAGTGAAACTTTTACAGTTATTAATGTGTATTCTCATGTGTTTCAAAGTTAAGTTACTTACAAATTCACTCAGGTTCCGCCAAAAACCTGCATAAAAATCCCCATGACAACCATATCACATAGGGTGTTAAAAATAGAAAAGTTCGCGCCCCCCTTTTTTCTTTGAAAATCTGCTTTTGTGATGGGCTGGTTGCTTTTTAAGATGGCGCTGTAAGAGTGTTGGTCTCATAGCGTCATTACTCTGATTGTTTAGGCATAAAACGCATCGGAGTACAACTTAGCCATTCACTGTTGTATGCATAAAGCCATACTCAAATAGTGGTCATCAATCATCATACATTCTCAGTTTTTCGCTCAGTTTGCAATACCTTATAAAGTTAAACTAATATTCAGGTGAAACTAAGCACGCAACAAACCTATGCGTTTGTACGTATGTATTTTCTGCTTGAACGTTCACTTAACACACGTAAGATTTCAATCAAATGTTTACTTCATCACTATTGAGCAATGCAAAAACTATCTACTGTGTGTTACAAACATACAATAACAACAGACTTCTTGGCTTGTCTAACGTCTCCAAAATTCACTACCAATACCTTTAGACAACCACCAGGTTCAAAAATACAGTTTACAAAATGGAGAAGTGTAAATGAATTTATGTACATTTTTAGCAAAAAGAAAAGAAATCTTTTTTCTAAAAGTTATTATGCATGTGGACGATTCCCCGACCTTGACCGTGAAAAATAAAGTAGCATGACGTTTGCGATTGCATTTTGTTTAAATATCCAATTGTTTTCGTCAGCCGCGACAGATTAAAAACACTTAAACCTCATAAATTCCTTGTGCCTGCGGAACACCTGTAATGTTCTTAATAATACAGACTTGAAATAAATTTTTCTGTGTGGGATTTTATCACAAACTTGGGAATTTCTCTAACAATGATATCTGAAAATTAATCGAGTGGCAGCATTGCAATGGCGCGGAGTAAGAGTTGCAGCAAAAGCTCATGTTGGTCTAATTTGCAAGAATATGAATCAAAACAAAATGTAATCTGGCAGTTTACAACACATTCTTATGTCCGCGGATTGCTGTGGTATTTTGAGGTAGGGGTGCTTTTATTTTATCAAATCGCAAGTTAATTATTTACAATTAAATAAATAAAGCAACCATTTTAAATATGTATATCGGTCATGGATCTAATATTTTATTCAACCATCACAAAAACTATTACATATCCGTTGAAAAAGTCGGCTCTTCTAACGAGTGGCGTAATCTCAACGACTGACCCAGGAGCCGTATCGCGAAATTTCGGGGAGATATATATTTTCGATTTACTAATAAACTTTACATGTATTCACATTGTACTAAATTAAATATACTTTCTGGGATTTTACACCAGATCTTTCCAACGACGATAACGAATTCGCATGAGCGCAATATATATCAAAACTAAATAAAATCGAGCTCGAGCAATTGATTATTATCATTATCACAATATTGTGTCCGCGTATTGGCGTGGTATTTTAGATCGGTAATGAGTTTTTTGTCGTCGCCGCCACCGTAAGTTACCCTAGACACAAATGAATTAAAATAGAGAGACATTTTGAATTCTTGTAGTTGTCATGGATTGGATATTCAAACCAGAAAATTTTTTTATAATGTGAAAAAGCCGGCATTTTTAACACAATCATGAGACTGTTTTAGGAGGCGTTGCATGAAAATTTCCGATTCCATTTTGTGACCTCTCGCGCCCCCCCTGAAAGCATCTTGCGCCCCCCCCAGTTTAAGAACCACATGAAAAAAAACAGCAGATCTTAACAAATGAATAAATGGTTATACAAAGCCTTGTTTAGAGGAAGTGTAAAATATTCCACAACATTCCCAGTCTTTCAGATAATTGGGAAAAAATAATTTTTTACAATCTCAAACTAAAATCCTACATCTGCATCTCCTTGTGTGGATTTGTATTCTTCATCTGATTTTGTTCCCGAATTCTAGAAATAAATATAACAATTAAACTACATGAGATAAATATTACAATACTGTTAGAGCACTGTAATACAAACATGAGCAGTGGTGCAGCCAGGGGGGTTTCAGGGTCGAAACGATTGTTTTTGTCAGTGTAAATAATGTGCAATTATTCTTCCTATATCACGAATTTCCGTCGACATATGTCTTGTGCCACGACTACATTTGTAGAAGTTGAATATCAGTGTTCACTATTAGCGCACTTTTTTGCAAAATTGCGAAGCACTTTCGCAACTTTTTTTAGGGACTGCGAAATAGCACTTTTTTCCGATTTTGAATGGAATAAAAATAAAAATATCAAAATATTCGAATGGCATTTTACTATTCGAATACCCGGTACCACGTGACCTGCGCCGCTTTGCTTTAACACGGCATACGCGCGTCGCCAAATCAGTCGTGTTTGCGCGAAAATTCACAAACGGCGCTCGCTAGCATACAAAAGCGACAAATTTTCGTTCTGCGTTATGATGTTATTAGTTTTCTTTTCACGCCTAACGTATCGTTTCATTTCCTTATTTTGCATAATAGGCCCCACCGTTCCGTAAATTTATGAACGTTCTGTAAATTACAAACGTATAACGAGGTTTTTAAAATAAATTTTTCAGATTTTGTACTCCATATGCCTAGTGAAATGTTGTTAGCCATAGCTCCATCCTGGGACAAGTTATGTTTTGAAATGTAAACATTTCACTCGACCATGTATGGCCGGGGGAGTGTTGAATTGTAAACAAGAGTAGAACGTAAATTCAATCGCGAATTTCGCCCCTAATAACGCTTACTAGCTCGTTTACGAATTGTTGCGCCCCTTTTCATCATAATTATTACATGTGTTGTATTTTGAAGCGTTTTAGCGGTAAATAATTATGGCGTGACATCATCAAAATCTCGAGTAAAGTGTTGAGTTTGCAAATTCCGTAGATAAAATTGTGAATAACTCGGTAACGATTTTAGCTTTAATAATGGTCGGGGTATTGTTTTTTCACCGTTAGAAAAAGCTCAATAACTGATATAAAATCCCGTGGAGCACAATTTTATTTCGTACAATGAATTTACATATCGTTAAATCAAAAATACATATTATTCGCCGCGAGTAGGCCACTTGTTAAAAGAGCGGACTTTTACAATGAATAATAAGTTTTCTGTTGTGCAAAGTAATCAATTCGGGACCGATTAGGGCATATTTAAAATGTCTTGCTTTATTATTGTCTTCAATTTAACCAGCGGTTGAGTCGACAAAATAAAATCTTCACAATTTTAAAATACCACGACAATCTGCGGACATGAAGTGTGGTAAACTGCCCGAATATATAAAGCTTTGATTCTTATTTTCAGGACTTCTAACATCAAAAAATTCATAAATCTGCTGTAAAATCTCAGGGTAAAATTCATTTTAGCACAATAAAAATTGATTGAATATACATAAGATTAATTATCTTATATATATCATGACAACCCGGGGAAAATTGTCCCGTTTCAAATCTTGTATAACGTTGGGAAGAAAATTTTTGACGGCAATTTAAAGTAATGGATAATAAGGCCAATCCCGCCCACAATTAACAGTGCTTCGATTTTAGTGACGATATGTTTTCTAAACGCCGACCAAACATAATGTGTGCGAGAGGCACACGAAATTTTGCGATTTTCAAAGTCTAAAAAGGCGTTTTTAAACTGTCGCAGGCCTCAATAAAACTCATATAACGTATATTAATTAAACTATCGCCGGATTCGCAATTCCATGTGTGTACAAAAATAAAATAATTATCATCGTTAAGTCGCACAACATTGTGGAAAATTTTTGATTTAGAGTAAATAAAACCAACATAAATTGTTTACGGCCTAAACACCGCGCCACGCTGATAAGAATAAATAATCGGCGATTATAGCAAAGTGCTATTGCACGCGTTATTGGCGACTTTTTCAGTTTTAAAAAAAATTCAACGGCAACGCATGGGTATACCTAATATATAAAACTTCGATGTCCGCCGACTCCCAAAAAATTAATACTTTCAAAAAAATGAATCAGGCGGGAATACAGATTACGAACTTTTGGATCGCGGCGACAAAAACAATTATCGATTTTGATGAATTTAACCAGTAAAAAAACGCTTTGTTGCCGACTTTTCGAAGTTTCTTATAATTTTCGAAGGGAGTATCGACCTCCGACGGACACCCGTTGTATTTAAAAAAAATATTCGGTATTCGTAAAAAATATTCGAACTATTCGATTCGAAAAAAATATTCGATTTTGCCCACCCCTAATTATTATACAAGCACACCAATTCCGCTTCTTCCTGCAAAAACGCTCCCGGCGTCTTTGAAACCAGATGTTGGAATACTACGTGGTGGGTTTCTTTGAACAAGAGTGGTCATGTGACTATCAATGATATCGATGAATTCAAAATGAATATAAAAGTGTTAGTAAAGTGTTATAGTCACTTTGGATGAATTGTGACCAAATTGCACGATTTTCAAATCAGACGAAACTTTTAGCAGCATGTCACAGATTTGCAAAATCACCAAATTCACAAAATACCATTAAGTGCCATTTTATTGTAATCACAATGTTGAAAGCACGTGGCATTTTCTGGAATTTCGCGATATTTACACAACTATTTCTCATTGATATGCGAGTATGGGTGGGCAAAATTCAATATTTTTTTTAATCGAATATTTTTAACAGTACCGAATAACAAATATTTTTGGAACGTCGGTGGAAACATTAAAAAATCGGCAAGAAAGCCTTTTTACTGGTTAATTCCGTTAGAATCGCTAATTCTTCTTGTCACCGATCGTTTTGGCGGCGATATCCAGGTTTTGGTAATCTATATTCCCGCCTCTCTCTTTTTTACAAATATGAATTCTTGCGGGTCGGCGGACATCGGAGTTTTATATTTCGGGTTTACCCGTTCGTTCACATCGGCAACAGCTGTTGAAGACATTGAGGACTCAAATTAACATTTGCGTTGGCTTTAATATTACCTATCAAGATTTGTAAATTAACCGTCCCAATTTTATGCGAATGGTAATATTATTGTCCATACCGTGATGCAGATATTTATTAAGACGATAATTAACTTTCTCATGTTTTTCTATGGTGATAAACTTCGCAAATCTGAAATTGCGCTAATCCTGAATGTTGATTTAAAATAGTGATTGAATAATTCGGCAATAAAGGCATTTTTGCGTGGTCATAAGACGAGATGACGTTAATGAACAGCACTTCTTTTACAGGATATTTTACGTATGCGACTTAATGCTAAAAAGATTGGGCTCGAGTGCTCGAGTAGGTCAGGTGCTAATTGTAACTAATTCCCTCAAGTTCAACAAAACAATACCCCGACAATAATTATAGCTAAAATGTTACCGAGCAATTCACAATTTTATTTATGGAATTTGCAAATTCGCCAGTTTCTTGACGATTTTGATAATGTCACGCCCTAATTATTAATGCAAAAAATACCCCCCTTCTTCCGCGGCGGTTTGACGGGTTCTTTCTTCCATTCTTCAGAAAGTTCTGACACGGGGGATATAGAATACTGAATCCGGAGGGTTGAATCCTTGTCGACTTACTGGCGATTTTCCGTTTTGGAATGCGTGAAACATTCTCTATTTTAAATCAAATGACGTTTCGCGGGCTAGAGTTCTCCCCGAAAATGATGTGTGCCAGACGTTAGTTAGACGATAGATAAAACATTAGATTAATACTTTTCATGACGCCCTGTTTTCGAAAATACAAAGTTATATCGCAAAAAATGCGTTTTGATACATTTGGAATGAAACATTATTTACGGTTAATTCAGATCCTATTTTACTCTTCATGACACCCGGTATCCGAAAATACAGTTGTATCGCGAAAAATGTGTTTTGTTACATTTAAAATAAAACATTTTTGCGATTAATTTAGATCATATTTTACTTTTCACGACACCCGTTTCCGAAAATACAAGGTTATATCGCGAAAATGTGTTTTGTTACATTTAAAATAAAACATTTTTGCGATTAATTTAGATCAAATTTTACCTTTCATGACAACCCGTTTCCGAAAATACAAAGGTATATCACAAAAAAATGCGTTTTGTTACATTTATTTTGCATTCCCAATAAAATACATTTCTTCCCTAATTAAAGTCGTCGATGAATCTGTTCCTGTCGTTCAAGCTCGACACACGTTTGGACGAGTGTGGGGCGGTTTTTTGGTCGACGATAAATTAAAAAGTTGCCACACGTTATTTGTATAACGATAATAACTGAAAATTAAGATTTTATAATAGAAGTGAATTTGTCTCAAGATGGTATTTTACGATTCTTGCCCATGGAAAATAAACACGCTGACAGGCTTGGTTATAATTGATATTCGTTTAATTTATTTTACACTATTAATAAACGCGCCACACCAAGTGCGGCCATATAAATTGCAGTCGCATCGGTATGGACTGTATGTTTTTGGCGCTCTCACATTGATAATAATTTTCAACAAAACAATACCCCGACGGTCATTAAAGCTGAATTCGTTACCGAGTAATTCACAATTTTATTTACGGAATTTGCAATTTCAAGATATCACTTGACGATTTTGATGATGCCATGCCCTAATTATTACTGCTTAAATGCCTCAAAATACAACAAATGTAATCATTTTCGACGATAACAGGCGCAAAAATTCGTAAACGAGCCGTTATAACGAAATTCACGATTGATTTTACCTCTCTCTTGTTTACAATTTTAACATCCCGCCGGCCATGTATGGTCGAATAAAATGTTCACATATTCGAAACATGACTTGGCCAAGGATGGAAGGGATCACTAAAGAGCTAATAGAAAGTACATACGCGAAGGTATGATATTAATATCGAGAACATTTGTGAGCATATCACAGGATGGAAATATTTTGCACCCGGCTGTTTGTTGGCAGAACAACGATACGCTAAAGTTAATTGATCGAATAGAGGGAAGTATTTATTTATCATCTCACTTGCGAACATCGAGGTTTTGGCGGAATTGTACGATCATGTTGTCTTTCTTAAATATTAACTTTTTCAATAAATGTTCATTTTACTTTTGCGTCTTTATTATATGTCGGGTTTTCATTTATTTTAAATTCGAAATTGTCCGAAATACTCCAACAGGTGTATAAGTACAATAATAATAGTACTTACCAAAGTATTTACCAGGGAAGTTTAAAATACACATCGCGTCGTAACTCCCGTTTTTTTTAATTTGATTGTTTTACATTCTGCTTAAAAAACAACGTCGTTTTGCAGTCATCTAACGTAACTCTCGCGACCAAATCTTTTTTGTTTTGTATGGCATCGTCTTGGCGCAATTTATTGCCGACTGAATTTTAATTGTGTTTTAGGATAAGTTATTTTCTGTTTGTTGGTTTCTAAACTTTACAAACTTGGGTAGCAATTACTATTAATGTGAGATTTGTGCATATGAACGATTGAATATCGCGACTGGATGTCCGATATCTGAGAATGCGTACTTCTCTTTCAACATTAATTTTCAGGATATCAGCATTCATGTGGTTGAATAAAAATTATTTATCAAATGGATTGGTATTTCGAGACACTCTCAAAATTATTTGGGATCCACTATCATATCATTCGTTTACTTTTTATATTCATGTTTTTTTCAAGAATCACCCTCGTTATATTTCGTGTACCTTAGCAAAAGAAAACTCTTTGGTGTCATCGTTCCTATTAGTGTAATTGAAATATATGGAAACATCGCAAGTGGCGTTGTGATGCGAATATTTGATACTAGGTCAGCAGCATTACAAAGAGCGCTATTTATGAATGCTGAAAGTACATGGCATTACTAAACATTTTGCCAATATATGATGTTTTCTGCCCGATTTAAACTAACTCGCACGCAAACCAAGGCATGTCGACATTTAAAAATTACTTGTCTTTGGGTAAGCTCTGAAATAGTATAATATAAATGTAAATGAGAAATTAGGTCACGCTAGCTCACGAAATGGGAGGATTTTCAAAGTGATCTTGTGTAATATTTCGGAGAAAAAAGTTTGAAAGGAAAGTAGGTCAACCTAGCTCCTAAAACAGGGGAGTATCCTGCGTAATATTTCGGAGGGAACGTAGGTTAACTTATCTTTTAAAACAGCAGGTGACGACTTTCAAAGTGGTTCAAAATCACAAATTAATAATTATCAGATTAGGGTTAGGGATAAATCGAAAAGTTGAATTTCCAGTGCACCTAACCCTAATTAGTTGATTGCTATTTATATTTTTTTTTTTTGGGGGGGGGGGGGGGGGGATTATTTTGCACAGGATTAATATGGTCTCCAGCCTGCATGTATCAATCGTTGTCTGTTAGATGGAAGGAGTGACAAATGTGAAAGCCTTTGCTGTTCACGCGAGTAAGCAACTGACACTGTGATACATTGCATGAAAGTTTTGTCGCGGCAGGTGTTAGCAGATGTCCTTTCGTTGCCGATGAATTCGCTTGTTTTCATTAAACACGAATTTGCCTAAAGGGAACTAGGTTAATGGAAAGGTTTCTCTTTAATTCATAATATTAACAGGAGGAGCGCTTTTTCGAGTATCTATGCCTTTTAAATGGGTTATATGGAAGGCTAGGGCACCTAACTTGTTAAAATCGGCAAAAGCACTTTCGCACTTTTTTTTTCGACTGCGAAGCACTTTCGCACTCATAATTCCCTTAGAGTCAACACAGTTGAAGATAGCTTTCAAATGATACCATTAGATTGAAATGATGTTGCACCATTCAAATTTCAAAAGCATTTTAATTCGTGTTTTTCTTTGTCGCAAGATCGAGGCTATGTCTGTAACAAATTAACCAATAATTTTGGAAATAATGACATCAAGACTAAAAATAATTCCTAAGTCATAAATATTGGAGAATATTCAAGAACATTCTAAATATGATATTTCAACATAACGTGCAAAATAACGACTAATTTCCCATGTGATATGTTGAATGACCTTGTTTTACATGAATAATCAGTGTAAGAACGGTCTCGAATAATCGAGAAAATTGTGTATCCCTTTAAATGCGATCTCAAACATTTCAACCGATCATCGTCTTCGTCGTCTTTTATCGTCATCCTTATCGTCAAATATCAATAATTCTGATGATCGCTACGCTACTGTTATGAATAATAACTCGAAATTGTAAGTTGGTTTATTTGATTTAATTTATTGTAATATATTTATCGAAGGAAATAAAATCTATACAGGCAATTGTCTAGATCCTTGCTGTTATATCAAATTAACAGACGTCTCGACTTGAACAAGTAACAACCGATTATATTCTGTTTGGAGTCAGATTAATATCTAGCTAGTTTAATTAGCCTAATTAGCCCCACCACCAGAAGTCGTCTCATGTCAAAGTGACGTAAATACCGACCTAACACATTTACGTCGTTACGCAGCGACGTTACGCAATTACGTCGGCACGTAGCACGTTTACGTTCCATACAAAAAAAAACTTTTTCCCGCAAGCTCGTAATGTCATTTATGTAAGATCATACTCGTAAAGAAACCGATGACTTGCAAACGATACACAGGTGAATTTACGCATTACATCCAGCCTCAAAATCTGTTCGACTAAAACACACAATATGCAGTGTTATTGCCATTTAAATGCATAAAAATATGAAAAACAGTAATGGCAAAAATACGAAATTCTAAAAATGGAATGATGGAACATATCGCTGGATGCATTGTTCAGCGCCAAAACTAGACTTTTTTGTGCCAGATTTTCTTCTTCCGAGAGATGAATACCGGTACTATACAATATTTCCTCGGAAAAAAGCTTTCGCTTAAAATCCATCGTAAATATAGCGATATCAAGAATGTAGCGTATACGCAGTAATTTTGAAAATCGAATAAGGCCGCAAAATGTAAAACACTGACCAGATGAGCTACTGGTGCCACCATGTCTTCCAAGTTCCCGTTATCATTTTTTTATTTTCATGATATCCAACCGTGAAGAATTAGCCTTGATGTTTCGGGTGGAACCTCATAAATGCATGAGGATCAAATATTTCACTTGGCCATTCCCATATTCAGATAATAAACGTATATAAAATGGCCTTTAAATTTTCAGCAATTTTATCTATGTTCGATCAAGATTCGTCTGAATATAGAGGTTTCATCTGCGGCGAGGACATGATACTGATACAATGATGGCACAATCTGAACTCAAGCTGTGAACGACCAGATGTGCAAATGTGCAATCTACCTTACGCAAAGCGTTACGCACGAAACGTCGGGTGAACGTTATCACCAAAATGTCATCTTCGCCCTTTGCATCGTTTTAGAAGCCGTTCCGTGGTGAATTCGAGGCAAAAATCTGTATTTTTGAAATACTAATAGTAATACCCTTTATTTGTATTCTCATTTTTACTAAATTAAATCGTACTCTCTGGGATTTTATTGCAGATCTTGGGATAATGAAATTAAGAGTTTCCCATACTCCTAATAACTAAATTATAGTATTTAAATCATTTTAAACATCCCTAGTTGCAGCTAATGGATTGGAATGAACCACATTATAAATTTTTATTTATTTATTTATTAGAATTATTAGTTATTTTATTAAACAACGAGTTTAAAATAGCTGAAAATGACTGCTATTCGATAACTATTACATGAACAAAAGAAGATGATCTTAACTTACTATATTTGGAACCAAATCATCATCATGTTTTTCTTGATCCGCTTTAGGTAAATTACAGAACATAACAGGTCCGTTCTCATGTGATCGAACTTTACACAATTTATGATCTGATAAATAACAACAGAGTAATGCTCAAATGTATAGACAACACAAGTTTTTATTTAGAAACTTTATAAATTTATTTTTTAGGTTGTTAGTTATTGTTGGTGTAAATGTAATATTTCTTTAGTATTAGTGAAATGAAATAGATGATTCCATAGTTGAGAAAGCAAGGAATTTAAGTCCTAACAAAAACATTTCTCCAAAGCATGTCCGAAAGTTTTTTCAGTTTTACCACAGAACTATAAATAATAAGACGCTATATTGATCCAAATTTTTCTGTACAGCACACCTTGAACACTTACTGTTCAATGTAAAAATCTTCATTACGATTGGCAAATGTGTGGACATCTTATAAATACAAAGGGTAATAGTCTACCATAAATAAAACAAATCCAGCTGAATCTCGTCACTCCGTGACAAAAGTCTGCCATTTTTTAAAAATATTATTTTTCTGTACGTGAAGTACTATAATATTAGGTTTGAACTGCAAATTCTTCCGCTTTGCCCTCTACTCACTTTGGATCTTACCCACAAGGAAACTTCGACATGATTGAATGGCAATGGTAACTTTTTTAAAACAATCAGTGACCAAAATATTTGACCTAACATGTGCCGGTTTTGGACACTATGAACGAACTTATTGTAGACTACAATTGGAAAAAATATTTAATCTGTTGGAATGGCAGAATAAAAATGGCAAAATGCATTGTTTTGCAATATACGATAATAGACATTTTTGTAAAAGGCGTAAGTGAATTCAAATAATTCACAAACAATATTAAATCTCAAGTTTCAACATCGACATCTGGATTTTGGTTTATATCCATTTATCGAGTCAACTCATAGGATGCGAAAAACCATGAAATGTTAAAGGAATATGATGTGTCTGTCAAATATTGAAGATTGTTCCAATTAGAAAATGCCAGTGCGTCACTCATTGTCACCAATAATTATTTTCATGTGCCAACTATATCATAAAGCTGAAAAACGCAATACTGTGTTTGGGGCCTACCGCTTCTATGTGTGCTTTGCAAGCGAGAGACTTCAACGCAGGAGAAAATGCTTTTCTATGGTTAATAAATTAGATATCCAAGTTACAAAAATCGTTGCATGATGCGAAGATGCTAAAAACTGAATTGCATTACCGGACCCTCCAGATTCTGTATTTTAAATTGCCCATTCTTTGTCAAGTCACTACAATAAGATTCCAAATATATAGGAGTGAAATGGTTATGTCTGTTTCATATTGGCTGTGCAACATAGCTTCTTACTTAACTATATAGATTAATAAAATTAGTGCAATCGTTTAGCATATTAATATGAGGGAGACATAAGCAGAACGGCAAAAAAATATTATGTTTCCTAATTTTTTGTGTAAATGTTTTGTAATTTCAAACAAATAACCAATTTTGTCCTAAAACAACAAATTGTTCAACATTCTTAATACCATTTTAATAATAAGGAATGCGACTAGTTCGACGCATGAAATCCAAATTGGGCTAAGTCCATTTTTCTAGTTTTGCGAAAAACGCAAATAATGTTTCATTTTTGTTTCTTTTTTTATTTCTCTAATACATTACATCAAGGATGTCTAGTTTTTATGGTCCACCAAAGTTACAATGAAGGCCATGTTTTGATGGTATAAAAAAATTTGTTTTCCCCCAATTTTTTTTTGTGGAGTTCTTTGGACTTAACCCTTTTTGGCTCTCAATTTTCTGGACTAAAAACAATTTTATTGGACTTAGGGCCCCTTTATTAGGTGTTATTATTAGGGCAACTTCTCACTGCTGACTGGCAACCTTTCCTGGTGAAGCTGGGGTGGGTAGCTTTTCTATATTCTGTATTTTTTTGTGTTGCTGGTCTTGCTGACTTTCGAACCAAAGAGTTAAGGTCAACTTTCTGGATCTCCTCATCCAAGTAACGGTACTTAAATTGCAATATACTATTGCCTGTAAAATTTTGGACCAATAGAGCCTTTCACCTGTCTGAGAGCCAGTTTGAATTGTAATATTGTTCTTCCAAATTCCAGCGTATTTAGGAAAGTCAGATGATGATTTGAAGTTAACGAAATCACCATGCTTCAGCAGAGCTATTTCGGGTTTTGTTTTTTTTAAAGCCATTGAAATGGCAGTTTCCCATTGGTCAGTCGTATAAACGTACAGCTCTTTCAATCACCGAATGGGCTGTGTCATTCTCATTTTGAGAATGACCTGTAATTAGAAAATTGAGTGTTATTTCATCAAAATGCAGCTCCTCTATAGCATAGAGTAACATCACAATCACATCCCTGTTATTATTTTGCCCACTGCAGCGGCCACAGAAAAGTTGCACAGTCTTCACTGTTGTGGTGAGAGTTGACAAGTATCGGAACACTGCAGTCGCTATTTCACAAGAGCCTTTTCGCCCCTCCACTTCATTCCAAAGATAGCAGCTGGTTTGCATGGACTGAATATCAGTAACTGTAAAGTTGAAATTTTTCAGCCTTTGTGTGTAGTAAAAGGATGACACTTGTCCATGTGGACAAAGAAGAGTTTTCTGAAGGTCAAAAGCTGCCACATGAAGTGAATAATCTTTTGTGGGTTTTTCTTTCATTATAGAACGCACCATGTCCTTTTCTTGGATATGCTTATTTTGATTTTCAAGATCTTCTTCAGTCAATAGAGATTTCGGCATATTTTGAAAGCTGGTGCATTGATCACACACATCCTTTTTAGGTCGATGAAACTTAAGATTGAATTTTACATTGAATGTGCGTAAATAAAAATCATATGATTCAACTGGAGAGCAGGGGCGGACACTTTCCATAATTTTGGGGGGGCGAACTTGGATCGCCTACCGAAAACGCCGCGCCGTGTATCGTCACGTAACAATAACCTGTCGATTTCATTCTCTAAGTATTAGCATGTCATTTTGCTACTCATATTATATCGATTACCTAGGCTGCTTTGCTCGGACACGGAACTTGCGCGTCACTGAACCAATTTCTTGAATTCCGCGAGAATTAGCCCACGGCTCTTGCTAACAAACAGAAAATAACAAATTTGAGGAGTCGTATTAGGTTATTGTTTCAATTCCTAGTTCTGCATAAAGCGCACTAACGCCGTTTCGTAAAATTAGAAATGCAAAACAAGGTAACAAGCTATTGTGCGAATTTTTTTCTAAATTTTACCAAGGAATTATCATTTGACTAGTAGAATTGCCATTATTGCCGATTTTATTAAATCATCATTTGAACTCGAAATAACATTCAGGATTCACGCAATGACTTTGCAGGGTTTTTGTTTATAATTTAATACGAAAATAAACAGGCACAAGTTCAGGCGCGCAGCCAGGATTTAAAAAAAAAGGTGGGGGTGGGGGGTCAAAGTCGGAACTTCCCATTGCCGTCTGCAACAAGCACCGCGATTACACGCTAGTTAAAAAAACCGCCTATTTAAGCGTATGATTTTCAATCCCTGAAAGCCAAGAGATTCTGAAATGTCCTTATATATTAATTTAATTGTGTGCAACGTAACTCGCGGTTGCGACTTCTTACGTCAAAATAAAAGTATTACTAAACTAAAGTACCACGGCTATATGTGGACATAAAAATATGAGATAAGCTGCCTGATGTATTTAATTTTGATACATATTTTTGCAATCTTCCGAACTCGTTATCGCCGTTACAAAAATCTCGATATCTGATATAAAATAACATATAGTACAATTTTAATTCATACAATGAAAATAATTATAAAGTATACTAGTATATCAAAAATACAAATTCACCGCCTCGAAATCCACGCGGAACAGTCGCCGTGATTACGCCACTTGTTAAAAGAGCCGACTTTTTCAACGAAAAATGATTTTTCACTTGTGCAAAGTAATCAATCAAAGACCGATAGGGGGATATTCAGAATGTCTTGATTTATTAATTTGATCGTCTTCAATTTAAACTGCGGTTGAGTCGACAACACAAGAACACAAGAGCCACTCTAAAACACCGCGGCAATTGCCGCGGACATAAAAATGTGTGGTAAACTGCCCGTTTATATAGTGTTTTGATTCGTATTTTTGCTATTTTGCGAATTCGATAAATTTGAGATGTACTTGTAACACTGGCTCCGCTTAATCGCAATGTTGTCACTCCGATTATTTTTTAAAGATAATCCTTTCGAAAAATCTGTAAATTTTCTGTCAATTCTCACGTAGTAAAAGTTATTTCAGTACAATAAAAATACATAAATAAATACAAAGAGTGATCGAATATACTTTAATTATCTTATATATCATCACAAACCAGGCGAAAAGTCGCGTTCTCAGCTTTGTTTAATGTTAACACGAAAATTTTCGACGTCAATTTAAAAGTAATGGATAAAAAGGCAAATCCCGCTCACAAATGACCATGTTTCGATTTTAGTGACGAAATGTTTTTAAAGGTCAAGCAAACATAATTTGTGCCGTAGGCACACGAAATTTTGCGATTTCGATGCCTAGGAAAGCGTTTTTAGACTGTCACGGACCTCAACAAAACTTATATTGTTTACAGTTTTGTTTTTAGTATTTTATATTGCCGCTTTTCGACATAGTAAATGCTTTGATCTTTGCCCGCAAATTAGGTATGCTAGGCCTTGCACGAAATCCATAATGTGAAAAGATAAGTCCAGCGGTGAAAATTGTTTATAACAACTTTAGATCTAGTTATTTTTTCAGGATAATAATTAATTGTTGTAATGAAATACAGTTTGCCTCTTTCACTTCTCGCGCAAGTGACAACAAAAACACTATTGAAAGATTTTGACAATGAGAAAATCATATTAAATTGTACAAAAATGAATTAGTTGTGCAAAACCGTGGCGCATGATCGGCGGTGCGTTTGAAGACGAAGTTTTACCCATGCGGGCGCGCATGTTTCACGAAAATGTGAAGTGCTCCGAAGGCGCTTTGGTCCACATTATTGTAAGAAAACGGTTATAATATCGGTAACTATTAACCGTTTAATTGTGCTTGACTATCGCACTTTTCGGAAATGATAATTTTGTAAGGCGGAAACAACATGTATTAAATTTATTTGCGAAATTATTGGGGGAGCGACCGCCCCCCCTCGCCCCCCCCCGGGTTTGAAAAATATTTGGTTGAAAGCGAAAAGCAAATTATGGTAAATACATCAGTGTTACTGCTACCAATTGGCATTCTAAAAAAAGTTTCAGGCTTTTTTTTTCTTTTCCTAGCCTCTGTTGGACAATCTATTGACATAGTAGTAGACAATTTCACAATTTGATTCATATTCCACAGGAGTGAGGATCCAGGGGAATGATAGTCCTCAAAGTTTTCCCATACTTGACAATCTTTGAGAATTTTTGTTATGAAAAAGCAACCTTCATCTTTTTCCATTTCTCTTGCACAGGCTGATTCAATAGCACGATATTGTGCACTGAAAACTTTCTTTCCTGAATAAAGCAGGTACACTTCCTCCTCATTATGCAATCCAGGCTTATTACTCTTGGGCTGCATACCACATGCTGCTTGTGGAGTTGAAATTGATGTCAAATCGACAATTTGCTGATCTGTGTCTGAATCACTGTCAGAGGAGTATATTCTCCAGTAGTGTTTATTTTTCTCTGGTATATCGACACCTCAAAACCAAACAGTCTCCAGTAGTGTTTATTTTTCTCTGGTATATCGACACCTCAAAACCAAACAGTGCTAAGTCCACTTTTCCAAAAAATGACATTTTTCAATTGCTGATTTTCCTGGACTTAGCTCTACATTTTGGTCTATTTGCCTTATCTCTAGGTGCTCTAGATCTCAAGACAGCTATGGACATAACCCTGCTTTTTTTAGGGCATTTGAGAACTAAACAGAGCTGTGTCTACTATAGTGGACTTAGCTCTGGAAAACTGCATTGTAAGTTGGGGCTAAGTCCGTTTTTTTGGACATAGCTCCTCTCAAAAAATATAATACAAAGCGCTAAGTCCATACCAGCCTCTATAAAAACATAATAAAAGGGCCCTAAGTCCAATAAAATTGTTTCAGGTCCAGAAAATTGAGAGCCAAAAAGGGTTAAGTCCAAAAAAAAAAAACCCAAAAAAAATTGGGGCGGAGCACAAATTTTTTTATACCATCTAAATATGGCCTTCATTGTAACTTTGGTGAACCATAAAAACTAGACATCCTCGATGTAAGGTATTGGAGAAATAAAAAAAAGGAACAAAAAAAAAACCGTTTTTTTTGTTTTTCTCAAAACTAGAAAAATGGACTTAGCCCAATTTGGATTTCATACGTCGATATATTCTGAATCATTGTCATCATCCACTGATATATCGGACTCTGAAAGAATATCACTTTCCTCAATCTGCTCTGGAATTTCTGCTTTAATAACGCAATCTAGCTCTTTTTCTGACAGAGAATATTTGACAAAGTCCCTATTAATTGAAGTGATTGTGTTGTCTAGAAAGAATTTCACTCTGTTCACTCTCTGTTGCTGTATATGCTCAATATTTCACCTCTTAGAATGGAGTTTTCTTTGTGCTGCAATGTTCTGCTATAACCAGGACTTGCTTCATCAAAATACGTTGCATACACAAACACTTCACTGCCTAGCACTGGGTTTTTCTCACATGCAGTCCAACTTCTAGTACCGCCATTATTTTGTTCAAGAGTCATAATTATTCTGTATTATAATATAGCTGATATCTAAGAGCTAGGCTATGTCTTGTTCTGAAAAATATTATGAAAAGAGCTAGACGATAATTATGGTTGAATGCAATTTACAAATTCAGGTAAGGTGTCAACTTGACACTGTCAAGGGATACGATTTTCTATAGGTTTGGACTGAGACAATAATCATATTCAGGCTATATTTCTTATCAGATGCGATATCATAACTGAATAAAGTCCTCTGGCTGGTTCACACTGGTCTTGTTTGAAAGATAAATTTCCGACTCGAAATTTCCATAATTCTGTAAATATTAATTTTTTAAAAACAGCAGTTTGAAAGTGGTTATGGCAATAAATTACAACTCACACATTTCCTCTACTGTAAACATAAGAAACAGCTAACACTGAGCTATGACTGAGAGCTGGTATGGACTTAGCGCCTTGTATTATATTTATTTCAAATTTTTGGACAGAGCTATGTCCAAAAAACGGACTTAGCCCCGACTTACAATGCACTTATTCAAAGCTAAGTCCACTAAGTAGACACAGCTCTGTTTAGTTCTCAAATGCCCTAAAAAAAGCAGGGTTATGTCCATAGCTATCTTGAGATCTAGAGCACCTAGAGATAAGGCAAATAGCACAGAATGTAGAGCTAAGTCCAGGAAAATCAGCAGTTGAAAAATGTCATTTTGGGAAAGTGGACTTAGTACTGTTTGGTTTTGATGCGTCGAATTGTTGGGCTGTATAATTGGGTTGCTTCCTGAAAAATGTTTGTTGTACAATAAATTTTGCATAAATGTAGAGATTAATATCTCTAGAATACAGAGACAAGTTATTATCATTGATATGCCATGGAGCTTTTAACAAAATTTGGTTGATATATCGCAGTCATTTTATGCATTCAACTTTTTGTCACTCCGTGACATCACTTGTTTTGTCTTGCCATTTGAAAAATATTTGGTTGAAAGCGAAAAGCAAATTAAGGTAAATACATCAGTGTTACTGCTACCAATTGGCATTCTAAAAAAAGCAAACCACCAAGACTCTGATATAGTAAAATTGATTAAATGTGTGAATTGCTGTATATAGGTTTTATTGTTATAAATGGGCTCAAACACATCAAAATCACAAATTACCAATTAATTATTTTAACACTGTATCTACAAACCTTTTTAGACTCACAAAATATATTTGAGCCTTGAACTACTTGTGTTCCGTAGTTTGGACACCTCTGGTTTATAATAATATGATACACAATTCAAAAGACTTGACAAAATCTGTGCTCATGAAACTTTTGCTCACCAAATTTTCCCTCTTTGATTAGAAATTGCATGAGAAGAAAATGCATGTTAATTTGTTCCTGCCTTGTGAGTTGAAGTTTCTCAATGTTTTGATAGATCTCAATATATTTTTTATGTTTTTCTTGGTATGCTTCTAATTCACGAAGAGTTCTCTGAAGACTTTCATGCTGGGCTTCGAGCTTGAGCTGAAATGACAAACGGATATGATATATTTTGCATATTTCCCATTTTAGTACAGTATTTAAATTTAGTATAAAATCCAAACAGTCCTTTCAAGAAGGGACCGTACAAGCAGAGCAAGCACTTAGATGTAAAAATAGACTGGAGGCATTTTATATCTAACACCAGATATAGGTGATTGGAGTTGAGTGATTGATACCATGACACCATACCTGTAACTTATATTGACATTTGACTGCATTGAGTCTTTTCTTTGCCGCACCGAACTCTGGTTGTCCTTTCAATGTTTTCTCATAATGAGAAATGGAAGGAACAAATTCTCCGAGAGCCTAATTATAGAAAAAAGGGGGACATTTTCACTATCCTGACCACTTCTACAAGACAACAGATTTGTTATTAAAAGATGAGGAATAAGGCATAATTAGACATATTTCGAACTTATACTGAAATATACATTGGTTAGATACCAATGTTTTCGGATAACCTTCTAAATTAACAAAAAAACTTATTAAATTCAGTTGGCTACAATTTTTCTGTGCGAAAGAGACTTCACATGATTTGTAAATGTTTTAAAAAAGCCGTTTGCAATTGCTGGACAATTTTCGAGGGGTGGAAGTGTTTGGAATTGGATTCAATCAAATTTGTCCAACTCAGCATAAGATTATATGCTGTAGGTTAGTTGGCCATTCAAAACCTCTGAAACAGGTAAAAATACAAATGATTTACCTTGGACTTATGATAAGTAAAAATAACAGATGTTATCAAATGACCTACATTCTGTACTGTAAAAACTCGAATTAGATTTGGACTCGAGACATATACTTACAGCATAAATGCTTCCAAGTGTAAAATGAATGACATTCAGACTAGATATTTCCAGTGCATCTTCCAATACAGTTGAAGCATTTGTCGAATAACGAGACCTACAAGAAAAATTGGAAATTTAAATAAAGTAAGATTTTCAACAAAAAAGATTTGATGAAACTACATTTGAGTAGAAAGTCTAGTTAGTTAATAAGGTGCATAAGAACAGAAACTCTCTTTTACAAGTGTGAAAAGCAGTTTACGTCACAAAACTTCTTTTCGGGACTATTTCTCTGCTATCAGAAATAATATCAAGGGGGGCTAAATATTGAACATTACAGAAATTGTGAATTTGTGAGTTATTATACGTTTATCGGTGGCGAGGTTCTAAAGACAAAAGAAGGAGTAAAACCACGATCTAAATTTGATTGAAAAGCGGAATTATAAAATACTGAAAATAAAACCGTAAACAATATAAGTTTTGTTGAGTCCCGCGACAATCTAAACACGCTTTTCTAGTCGCAAAATCGCAAAATTTCATGTGCCTACGGCGCACATTATGTTTGGTCGCCGTTTAGGAACATACCGTCACTAAAATCGAAACACGTTTAATTGTGGGTGGGATTTGCCTTTTATCCATTACTTTAAAATTTTCGTAGAAAATTTTCGTGTTATCATTAAACAAGATTGAAAACGCGATTTTTTCCCGGTTTGTGATGATATATAAGATAATTAATCCGAAGTATATCCATCAATTTTTATTGTACTGAAATAAATTTTACTCCGTGAGAATCTACAGCAGATTTACGGATTTTTCAGGAGGTTTTATCTTTAAAAATAATCGGGAGTGTCAGCATTGCGATTGAACGGAGTCAATGTTACAAGCACATCTCAAATTTGTCGAATTTGCAAAATAGAAAAAATACGGATCAAAACAATCCATAATAGGCGACGGGCAGTTACCACAATTTTTTATTTTTATGTCAGCAAATGGCCGAGGTATTTTAAAATTGTGAATTGTAAAAAATTGTTTTGTTTTGTCGACGCAAACGCTGGTTAAATTGAAGACAATTAAATTAATAAAGCAAGACATTTTAAATATGCCCCTATCGGTCACGAATTGATTACTTTGCACAACAGAAAAATCATTTTTCGTTGTAAACGTCGGCTCTTTTAACAAGTGGCGTAATCGCGGCGATGAATATGTATTTTTGATTTAACGATATGCTTCATATGCATTTTCATTGTACGAAATAAAATTGTACTTTTCGGGATTTTATATCAGTTATTGAGATTTTTCTAACGGCGATAACGAGTTGGCAAGATTCCAAAAATACGAATTAAAATTAAATACACCGTTTATCTCATATTTTTATGTCCACCGATCGCCGTGGCATTTCAGAGAACTAATGTTTTAATTCTGACGTAAGAAGAAGCAACCGCGAGTTACGTTGGACACAATTAAATTAATATATGAAGACATTTTAGAATTTTGTAGTTGTCAGGGATTGAATATTCCCCGCGACAAGAATAATCATTATACGCTGAAAAGACGTCACTTTAACGAGCGCGTAATGCGAAGACTGTTACAGACCGCAATGGGAATTTATGATTATGAAACCCCCCCTTTTGAAAACCCTGGCTGCGCGCCTGCATAGAATATAAACATAGAATGTCAATGTATATTCATGGAATTATTGGACTATAAAATGCAGGAGTCCCGATGAAAAGTTATTTGATTGGATTTATTTATTTTACAAGTTTCCATAATTTAAATGAGGGTCTTTTCGGTTACGCCGAGAGACTTTAATTGCTCAAAATGAAAACCAAGCATTTAATTGAACTATTGAATATGAATGATTCTGAATTGATTGAAATATTCAACTTGTTTTGGACACGCCCATACTCAGTTTAGAATATATATATATATATATATATATATAAATATGGGAATAAATAAAATAATCATAATCAAGATGTCCAGAAAAACTCAAAATTGTGTTTTATGTCGTACCTGTAAGCTCGAGTAGATCAGCACTTTTGAACAATCAATTTGGAATCTCATAGGAAAGTATGGTTTAATGTTGTGTAACTCTAAACTAGGTTCTGTAACATCATACTTTTTAGTATAGGTAAGATATAAGACTACAGGAAAATGAGTCAAATTGGGACGCTGATTGCTTGCGCAAAAGGTTTCCTTAAAAAAAATAACCATAACATACCATTGTATATTCATATATATAAACACGTAAATTTATTATTCTTAGAACCCAATCAATAGTAATCATAAAACTGTTACCTGTGCAGAACGTTGGCGAGATTGACAAGAGCAACATCTTTATAATCATTTGGAGAGAAATGTAAAGCTCTTCGAACACATTCTATTGCTTTTTCTGCATCTCCCTTCATTCTCCAATACAGAGTTGCAATATTGTATGCAACCCAAGATGTGGAATTCTAGAAATTTGCATTGAATATTGTATACATGTCAGACTTGGTTGTTAGGCAAAACAGTGCTAATACCTAATGCCATTTATGAAGTGTATAAATGTGTAATTACGGTAGGTGTATATTTAAATATAAAAGAATTCTGGACAATATGTCACAGACAAAAAGGGGAGACATTATAGTCTACCAGGAATTGCCAAAATCAAATATTGTAACTTACTATTCTGAATAAATTATGGAATGAAATTTCTAAATATGAAATATGAATTTGGCTACATTTATTGAGGAAAAATTCAAGAAAATCGTTGTGAATTCGTAGCAATTGGATTTGGAAATGCAGAACAGTTAAGATATATTGTGGTTTGGATTGATATTCAATTTCTACATGGTGAAAAATTACATTGATACTAGAAAAATTCGGTGATCAAAAAAGTATTATAGTCAAAAATAGTTGTTTAAGTGCAAGTTTGTTTAATATTTTGGGATTTTGGAAAAAGTAAGAACTAGTTGAAAAATAATTACCATTGTTTCGTGCAGCGGAAAAGTAGCTGGACATCAATCCTGAACGAATTATGTTCGAGGTACCAGTGTAGTTTTTTTTTTAGTCTGACCAATTGATGTCAAATAATCAAAAAGACAAAGTTTCAATTTATCAAATTTAAAAGTGCAGAGGAATTCTATAATAGAATAGAAGCAAACATCCTAGACTAATCAAACTTACCTTTTTCAATGCATCATTAATGGCATTTGCTAGTTCATTTTCATTCTCCATATACTTCATTGTTGTTTTCAATCCAGATTCAGCTTGATATGAGTGAAGATATTCACGATTCTTCACTCCCTGAATAATGTTCATCTTAAATATTACTGAATTAAGGAAATTTTTTAAAAAATTGCCACTTTTGCATTTAAAATCTGACAATATTACCAAGACAACTCCATTCAACTTTCCAGAAACAAAACAAAATCAATCGAAATATTATTTATTCTGACTTTCCTATATTTCTTTTAAATACAATTCATTTAAACAGTTATTGATTCAGGCAAATTTCTCCGTTGAATATACCCAAAATCAGAACAATATTTAATATCCATAATAAACATTTTTTTTTAATTTTATTTGAAATAGTCAATGATGACTAGTGACTACTACCTCATATTTTATAGATATTTCCAATTCTACAAAGATGCTAGTTGTGAATATACCATACCTCCAGATAATCGTACACCTTCTCACTTGGTTGTAAATCATAATATTTAGCGCAGTCTGGTTTCAGAAGATATGTTCCTGTCTCTGGATTGGAGAAATCGATGAGATCCGATACCTTAAATATGTTATAAACCTTTGCAGTATGGCAATTGTTAGACATGCTGCCAAGGGGCAATAATAATCAATGGCCATCAATATAAGAAACGAATTGAATGCCAAAATCGATATGAAATTGATTTAATTGCATTCAATATAGTAAACTTTTTTCATTTCACAAAAAATTTACAATGTCAAATACAAAAAAGACTTCCTTTACAACGTCAGATACAAAAAGACTTCATTCAATTCTATAACTTTTCACAGAATTCACAAAATAGATACAAGTCCTCATATTTTATTTTTTTTCTGTATTCTAGAATTCTGCTTTGTAAATATTAATTATGATTTAAAAAAATCATAAATAGATTCTTTTTAAAGCAAAATAAGAAAAAATTATAAAATGAACTTGACAAATACTAACCTGGATATCTTTATTCTCCATTGGAAGAACAGAACTTACAAAAAGATCAAAATCTCCAAGTTGTTGACCTTAAATAAAAATAAAATTACTGATGAAACTTAGCAAAACCAATTTTCCTGACATCTTGAAATATTGATAGCAACAGTTTTAAAAATTACTAATATAAAATAATTTGGGCACACAAACTTTACCAACAAACCATATATTTTTTCTGCAGTAGCAAAATTTCGTGTGCCTACGGCACATTATGTTTGGTCGCCTTTTAGGAACATACCGTCACTAAAATCGAAACACGTTTAATTGTGGGTGGGATTAGCCTTTTATCCATTACTTTAAAATTTTCGTAGAAAATTTTCGTGTTATCATTAAACAAGATTGAAAACGCGATTTTTTCCCGGTTTGTGATGATATATAAGATAATTAATCCGAAGTATATCCATCAATTTTTATTGTACTGAAATAAATTTTACTCCATGAGAATTTACAGCAGATTTACGGATTTTTCAGGAGGTTTTATCTTTAAAAATAATCGGAGTGTCAGCATTGCGATTGAACGGAGTCAATGTTACAAGCACATCTCAAATTTGTCGAATTTGCAAAATAGAAAAAATACGGATCAAAACAATATATAATAGGCGACGAGCAGTTACCACAAATTTTTATTTTTATGTCGGCAAATGGCCGAGGTATTTTAAAATTGTGAATTGTAAAAAATTGTTTTGTTTTGTCGACGCAAACGCTGGTTAAATTGAAGACAATTAAATTAATAAAGCAAGACATTTTAAATATGCCCTTATCGGTCACGAATTGATTACTTTGCACAACAGAAAAATCATTTTTCGTTGTAAACGTCGGCTCATTTAACAAGTGGCGCAATCGCGGCGATGAATATGTATTTTTGATTTAACGATATACTTCATATGCATTTTCATTGTACGAAATAAAATTGTACTTTTCGGGATTTTATATCAGTTATTGAGATTTTTCTAACGGCGATAACGAGTTGGCAAGATTCCAAAAATACGAATTAAAATTAAATACACCGTTTATCTCATATTTTTATGTCTACTGATCGCCGTGGCATTTCAGAGAACTAATGTTTTAATTTTGACGTAAGAAGAAGCAACCGCGAGTTACGTTGGACACAATTAAATTAATATATAAAGACATTTTAGAATTTTGTAGTTGTCAGAGATTGAATATTTCACGCGACAAGAATAATCATTATACGCTGAAAAGACGACCCTTTAACGAGCGCGTAATGCGAAGACTTTTACAGACCGCAATGGGAATTTATGATTCAGTAGGCTATGTATTTCGGAATGGAAAATTATTAGATTTTATCCACTTATGCTGAATCAATTATTTTGATATTGATGATGTTTTACCAGCTGCTTTACAATCTTCATCTTTCTTATAGTGCTTTTCTTCCAAGTCAAATTGTTTGTCTTCATTATCTTCAATATCTTTCTTTTCAACCATGAGAACTTCTTTAATTTTCTGGAGCACAGGAATGGTATTTAGAAATGATCACACATGATGCACAAAGATTATTGAATTAAACAATTAGGAATGAAGAAGGTAAAATAGTAATAGTTACCCGCATTTCAACAAAATTCTTTTCCTGTTTCATGAAGGCAACGAGGTCATGGGGTTGCTTGATGACAAATGCAGATTCCAACTGAAATAATGATAAATTTTAAATATCCCTCATTGCATTCCTGCAGGCATTGCCTCGGTCGGGAAGATCGACCTTCAAAAAATGGAAGCTCCTTGCATAGACCGGTCTTAAAAGTGAAAATTATATTCATAATTCTGGTTCAAAAGGATGTAATCCAATAAAAAAACAGTGCAATAACTTGCAGATTTGTCATTTTTGCTCATTGGATCATTATCAGCCTCTTCTTGAATTTCCCTACTTATTAGCATTTTTAGCAAAAGCATTTTACATTAACATTTAAATCAGGTCACATCGATAACCTGTTGTAAAATTTAAGACTTGGTTTAGATACAAAGTTCAATCTGTCATTATCGATAACACAACTATATCACCTTTTAATTACTAGAATGTATGAATTATCACACAATAGGGATTGATATTCTAAATAATCATGCCACAGAACTGATCCTTTGTAAAATGATTAGCCAAAGTAAGTGGTTAATATATCATAATATCAGATAGATCAAAGCCATGACCAGCTGGCAATGTGCTACTTTATTATGTGTCAAAATCTAACAATGACATAAGGAAGTTATCATGTATCTGCAAAAACTTATAAAAAGGAAGCTTGATCCATGCGAACTACCTAAAGCACAATTTTTGCTTACGTTGAACTATTTTATTTTGTAGTTCAATTCAAATGAGTTCAGCATCAGTTTCCAGTAAATCTAAGCAATCAATGATTGAATGATATTATACAGAACATAGAAAACGCAATTAAGTTGTAATAATACACAAGGAGTTCAGTATCTCTTATTTCTTTATTCAATACAACAAGAGCTGAATAAATAATAAATATTTGTCAACTGAAAACTACTAAAAATTTAAAACGAGAATATCGGTCAGAGGCCGAAGACTTATCCATCGAAAGTTAGGGGATCCCCCAAAAAAGCGCTCTTACTCCATAGTGACACCTTATGTCCCATCACTAATTAATTAATAACCTGCTAATTATAGGACATAATTCATCCAAAATCAATAGGCTTCTGGTACGACATAATGATGAATGCACATGCAAAATCTGGAGCAGATTCAATCTCGCTTTCGTGAGATATCGCGTGCATCTAACAGACAGATAGACAAACAAACAGACAGACAAATACCTATCAACATACTTACTGATTAAAATCGATAAGTAATAATTACCCCTTTAGTTAAAAAAACAAGATTTTCAGAAAAAAAAATAATTAAACGACAATTAAGCAATCCATCAAGAAGTCCATTTCAGGTCTGGAACCTGATAAAATATGCTATAAAAAGTCCGTGTGTGTTAAAATATGAAATTGCTATTCTAGAGGCAAATTTAAAAAAAAGAAGCAATACTTCTTGTCATATAGCCTATCCTTGAGTTTAAGATGCATTCGCGCAAATTCATAGGGCAACCCAACACAAGTGTCTAGGCCAGGGATGCACAACCTTTTTGCTATTGGCGGCCACATTGCATTTATTTGTATTCAATACAGCCTTCAGGGTGTTGAGCGCAAATGAGCGCGTCCAAGGCGTGCAAAATGTTTTTGGCTTTTATGACGTCATAACCGGGTATTTGACCCATGCGACAAGTGCAGTTTCAAGTATTTTGTGGTGTCTAGAGCTGCCACAAAACCATAGCGGGATTTCCAAATCATGGCCGCTACGATCAAACCCACGGCGAGCGACTTTTTAGCTGCCACAAACCAATAGCAAGCTGCCGTGTTTACGGCAGCAAATCAAATACCATCAACTTTGCTGCCGTAACCACGGCATGTCGGCTGTAATAGCAGGGCTGCCTCTGATGGTGATAAATATTGGGTAAGTTGGAACGCTTTTCTTATGAATACAATTTTGATGTATTTGGTGTTAGGTTTAGATTTAAGGGGATATAATTCCGCATGATGAACTAAAATATTGTACATGATTTTTTTAAATATTCCGGTAATAGCGCGATAAAACCATGGCAAGAGACGCCGCGGTATGTTCGTGGCAGGAGCTGCCATGAAGTGGTAAGAACTGTGCCTCCCATGCGAGGTGCAGTCTGCCCAATAATGAAGTACGGTATGTAGGACTACTTCTAAGTATAATATTCACATTTTAAACGGATTTTTCTTCCCCAACAGCAAATACACCATCCAGATTGTGACGCATCGTGTCGTCTGATTTTTTTGCAGTGCTTCTGTTTTGCTTCAATATATGCCAGCAGAGCCGCCAAATCCTATATTTTGAATTTTTTTTTTTTTGTTGTTTATAGGAATTTGGATATTATTGTATATTATATGCGACCGCATTATTTTTTCACGGCGGCCGCAGGTTGTGCACCGTTGATCTAGTCTAGACAATTGAAACTTTTTTAAATACCTGTTCTTGAACTTTTCCTTCTTCAGTCACAACCCAATGTGTACTTGCTCTTACAGACGAGAGAAGTAAACTCCATATAAATACTACAACCATTGGTGCTGCCATTTTTGCAAGATTGTCCTAGACCAGTTACAAGCACCTAGATTTGGTTTCAATCAGTTTCCCAAAGACATTATTATTTTTAATACATTCCATTCATTAGTTATATTGCTATAAAAATGTAAAAAGATTACATAATAAACATAATACTGTATATATATAAGGGTGTGATATATTGTGATTATCATGACACATAATATTTTTATAGAAGTACATTTAAGGCATGTTTATCATGAAGGAATGAAGAATAAATACATTTAAAATTTGAATACATCATTATAAATGAATGACATTTTCATTTTTGACCTGAGAGGTACATCAAAATATGAAAATAATTTTTTATAAAAATCAGAAGTAGAACCACCTAATAATAGACTTTACATCAGCCAAACAATGCAATGTTTGAATGACCTATTAATTGAAAAAAACATACTCTGTCCTTTGACCAGTATTTCCAAGGACAAACAATGGCGCTCCCGTACTATGTGCAACAAGATGGCGGAAACCTGGACATAGTAATATGTGTATCAGGTTCGGGTTAGGCCATAGTTTTATTCCACTTTTCCTTATTTTAGTTCTATTATGAGTTCGGAGACTAGCCAAGTGACTCCCATAGTATTTGTACCTGAAATTATGGCCTAACCCTAACCTGATAGTTGATACACATACTACGTTCCGGTATCCGCCATCTTGTTGCACATGCTACGGGAGTACCCAAATAATATGAGAACAATCAAATAAATTCAATTCACCCAACTCAAAAATTAATGAACAATCATAAAATCAAAGCTAAAGATATGATAATATGATAATCAAAAGGTTTAATCAACATTAACAGTTTTAACTCAGATGCAAATGTACAAAATCAGCAAGTAATTGTTGAGAATAGACTAATAGGCTAGAATTATAGCAATAAAAATTTGGAAAAATTGCACAACCCTACTTTAGGTATAGTAGAAAAATTTTGACCAAAGATTAAAAATTAATAGCCAAAAATGAATATTAACTTAAAAAGCAAACTCAATTATGCAGAAAAAACCAACATTTGTGTAGTCTTATAAGGTGATCTGATAGATCTGTCTAAGATGAATTGTAATTCATTAACAGCTCTTATGTTATTTGCACATAGAACTCAGCTGTCGAGAGCAGCTCAAAAACATGGTGCTGATATTAAATTTCCAGCAGTACTTGAATATCTTTTTTTACCAAGACTTTCAAAATATCAAGTGGGTTCAACATAATCAACATTGGATCAAACTCATTAATCAACCACCGACACTGATACAAATATATGGGAAAATTTTAATCAATATTCATAGTATGACACATAAAGAAGGTTATAAATGACTCTCTAGTTTTACCAAAAATATTTCAGACCTCATATCTTGTGTCAGAAGTAGCTCAAAATCCAGATAATCGAAATACTGGATTATGCAAAAATTCCTCATAAAAGTAAAATGTTTCCTAGTAAAAGTTCACATATTTGCGGTAAAATAGAGAAATTGATTGCATGCAGAATTCTAGAATATCAATCTATTCAAACATTCCTAGTTTAAGCAAAAAATCAAGCAAAAACTTTACATATTCGATCAAAAACTATCCTAAAATACACTTGTCTGAATAAAAACTAATAGAGATAATACTATTGGCAAGACTTGCTAATCTAGTACGGTACCGGTACCCGCCTGAATATTCACGTCGGTCAAATGAACAAATCTCATTGACACATATGTGGCCACATAAGTCTAGTATGTATTATACAGCCCCAAGGCAGAAAAGCTTGACACCTGAAAGTTTGACCTTAATAAAATATTAATTTTCAAATTAATTTCCATTATTTACCATTATTATACACAAAAACGGCATTTGGCATACAACATCATACACAGTGAAATGAAATAGCCTAGTACATGAGCGTCACTGTATTGGATAGCTATCGTCTCTTTTGTCATTTCCGTTTTAAATTAAATTAGCATGCATGCAAATGAGTAAAGCAGGTAGGCTGTAATGCAACAGTTATGACAACAGTCATTATATGGTGCCTGTTCTTTTGTATAGGCGCTTCAAGTCAGCATAATATATACAACCTCTGACTAACTTGATATTCAATTTTATCTCGTTTTGTAGCCCGAAAAATTGAAAATTTACAATTGAGATTTCAAGTTAATGTCCACAAACATGGGACTGAACAAGTAGCCACTTATACAAAAGAAGCTACCATGTTTTCAAAAAAAATCAGCAATATGCCTGGTTTGCAATATTGCAAATTATCTCCCCTTGAGTGAGGTGGTTTTTGTTCAATAAGACCGCCATTTCACAGTGATTTGACTAAATTCTTGCTTGGAGCAATAGCTATATTATTACCATTATATAAATCATTATTTTAATCATGTCATTTTCAATACTAGCCTAAAGCAAATCAAAAGTGCCAATGCATGACTCAGATATTTCACAACAGGAGTGCAACCTACCGGTATGTCACATATTGAAAAATCGAAAAAGTCACGACTTTGCGTTTGTGAGCCAAATTACACAGTAGCTTTATAAAAGTTAATTTTAAACCTGATTTCAAATTTCAGTACCATCATTTACAACAAATAACCACCCACAACACATAAATAGTTTGTTAACTATAAAAAACAAAAATTAAAACATAAAGAGTGTCATAGGCACAAAATAGAACACTAAACCAACATTCTTGTGCAACTTAAATTTTGATATACACAACAGTCTTGGCTGATAACAATAGTAAATAGAAGAAAAGTTAATACAAAAATTCTTCAATAATACAAGAATTTAAACATTTATGTAGTATGTCATATTGCAGGTGAGCCCAAAATACAGAATACACCGTAATGTACGCATATTACTGTGATAAAAAAAGGATATAAAAATTGCTCTTAGTATGTGTAAAATAGACGAACATGAACTATGGACAAGAGTGTAAAACTTTAAATGTTATTACTTTATGGATTAAACCAAAATTGCTGTTTTTGGTAATTCTACAATTTTCGATGATTTCAATGGATTATGATATACATAAAATCAAGGCAAATATCAGGATTTTGTTGCAAAATCGATACCTTTGGATTCTTCAAAATAAAACTTCATTGCAGGGTGAAATTTAATAGTACAAAACTATTAGGGCACATCCTTATCATGTAGCAAACCATGCCATCTTATTAACCTATTCTATGCAATCATCTAGGAAAGTTACGCTCTTTCCTTCCAAACAATACCCTGTTCAGTAAACACAGGGTCATACATAAGGGCTCTGTTTTGCTGAAACACAGTCACTGTTGGATCAGGATTATCATAAATGAACTGGAGAGTTCGTCGTATATGCGCCTCAAAATTGCGAGGTTCTACCTCGGGTGATGTTGACATGTACCTGAATGAGATATATTCAGAGTGTTTTACTCAGAAGACGGCTCTTCACAAGCACCCACTGATATGTAATAGGCAAATATTTCGGCAAGGATTCGAACCTTTCTTGTTCACCCTTGAATCAAGATCATTAACATGCGAGTACTGGTATATTTAGTATGGAGATTTCGAGGGAGGAACATTCTTTGAATTTTAACATATGCTAATATAGGGATTTTATTGATATGTAGCCACTCAGTTTTGAAATGACTTTTTGTGCATCAGTGAAACAAGCAAATGGTGAGATTGGAGCTGATGGTCATACGTCGGACTACTAGATCAGTAACATGCAGTGTCAACATAGCCTAATTACTAGCTCACCATCTTATCTACTATACTAATTTATTAAGTTTAGAGTCAACCATACCATATATCTTAATAATATTAGACACTAACCTTCGTATGATGTGATCTGGTTGAACTAACCAATCATCGATATGAGGCATCTTGTCATAGGTGAATGGTTCCATAACAAAACAATTTTCCCTTGATCTGTAAATAATAATATGAAAACGTATTGTATTGTACAGTTCATTCAACATATCAATAGCAGAAATGACAAAAACAAGTCACATAATTGGAATATTGAGCACCGCTTAACTGTCATTTAACTCATCGAACTTTAATCCTTTCTTAGAAATTAGAGGAAAGGCGAGAGGGTTATAATATTATAATATTTAACAACTCCTGGAAGATAAAAGTGATGAGTTGACGTGAGCAATGAATGGATGACAGCATCTCATTCGGCTACCAGTCAAGATCAGACAGTCATATTTATCTATTGCATGCACCATTTTTGAATAATGAATTGAAGAATAATGATGATGTAGAGCAACTGCACTACAAACTAGCATGTTGTATGGGGGAAAAACTAGTAATTCAAAATAACTGTTCTAAGCTCGTTTCGGTTCACACAAAAACAAAACTGTTTCATTGCCAAGAAAGTCAACTTGCCAAATTTTTCTCCCCAACATAACATAATATGCGATTGGGTTTGAACTCTTAATTAGGGACAGAAATGACCTGTTAATTGTTGAAATAAATTGCAGTTTCGCAAACAACTCTGCAATGGTGGGAGTCCTGCAATCCTCTTACATGATTACCCTTACTGTATTCAAATCTATAAACCTATGCCAAATAAGTAGAATTAAAACAGCAAACATGTTTTTATCGCTCGGCATGATTCGCCCACCTTCCAAAAAGTATGAACAATGAAAACAGTCAGCCCATACACAACACTCTTTCAAAGTTAACTTCCTCATGACTAAAATATGGCAGTCTGAATAGGTCATAACAAATCTGTCATTTGTGAAAATAAAGTTCCTGGTATATTGTGTTAGTGATAGCAATTTCCTGTAATAATGAGAATATGCATATTGAAATTTGGTACGTTCACTTTAGTGTAAAGCAACCATAAAAAGAAAGGGAAATTTTTATTACCGGTAGGCCTATATAAATTATGTAGAAGAATAGAGTCCAAAAAAAATTTAAAACTTGAAACAACAAATTCTTCAGTTTAAAATTTGGGAGAGTTTTATCTGAAAAAATTTAGTTGGAGTTGATTCTAATTTGCCATTAATAATCAAAAAATAGTTAGCCAATCAAAGCAATGCTGAGAACCATCCTGAATTACAAGAATCAATCCATATAAATATGCAATGATATGTGCATGCTTTCTGTCTGAATATATTTAAATTGTATAGCACAGTGGTTCCCAAACTTTTTTTTTCGCGGCCCCAATTTTCATAAAATCAAAGCCCACAGATACTTGCGACCCCACAACTAGAAACATTGAGTGAGCAACTTCAAAAATCAGTACTGTACTGTATATCAGCTTAATTACCTCAATGGGAACAATGTACCTGTATATCGACTGCAAATGGACGTTGAGGGTGAACATTAGCCCAAAAATATACGAACAATTCGAAATATACGTGTATATAACACATGGCATCGTATGAAAACCAGTGTAATCTCTTCAATCAGAATTATAACGGTTCTTTGGCAAAATATAGACGGACTTGATAAAGTGTGGTAGATTGTAAGGAAGCGTAAGATACTTCGGAAATAGTGAGATTCGGAGCTAGTAAGATGCTTCTGAATATACATAAATTTTAAATCTTATTTAGTATATTCCAACAGTGTCTTTATTATTTTTAGTACAATTACCACAAGGGATGGGCAATGTAGAATAATTTACTATTTTAGAATAGTTAAATCGAATCCAGAATACCGAATCCTATTTTCATATTTACTCAAATAGTGGGAATTTTCCACATTGCTGGACTTGGATGTTAATAAAAAATTGTAAATGTATTATTTATTCGGAAATATCCTTAACATTAGATTTCATTTGATAATAAACAGGCATTTCCCAGGACAATGAAATCTGAGAATATATACAATATTTTTGCCTTCAATTGTTCCAAATGTATGTAATCTCTAAGTACTGATATGTTAATTGAGATACGCTTTAGACACTATAATAGTAAGTGGTTAAATACAAAAATAAATATGAGACTTTAAATCCTTATTAATGTTAGAGTGCCGAGTGTACTAAAACACACCCGCTGACAATTATTAATTAGATGCAGGAACAGAGTGTGGCCACTACAACCTATGCGCCGGTGTGAAATATTAAATTTAACCACTATCAATTAAAATCAAGTTTTTATTCTGTGCGAGCAAAACTTGCAAAATAAGGTTCCCGTAAACACGATTTCGTAGTTAGTTATTAGTTAATAACACCTAAAGACGAATTCATTTTTTATTATTATCAGTACATATCATTATCTACCCAGACTTGGCCCTACTCAACTCAATACGTAACTAATTACGTAATACATAACAATTAAAGATTGTTGTAATCAGATTATCGGAATATCGCTAGTAAGTCGGCAAAAATAATTATTATTATCATACGTTAGCTATATAGCAAATCAGTAAAACGCAAAAATGGTGCAATAACGAGTCTTCGCCGACTTCTTGTCCTGAATATGCCGATTGAGATTACAGTGTTTGATGTTTACCAATTTTACGAACAGACGCAAGTTTAATCAAACGAGAGAGATTTCCAAGTGAGAAAACAGGGTCGTGACTCGTGAGATTTCCACGCGAGAAAAAACGATAGTCTTCAATTGATAAATTAGAAACCCGAAATACAATAATTGACGAATGGCGCCAGAGAGGCAGAAACCGAATCCTGTTATCGGATCCCGTTGGTTTCGAATACTTTGGGATTCGAATCCCCCGGATTCGGTATTCTATATTGCCCATCCCTAAGTATAATGTTAACATATTACAGATTGCTCCATTATTAATTTTAAAGTAAAACAGAGCATGAAAGTAGAATAGGAAAAACGTGTACTAAATCACATCTTTCAGGTGCTTTTTATCATGCTAAAACTTGTTGTGGTTTTGTGTTTGACTACTCGAGGCGCTTCAAAATTATGTTGGAAACGTCTAAATACGTAATATTGTAATATGAAAATGTTCACTTTCATGTGCGGGCGATGTGGACAAAACACGCAGCTGACTCGTAAATTTTGGACACATGCGCAAATTAACAAAGTGCTTTCGCAACTGATCGAAACCTAAAGTGCAAATATTCCGCCAAGACACCGCCACCATCGGAAATCAATACCGAACTTGTGAAACACCTAACTAATAAGGACCGATCGCCAAATAAAGCAACTTTGCTTTGTATATTCCATAACAGTGTTCACTATTAGCGCACTTTTTTGCGAAAATTGCGAAGCACTTTCGCAAGTTTTTTTAGGGACTGCGAAATAGCACTTTTTTCCGCTTTTGAAGAGAAATAGCACTTTTTTCCGATTTTGAATGGAATAAAAATTCAAAGTTAACAAATATTTTCGAGTATTAAGTTGACAAATAAGTAACATACTAGTACCTTTGTAACTCAATTCTGCATATCATAACGATATTTACCGGAATTCTAACCTATGAGATGCAGACATAGGAGATAAAGGTTTTGCATAAACGGCAAAATTCTTGTTTATAATATGATTATTATACAAGCACACCGATTCCGCTTCTCCCACAAAAAACGCTCCCGGGTGATTGAAACCAGATGTTGGAATAATACGCAGTGGGTTTCTTTGAAGAGAGTGGTCATGTGACTATCAATGATATCGATGAATTCAAAATGACTATAAAAGTGTTATGTGTTATAGTCACTTTGGATGAATTCTGACCAAACTGCATGATTTTCAAATCAGACGAAACTTTTAGCAGCATGTCACAGATTTGCAAAATCACCAAATTCACAAAATACCATTAAGTGCCATTTTATTGTAATCACAATGTTGAAAGGAGTGGCATTTTCCGTAATTTTGCAATATTTACACAACTATTTCTCATTGATATGCGAGGACGGGTGGGCAAAATTCAATATTTTTTTGAATCGAATATTTTTAAGGAGTACCGAATAAACGTGGTGGAAACATTAAAAAATCGGCAACAAAGCCTTGTAATCGCTAATTGTTCTTGTCACCCATCGTTTTGGCGGCGATATCCAGGTTTTGGGTAATCTATATTCCCGCCCTCTCTTTTTTACAAATATGAATTCTTGTGGGTTGGCGGACATCGAAGTTTTATATTTCGGGTTTACCGGTTCGTTCACATCGGCAACAGCTGTTGAAGACATTGAGGACTCAAATTAACATTTGCGTTGGCTTTAATATTACCTATCAAGATTTGTATATTTACCGTCCCAATTTTATGCGAATGGTAATATTATTGTCCATACCGTGATGCAGATATTTATTAAGACGATAATTAACTTTCTCATGTATTTCTATGGTGATAAACTTAGCAAATCTGAAATTGTGCCAATCCTGAATGTTGATTTAAAATAGTGATTGGCACTGATTGAATAATTCGGCAATAAAGGCATTTCTGCGTGGTCATAAGACGAGATGACGTTAATGAACAGCACTTCTTCTACAGGATATTTTACGTATGCGACTTAATGCTAAAAGATTGGGCTCGAGTGCTTTTTTTTTCGAATGCTGGAGTGCCTAATAGAGGTCAGGCGCTAATTGTAACTAATTCCCTCAGGTTTCAACACATCAATACCCCGGCGATAATTATAGCTAAAATGTTACCGAGCAATTCACAATTTTATTTATGGAATTTGCAAATTCACCAGTTTCTTGACGATTTTGATATTGTCACGCCCTAATTATTAGTGCAAAAAATACTCCCCTTCTTCCGCGGCGGTTTGACGGGTTCTTTGTTCCAATCTTCAGAAAGTTCTGACACGGGGGATATAGAATACTGAATCCGGAGGGTTGAATCCCAGTCCACTCCCTTGTGATTTTCCGTTTTGAAATGCGTGAAACATTCTCTATTTTAAATTAAATGACGTTTCGCGGGCTAGAGTTCTCCCCGGAAATGATGTGTTCCAGGCGTTAGTTAGACGATAGATAAAACATTAGATTAATAATTTTCGTGACGCCCCGTTTTCGAAAATACAAAGTTATATCGCAAAAAATGCGTTATGATACATTTGGAATGAATCATTATTTACGGTTAATTCAGATCATATTTTACTCTTCATGACACCCGGTATCCGAAAATACAGTTGTATCTCGAAAAATGTGTTATGTTACTTTTAAAATAAAACATTTTTGCGATTAATTTAGATCATATTTTACTTTTCAGGACACCCGTTTCCGAAAATACAAGGTTATATCGTGAAAATGTGTTTTGTTACATTTAAAATAAAACATTTTTGCGATTAATTTAGATCATATTTTACTTTTCAGGACACCCGTTTTCGAAAATACAAGGTTATATCGCAAAATGTGTTTTGTTACATTTAAAATAAAACATTTTTGCGATAAATTTAGATCAAATTTTACCTTTCACGGCAACCCGTTTCCGAAAATACAAAGTTATATCACAAAAAAATGCGTTTGGTTACATTTATTTTGCATTCCCAATAAAATACATATTTTCCCTAATTAAGGTCGTCGATGAATCTGTTCCTGTCGTTCAAGCTGGACACACGTTTGGACGAGTGTGGGGCGGTTTTTTGGTCGACGATAAATTAAAAAGTTGTCATATGTTATTTGTATAACGATAATAACTGAAAATTAAGATTTTATAATAGAAGTGAATTTGTCTCAAGATGGTATTTTACGATTCCTGCCAACAGAAAATAAACACGCTGACAGGCTTGGTTATAATTGATATTCGTTTAATTTATTTTACACTATTAATAAACGCGCCAGACCAATTGCGACCATATAAATTGCAGTCGCATCGGTATGGACTGTATGTTTTTGGCGCTCTCACATTAATAATAATTTTCAACAAAACAATACCCCGACGGTTATTAAAGCTGATTTCGTTACCGAATAATTCACAATTTTATTTACAGAATTTGCAATTTCAAGATCTCACTTGACTATTTTGATGATTTCATGCCCTAATTATTACTGCTTAAATGCCTCAAAATACAACAAATGTAATCATTTTCGACGATAACAGGCGCAACAATTCGTAAACGAGACGTTATAACGAAATTCGCGATTGATTTTACCTCTCTCTTGTTTACAATTTTAACATCCCGCCGGCCACGTATGGTCGAATAAAATGTTCACATATTCGAAACATGACTTGGCCAAGGATGGAAGGGATCACTACAGAGCTAATAGAAAGTACATACTCGAGGGTATGATATTAATATCGAGAATATTTGTGAGCATATCACAGGACGGAAATATTTTGCACCCGGCTGTTTGTTGGCAGAACAACGATACGCTAAAGTTAATTGATCGAATACAGGGAAGTATTTATTTATCATCTCACTTGCGAACATCGAGGTTTTGGCGGAATTGTACGATCATGTTGTCTTTCTTAAATAATAACTTTTTCAATAAATGTTCATTTTACTTTTGCGTCTTTATTATATGTCTGGTTTTCATTTATTTTAAATTCGAAATTGTCCGAAATACTCCAACAGGTGTATAGGTACAATAATAATAGTACTTACCAAAGTACTTACCAGGGAAGTTTAATACTCACGATGTGTAAAGGGCGTCGTAACTCCCGTTTATTAATTATAAATTTTTTTACATTCTGCTTAAAAAACAACGGCAGTCATTTCACGTAACTCTCGCGACCAAATATTTTTTGTTTTGTATGGCATCGTCTTGGCGACGAATTTATTGCCGACTGAATTTTAATTGTGTTTTAGGTTAGTTATTTTCTGTTTGTTGGTTTCTAAACTTCCCAAACTTGGGTAGCAATTACTAATAATGTGAGATTTGTGCATATGAACGATTGAATATCGCGACTGGATGTCCGATATCTGAGAATGCGTAATTCTCTTTCAACATTAATTTTCAGGATATCAGCGTTCATGTGGTCGAATAAAAATTATTTATCAAATGAATTGGTATTTCGAGACACTCTCAAAATTATTTGGGATCCATTATCATATCATTCGTTTATTTTTTATATTCATGTTTTTCTCAAGGATCACCCTCGGTATATTTAGTGTACCTTCGCAAAAGAAAACTCTTTGATGTCATCGTTCCTATTAGTGTAATTGAAATATATGGAAACCTCGCAAGTGGCGTTGTGATGCGAATATTTGATACTAGGTCAGCAGCATTACAAAGAGTGCTATTTATGGATACTGAAAGTACATGACATTACTAAACATTTTGCCAATATATGATGTTTTCTGCCCGATTTAAACTAACTCGCATGCAAACCAAGGCATGTGGACATTTAAAAATTACTTGTCTTTGGGTAAGCTCTGAAATAGTATAATATAAATGTAAATGAGAAATTAGGTCATGCTAGCTCACGAAACGGGAGGATTTTCAAAGTGATCTTGTGTAATATTTCGGAGAAAAAAGTTTGAAAGGAAAGTAGGTCAACCTATCCCCTAAAACAGGGGAGTATCCTGCATAATATTTCGGAGGGAACGTAGGTTAACCTATCTTTTAAAACAGCGGGTGGCGACTTTCAAAGTGGTTCAAAATCACAAATTAATAATTATCAGATTAGGTTTAGGGATGAATCGAAAAGTTGAATTTCCAGCGCACCTAACCCTAATTAGTTGATTGCTATTTATATTTGGGGGGGGGGGGGGTTATTTTGCACCGGATTTGTACAAACGATCCACCCTGTAACTAATATGGTTTCCAGCCGGCCGCGTGTCTGTTAGATGGAAGGAGTAACAAATGTGAAAGTCTTTGCTGTTTACGCGAGTAAGCAACTGACACCGTGATACATTGCATGAAAGTTTTGTCCGCGGCAGGTGTTAGCAGATGTCATTTCGTTGCCGATGAATTCGCTTGTTTTAATTAAACATGAATTCGCTTAAAGGGAACTCGGTTAACGAAAAGGCTTCTCTTTAATTCATAATATTAACCGGAGGAGCGCTTTTTCGAGTATCTATGCCGTTTTAAATGGGTTATATGAAAGGCTAGGGCACCTAACTTGTTAAAATCGGCAAAAGCACTTTCGCACTTTTTTTTTGGACTGCGAAGCACTTTCGCACTCATAATTTGCTTAGAGTTAACACTGTTCCATAACCAAGCGGATACACTGATACAAAATACCAAACCAACATAATTTCTCGCAGACTGGCAAAAAATCCAATTCGCATACCAGCGAGTCAACAATGTGATCAAAAAAGCTATAAAAAGAATCAGGCAATTTTGGCGCCGTTTGGACAATAAATGGCTGAGTTATTGCTGAAAAATCATGAGGTTGGGGAATTTTACGGTACTTGTGGACCAGCACAAATATCACTTTCCAATTTGCAAATCCTATTCAGTATTCACCTTAGTGTGCATGTTCGACAGAAATTAGGCGACCCCGGTAAATCTTTTTCAGAAGGATAAAGCATGTCGTTTCTGCCATCCTAGTTTATATTCTAAGCAACATCTAAAATCACAAAAACTACCAGTAACACAGGTTTCTTGCCATAAACTACTAACTTAGCCAATTCTGATGATGAAATACTAAATAAACCACAACAGCAGTTGGTTCTCAAAGAGATAATAACCTTCATGTCACAAACAAGTCTTCTGCAAACAATGTTTTACTAATAAACATCTTCAATGGGCGAGAAGATGGGACATTTATTTACAGAGCATGACATACTAGGTACACTTGACTTGCAACAATTTAAATGTTTTGATTCGAATTTGAAGCAAAATAGAATAAAACACCAAAAATGATAAAGGAGAATCAACCTTTGATTGAATTATTAATTGAAGTCAAATTTAAATACTTCGTCTTACAGCCTACAACTCCTAACTCCGAGATGGCAAAAACCACAAGCTACCGACTTTGTCTCAGATTTCTGACGTCGTATTGAAGAAAATTTAGACTCCCGGACTCCAGCTCCTAACTACGAGAAAACTAAAATTTGATAACAAAAACTCTGGCATATCCTATACTTCTTTAAATGTCTGTTGAAAATGCTTGAATAATTTAATGCTTTGCGAGTTTCTCCTAGAAATTTGGACTTGAATTATCACTATTAAAATTCTAAAATTCAGACGCATAAGTTCCTAAAAAACTGGATAATTTATCATCATCGCTATGTTATGTACACATAATAATGACATAAATCAGGAGTTTCAAGAGATAAAATTACATAAATAGAAATCATATTAAGTACCTGTAAATATTTGCCATAACTCTTACTCCATTTAATGACCTTGCACTTCTTAAATCACGTAATGGTAGCTTAGCATCATCATTGAATGTAGCAGGACATATTTCACCAGTAATTACATCGACTGATATTCCAAATATAACTGGAGAATTAACTTTATGAGTCTCGCTAGGTTCATGATGCCCAACAGTATGGGGAAGGAAAGGTTTATCAACGACCATGTTATTCAAACTTGATGCACAGAAGGTTTTGAGGTGTATTTTTGCTTTCGGTAAATCTGAAAAAATTTAAAAAAATTACTAAAGAGATGAAAGATATTTCAGTGAATTTATATAAAATATAAAAACATAGAAGTTTATTCAGGTGTAATCAAAGTGTATAGTGCAGTGTCCACTGAAAGCATCCTTTTTTGTGTTAACTACAAGCACTTCCTGCCTCACAGAGAGCAAAATCACCTTTTTTGTTTTCAACGAAATATTTATAATTTGAGAAATAATTTGCGTATGAGTACTTGCGTAACCCAATTTTGTATTACTAAATGATATTTACAATAAATAATATGCTATGTGGTGCAGAAAGGGAGAAGAATCTATCTGAGATATCGCAATAACGGGAAAATTCTTGTAAATATTAATACCAGGTTTTATTAATGTAAAAACGCTCTGACTCCTTTTTCCCGCAAAAATGCTCCGCTGCGACCAGATATGGGAGAGCATTTAATAAAAGATCTAGCTCAGTGGTTCCCAAAGTGGGGTCAGCGGACCTTTTGGGGTCTGTGAAGCACTTTCGGAAGGGCCCCGAAAGAAATACGTTACATGGCTCATAGCTTGATAATACAAAAATTAGTGCTTATTTGTGAAAATACACATTTGTCGCCTTCTGCTGCATCAGAATCACTGCTGGAGACACTGGTTCTTCACTTTCTGTTTCGATCATGCTGACCCATTGTGATGTCACATAGCTGTGGGTCAATGATATCACAGAGAGAGTTCAATTGCTGCCATTACAAGTCAACTAACTGCAGAGGTGTAGGTTGTTTATGAAGTTATGCCAGTTCGCTTCTAAATGCTGTTGTATAACGAAACAAGTGCACCCATCTCATTAATAAAACTTCATCATATAATTTTGTACGTTTTAATGTTTCTCACTATTATGGTGTATTGATTTTTTGTTGTGATCTTTTAATAATGTCTTGTTTTGATGAACAAGGCCGGGAATCATGAAAAAAATTGTAAGGGGTCCGTCAAGAATTTTTTTTAAAAAAGTTTGGGAACCACTGATCTAGCTATTATTAATTTAATTGCTTCAACGTGACTCACGATTGCCTCAATATATACCAAAAACGTCTGGATCCCTGCCCTTTTTTGACATTTTTGGATGACTGAAAAAGTCGGTAATACCAAGTGCCATTGCATTTTCTTTAAATCACCGATTATTTTTGTCAGTGCGGTGTGCTATTTAAGCCGTAAACACCACTTGACATGGGCATTTATCTCTCTAAATCACAAATTTCCATCAACATGTTCCAATTTCCATGTCTTGTTCCGTGAGGACGACAATAATTACTTTTCGGTTCTCGCAAGGAATTGAGAGATAGATAAGAAAAACCAATCATTATATTATAATCATCGACGGCGAGATGCTAAACAATTTTTTTGATTGAAAAGCGGCATTGTGAAATAATGAATGATTTTTTTCCAACAGTAATCTAACCTCTCTTGTTTTCATAGGAATGAAATTCTTCTATAAGATCCAGGGACAGTCGATCTGATATTTTTCTGCTGTCATTGAAACCACCAATAATATGAAGATTAAGGCCTGATAATAAAATTGCAAAATAAAACCAAAAAAACTATAATAAACAGCTTTATCAATATAAATGAACAACTACAACAACAAACTTTCAAGGTAAACAAATAATCTGAATGTAAATTGTTTACTATATTTTAGACTAGAATATTATGTAAGTTAGTAGGTAGATACCATAATAATGGTTTATCACATCATTGTAAATGAACAGTGCAAACATTATTTCTCTAAAATAAGAAAAATATGATAATATAGTTGCCCAGCAATAAATGAAAAAACAAGATAAAAAGTATTTCATAGATTCTTAGTCTCTTAGGATGCAAAGCTTGAAAACATTCCTAAGCACTGAAAAGAAAACCAATTCTTGACAGAATGTGGAAACGTAGAATTGTCAATGTTAATCAGATAAAGTATGATTTTACTCAAAATGAGAATAATCACAATAAAAATAATAACCCTAGAAAGTAAATTCCGTTGCTAACAATAGAAATGCGAAATAAATTTAGCTTACGGTACATCATCATATCAATATATTATCACTGCAGTCTGCAGAATCATGATCAAAACCAGTGATTCTCAAACTAGGGTTTGAGAGCCGCATGCGGCTCTCAACAACCTTTCCTGCGGCTCTTGTTAATGCTTTAAAAAAGAATTACTTTCAAAGAAAATTTTCCGTTGAAAACTAATCATTGACTTGAAACTAAAAAGCGGAAGTCTATTAGTTCGTCGAATGGATTCCCCCGTGTTCATTTGCGTAGCGTTGACTAATCTACAAGATGCAATAGTAACGCAACAGGAAGTGTTTCGCGTCCACTCTGACACTTTTCACTTGAAAAGATTTTAGACATGGCTGTAATCATTGGCTTGCTTTCGTGGATTTTTAGTTTTTGTCGCATTTCCGAATATTATGTATAAATCAAATAACTCAATGAATATTTTGTTCCCGTAATCGAAAATATTCCCGAAATATCTTGCGTTCATCTCAATCAAAGCCAAATTAAATGGCTGTTTGTCTAGGGTGGGCGAAATCGGATTTTTTTTTTTCGAATCGAATAATTTGAATTTTTTTAACGAATACCGAATATTCGAATAATGAATATTTTTTTATACATAACTGGAATCCAGAACGTCGGAGGTCGATACTCCATTTGGAAATTAATAGAAACATTGAATAGTCAGCAATACAGCGTTTTTTTTACTGGTTAATAGTTAATTTCATCATATTCACTGATTGCCTTTGTCACCGCGATCGTTTCGGCGGCGATATCCTAAAGTTGGTGTTCTATATTCCCACCCTTTCTGGTTTTTTTGCAAGAATAAGGGGTCGCCGGATATCGAAGTTACATATTTCTAGTATACCTTTGCGTTCACATCAGCAACAACTATTGAATACATTAAGGGCTGATTTCAAAACCAAATTAATTTTATTCTGAGTCTTATCCTCTGCCTTGGATTGATCTTCCTTATCACCGCTTGTAATTTTCATGCCTGTTTAAAGTGAACGGTAACCGAGATGCAGATATCTATTAATAGTCCGGCAGAATCGGGCCTTAACATTGTTTTGAGACAAAGTTTTTTTTATTGTTTAGATATAATGTATATGACATATATAATGATACCCAGGTGGGTGTGGAGTATATAATGTTGAGCAATTTTTTTTAAGTGGATTCAAAGTATTTGGTCCAAGATGACGCACATCCTGAACCCTAACCTGGTAAACATACAATGTTCAGGTTGTGCGCCATCTTGGTACGAATATTTCAGGAGCACCTATTTGTTAAAAACAATTATTTCATAACTACATTGTTTAGTTTTGCATACATAGTAACATTGAATCTCCTTACAATGTCAGAAATTCAATTGTAGTAGAATAAATGGTAGTTTATTTGACTAATACAAGCCAAGATCCATCGACAGCATCTAGCCCCTTTCTATTGCGCTCTTCAAACTACATTTGCGTTGCCGCGCGCATTTCGTTTTCCTAGTTTAAGCTTAGGGACTTGGGAAATATTTTAGTAGTTGAATTAGATTGGAATATTCGAACTCGTCTTTCACTCCGAACAAGGCCATGTAAAGCCATCTACTGTTATCTAAAGATGTGTAACATGTTTTCTTTTGGAAGAACCGCAACCTTTCAGTTCTGCATTGACTTTGGCAAAATTAATATATCCTTGTGGAGAAAGAAGGTATGCGTATGCGAAACCGAGATGTGCACCTGTTATGCCAACATAGTTGAGTCAAACGTTTTGAATACTAGTACATCACACACATTTTCCTGCTTGCTTCGGTTGTACGTAGTAACGCGCACATTTTTGGCCCACATGCATCAAATTGCACTTGATTATTGAGCTATAGGTTTTGCACGAGCTTTTGTGTATGATTTCATTCCATAAAATTTGTATGCTGTTCTAAAGAATACTAGTTTCAGCTTTTTTATTCATTCAAACCGCGTGTTGAAAGTAAGTTTTGTAATATTGCGTGTTGGTTTCCAACATCCTTAAATCGGTGATGCCAGTAAATCTTTAATACAAAAAGATCAGTACCCACTCAAATTGCAGCTGGTGATGGATACTCTTAGTATATGCTCCATCGCGTGCCTTTTACAGTCTTACCAGTTACATGAGTGCCAATTAGTATCTAAGCTCAGCCAGAGACAAAAAGTTTCGGACTGCAGTTGGCGTGACGAAATGTTTTTAAATATATATTCTACAATAAGATTATTTGATTGCAAACTACTGAAAGTTCCGCCTTATATGTCTTTTCCCATTGCACTATTCCTTTACTGATATTCGATAATATGACGCTCATCTGACATAGTTCTTAAAGTGTGTAGATGGGTATAATCTTTTCCACGCTGTTCAGATGGGAATGCGCGAATATATATAGGAATTGCTAATATTGGTTTGCAATGCGATGAAATCCCATCTTGGCATTTCTGCCTCTCGCAATTGCTGCGTATACTTATCGGGGAAGTTCTGTGGCGTGGTTATCAAATGAAAAAAAACATGGGATTATTTTATCTACTTCTCTACTACTATCAAACCTTGACATTTTGGGAAAACTTTTTTCCATGCAACCTTTTTTTAAAACATCCCCAACAACCACAATTAATTCTGTTTTAAACTTCCGAAACAAACACATAAAATCATCAACAGATGCATATCCCCAAGTAGATATTGCTGAATTGATCTTTATTTTACCATTTTTCGTGTAATTCTTTTTGGTAAACCTGTTATCTATCATAAATACAGCACATTTGACAATGTTGTAGTGTGACTTTTTTGGCCTCACATTTTCGATATTTGTAGTTAGGGCTCTGTCAAACAAAGTTACATACAAAATATTGGTTGTAAATTGCAAAACATGATCATGTTGTTGGAATAACTTGGCATTTTACCACCCGTATATCATTAATTGTTGAGAATATTAATGAAATCATTAAATTTAAAAATATGTTTTCGTGAAATTGTTGTTGTAGCTGAATTCCAGGGGCAGCATGACAACAGGCAAAAGAAGCACGGTCGCCTCTTTTAGTTTATGACAGGGTTTCTTAAAAGGGGATCCCGTCCTCCTTGGAGGCCGCTGATTGGTTATCAGGGAGCACGAACAAACAGATGGAAAGGCGAATATATAATAACAATGTATTTTTATAGAAGAGAAGAAGCAAAAGTGTTGAGAGTCTTTGGTAGTTTGAAAAGCATTGGCATGGAACATAAGAATGAACTACATTCTTTCCCAGGGATATACTATAAAATGTAGCAATTTTCTCATTCTTGTTCTCGTGATATCATTATCTTTCACTACGTCGTCGTGATCATCGTGCTGCATAACAATTCTCGCTAACAAATAATTGACTGTTCTCCACCGGGTGTATATCCACTTGAACCACTGGCGACTGCATTAGCAGGCTTGTATTGTTAATTGCAACAAAAACGGGTATTTTGAAATAGCACTCTTTATTTCACGCGTATGATTCGACAGTATTTCCATATACTGTATATGGGTCGCGACCAAAAGCTGGGCTCAACAAATACCTAAAAGTTATTGATTTTATTTCCTAATAATTTGGTGCTTGCGTCGTTTGTGCACCAAGATTGCGCACAACCTGAACATAGTATTGTAACAGGTTATGGTTCAGGTTGTGTGTCATTATGATGCAAATTTTTGACGAAAAACACTAATACAAATATCTCAATAAACACCTAAAAGTTATTGATTTTATTTCCTAGTAAATTTGGTGCTTGCGTAGTTTGTGCACCAAGATTGCACACAACCTGAACATAGTATTGTAACAGTTATGGTTCAGGTTGTGCGTCATTATGATGCACAGGTTTGACGAAAAACACTAATACAAATATCGAGCCGTAAAAAAAATTGCTCAAGGCTGCAAACTCCACACCCATGTAGAAATGATGGGCAATGACCCCAAGATGAATAATCACAATTGTCTGAAATCCAACTTGGGTCAAAAAGTTCCCCTTATCTGCCGGACTATAAAATGATAATTGAGTTTCTCATGCTTTTTCTATGGTGTTCGTGTTATTTTAGTATTAGATAGATAAATCTCGCACAATTCACGATTTAGTTGGAGATGCGCGAGTTCGGTGTCCAAGCAGAGCGACGCAGGTCACGTGGTACCGGATAATCGAATAGTAAATTGCCATTCGAATATTTTATTATTCGAATATTTTGCCCAGCGCTAGTTGTTACGTGTGTTGTGTTGTTACGATGATTTGGTATTTTAAATACGCACTGAAGGATTGTTGCTATTTTACCTTGCTTTGTTTGTGTGCGGCTCTTCATAACTTTGACAGTTGAAATGCGGCTCTGGGATTGAAAAAGTTTGAGAACCACTGATCAAAACCATCAAACAATATAAAGATATTTACCTACACCTCCTAAATGTGGAGCAGACTGCTGAATTACTTCCTCCAAAACTGCATCGACCATTTCATTCACACCCTGACTTGTTCCAACACCATCAAAATGACCAAGAGCAGTAACTTTAGTAGCTGGACACCGTAATACAACTATATGGCAGGTTGTTGCCATGTCTGTACCAAGTTTTGAAAGCTGAAAATGAACAGAATATATCATAAAAATAATATATTTTCAATGGTATATCGATGGGAGCTTCTTTACAAAATATTTCTGTAATACTGTAATGCACTAAACCAAATAAAAAACTCTCCTGGGTCGAGAGTTGGGAAGTTAAATCTCAAATCCTTGCTTGGGGTGAGATAACAGTGAGAATTCAAGAGATAGAATTTCCAACAGAAACATGAACATTTTTGCAAAAGTCAAGGAATTTTGATGTCAAACTGGTTAGGCCTACTCATTTTTTTATAGAAGTTGGCTCAAAGCAATGGATGTTTCCCATTGATTCCTTGTTTATTTCCCTAACAATGATCATTCAGCAAAAGTTAACAATGACGTAACAATTGTACAACCAATCCTATACCTCTTAGACAGATATTCAAGCATGGTTGCAATTTGCAAACTACGGTATGTTTTGTTTTCATGGTTTTGCGGCTTATTTGTCAGTTTTCCACTATGTTTTAAAAATTAGTTGTAAATCAAATAGTGCAGTTGCAATGATCAAAACTGATCAAAAATCAAAAACACTACAATAGACAAGCCTAAAATTGGCTATCAGTACATGTAGCCTACATGGCAAATGGTTTAATGTTTTTCATAAAAATGATAGTTTCCAACACATAAACAATTCTTAAGCAGCAACTCTCCAAAACATTCCTCCGAATTTTGCAATGATAAAGTATGGGGGGATTTGTTTCAGTAGTCAAAGGTTGGAGAAACGTTCATAGGCCCAGACAAAATGTGAAAATTACACAAAGTATGCTACCATGAGGAGAATCGTGACCACACTGAAAACTAGATGTAGATTTGTTCGTGAAACAAAGACACTATGAGAGCTAGATATAGATTTGTCCTTGAAACAATGACACACTAAGAGATATACACTAGATATAGGTTTGTCAAACAACAAAATGTCATTATATCAGTAGTAATGACGCTTGTCCAAAAGCTTAAAAAAAACAGTCAACGCTGCCAAAAATACAGCAAGGTGAAAGGGAATTTCGGAATAACACTCCCAGCAGAGAGGTCAAATTTGTTCGGTTTTGAATATAAAAAAGCAATTTAGGGCAGGAATGTCATACAGACAATTGGTGGAAACAGAAATCCTAGTCTTACAGTTCAGCCAAGCTAGTAGGACACGGGTGCCAACCCGCGGCCCGCCGGAATGTTTTTTGCGGCCTGCTCAATAAATTTTGTAAGCGAACTTTTTATATTTTTACTATGTTATATAGGCTTAAGTATTTTTCGTGATTTTGGTGTGATTATTCCTACTATCTATCTACATCCAAATGCCGGTACTATGCGTTCTGGTCGACGAACTCGAAAGATATTGTGCGATCAGTGGCGACGAATGCTGAGCGCAATTATAGGAATGAATTTGAAACCTAACTTTCCAAATTAGTTTCATTCTGATTGCTTTCTTTTGTGTAGGCTTTGATCGTCTTTATCGCCAACGTAACATAAAAAGTCAACAATACCTTAGCTGCTGGCTCCTGGACTCGTTGTTCTTTTATGTTTGTATTTTTGTTTATGTTATGTTTGCGATAAATAAAATTTCGGAAATATCGTCACTGCGTCAATAATTCTGATAAAATTGACCTAATGACAATTCTACATATTCAAATTGGTATATATATTCGCCTAGAAGTCTTTGTAATGTTTCTTCATTGAATACTTGTATTGATGTTTCAAATTTTACGAAACGGCTCACTAAAACTTGATGTTCCCGAACATCAAGCTCATTTAAACATTGAGACAATATCATAGCCATTGGAAAAAAATAAGTAAATAAAGCCATGACTCAAATATAAGACTCAATTTTGAGGTCCTTGTTTGTTAGTGAAAACTGTGGGCCGATTCATGTGTGGTGTCACAATTCCACAAGTGCGTTTTGTAATGATTGATTTTTTGATTCAGCGGCCTGTGAGAGTCATGTCCACGCCCCGTGTTACCAGATATTCGAATACTGTAGTACCTAAACTGCTATTCTATTATTCGACTCAATATTCCAATATTTTGCCAGCACTAATCAGTAACCAGTTCATAATTATTAACTTGATTTATTTTATGTTAATAATTTTGCTATTTATGTATTATGTAAATTCTAACGAAATCAGGACTTGGCTGATATTAAAGTTTGGTACAAACGTTTGCGACCCGCATCGAATTTCGTCATGTGAAAGTGGCCCGCGAGACGAAAAAGGTTGGGCAGGCCTGTAGTAGGATATAGAATTTTCAGATTTCAGGTATAAAGTAAAGTAATAATCATGCAATTTGTGAATTTAAAGAAACAAATTGGATACACAAAAGTATAATTTTATAACTATCGAATAGACTCTACGATGTAGCACTTACACTCTCTGAATTACAATTGAAAACTGCAAATTCTCTTTGATGAACATATAAAACGTTGTCAGCAGATGTGACTTGCTTGAGATCAACATTTTTCAAGTCTTCTGCACATTTGTCAAATGAATCCTTGTAAATCTGGATTAGTTTTTGATAATATATATTATGATAGTTTAATTAGAAGGCTAACTTAAAGTTTAGTTGATTTTGCTAGGTTGGTAATGGCGTAATACAGTAATGACAGTAAGACACAGTTCTCAGATTCCAAGATGTCCTGAGATTTGGTTCAATAACACAAACACTCAATCTGTTATGAAAACGAGGGCATCTAGCGCGATGGCAGATGCGCTAGAACGCGCCATGTTGATCTCAATAATAATTTAAACAAATCATGTTGGCCGCACATGACCAAAGTTCTCCCCTGCGGAAAGTTTTTTGTTGAAAACTCTCGAATGCTACCAGTTGCCAGCCTAAAAAAAATTTCTTTCTGTAAATCGGATTATTTTTCCGGGAATCCAATGGCTGAATGGCAGAATGGCGACGTTTTTGGATTGCGGTCATTTTAGTTACCAGCCCACTGGAAGTACTTGTGGTACTGAACTACAATAGACCCCAAACAGGGCACCCGACCCAGACACTGTAGTCTAGTACCAGCAGACCGGTAAACATTCGCATACAGCCAGTGGCGCAGCCAGGGGGGGGGGGGGGGGGGTTCGGGGTCGAAACCCCCCCCCCCCTTTTGAATTTTTTTGAAAACAGAAAAAGTCGCGGATAACGCGTGCAATTGCTTTCTGCTAAAATCGCCCTATGTTTTCATCAAGGCGGCGTGTTATTTAGGCCGTCTGGTTGGTATTTATTCGCTCTAAATCACAAATTTGTGTCACGGGAACAATTATAATTATTTTATTTTTGTACTCGCATGGAATTGTGAAAACTGAAAAAGCGTGCAATTGCCTTCTGCTAAAATCGCCGATTGTTTTCATCAGTGTGTTATTTAGGCCGTAAACGCCTTTACGTCCGCATTTATTCTCTATAAATCACAAATTTGTGCCACGATAAACATGATGATTATTTTATTTTTGTACTTTGCAAGGAATTGTCAATTTGGTGAGAGTTATTATACGTTCATCGGCGGATAGATTCTAAAGACAAATGAAGGAGTAAACCCGCGATCTAAATTTGACTGAAAATCGGCAATATAAAATACTGAGTACAAAACCGTAAACAATAGGCTATAAGATTTGTTGAGTCCCGCGACAGTCTAAAAACGCTTTTCTAGTCTAAAAACGCTTTTGAAAATCGCAAAATTTCGTGTGCCTAAGGCACACATTATGTTTCCTCGCTGTTTAGGAACATACGACCATTAAAATCGAAACACGGTTAAATGTGGGTGGGATCCATTACATTTAAAATTGTCGTCGAAAATTTCAGCGTTATCATTAAACAAGGTTTTCCCAGTTAGTGATGATATATAAGATAATTAATCTGAAATATATCCATCAATTTTTATTCTACTGAAATAAATTTTACTCCATGAGAATTTACAGCAGATTTACGGATTTTTCGAAAGCTTTTATCTTTAAAAATAATCGGAGTGGCAGCATTGCGATTCAACGGAGTCAATGTTACAAGCACATCTCCAATTTGTCGAATTCGCAAAATAGAAAAAATACGGATCAAAACAATGTATAATAGGGCAGTTTACCACACATTTTTATGCGGAATTCCGTGGTGTTTTAGAGTGGATCTTGTTTTGTCGGCGCAACCGCGGGTTAAATTGAAGACAATTAAATTTATAAAGCAGGACATTTTAAATATGCCCTTATCGGCCATGGATTGGTTACCTTGCGCTTTTTCGTTGATAAAGTCGGCTCTTTTAACAAGTGGCGTAATCACGGCGACTGTTCCGCGTGGATTTCGAGGCGGTGAATTTGTATTTTTGATTTACTAGTATACTTTATAAATATTTTCATTGTATGAATTAAAATTGTACTATATGGGATTTTATATCAGATATCGAGATTTTTGTAACGGCGATAACGAGTTCGGAAGATTGCAAAAATATGTATCAAAATTAAATACATCAGGCAGCTTATCTCATATTTTTATGTCCACATATCGCCGTGGTACTTTAGTTTAGTAATATTTTTATTTTGACGTAAGAAGTCGCAACCACGAGTTAGGTTGCACACAATTAAATCAATATATAAGGACATTTTAGAATCTCGTGGCTGTCATGGATCGACAGAAAAATCATTATACGCTTAAATAGGCGGCTCTTTTATCGAGCGCGTAATCGCGGTGCTTGTTGCAGACGGCAATGGGAAGTTCCGACTTTGACCCCACCTTTTTTTTTAAATCCTGGCTGCGCGCCTGAACTTGTGCCTGTTTATTTTCGTATTAAATTATAAATAAAACCTGCAAAGTCATTGCGTGAATCCTGAATGTTATTTCGAGTTCAAATGATGATTTAATAAATCGGCAATAATGGGAATTCTACTAGTCAAATGGATAATTCCTTGGTAAAATTTAGGAAAAAAATTCGCACAATAGCTTGTTACTTTGTTTTGCATTTCTAATTTTTACGAAACGGCGTTAGTGCGCTTTATGCAGAACTAGGAATTGAAACAATAACCTAATACGACTCCTCAAATTTGTTATTTTCTGTATGTTAGCAAGAGCCGTGGGCTAATTCTCGCGAATTCAAGAAAATTGGTTCAGTGACGTGCAAGTTCCGTGTCCGAGCAAAGCTGCCTAGGTAATCGATATATGAGTAGCAAAATGACATGCTAATACTTAGAGAATGACATTGACAGGTTATTGTTACGTGACGATACACAGCGCGGTGTTTTTCGGTAGGCGATCCAAGTTCGCCCCCCCCCCAAATTATGGAAAGTGTCCGCCCCTATTTGAATTGTCATAATTATAACAGTATAACGAAGTCAGTCTAGCACACTATACAGATCGAGTGACATTGTCTCGTTTCAGAGAAACCCATTTTACAGATGATCAGACACCCCTCCTTTGGGAGATGTCTGGACATTGCTGTCCCTCAATTTTGGTAAAAATACAGTATAATGAAGTTGCGCAAAATACTACAAAAAAGCGCTACAGGGGTGGTGACTCCTCTACGGCCCATCCACGGTCCATCTAATTGGGTCACATGGGCCGTGGCCCATCAAGCTATGGATTGAATTATCTTACCAAAATTTTCAATTTTTACGTGAGATGGCACCAAATTTTTTTTTACGATAAGCCTTTACATAAAAATAAAGCAAAATACCAAGCTACAGAAAAGGATACTCCTGTAGTATGTGTACCAGGTTAGGGTTAGGAAAAAATAATCAGATTAACCGAAGGAAAACAAATTTTACTGTGGCATGCGAGAGTTTTTAACAAAAAACGTCAATTTTGGTCACATGACGCGGCTGACGTGATATGCATGCATGACGCATCTGCCGTGATGCCAGAAACCCCTCGTTTGTGAGACACAGGGAGTGGAGTGTTTGTTTTATTGAACCAAATGGAGGGAAATTCTTGGAATTGTGAAACTTTTTATATCCGTCTATACCTGTAATTACAACATTTTAACGTAGCGTCTTCAGTTATTTAGAACTAAAACTTCCAGAACGGACAACATATTACAAATTACGAAATTATTTTTGAGTTATCTATTTAAATTTGAGCGCCAACAATCCATAGTAAATAAAAGCCTCGATGCGGCATTGGATTAAATTATTTTGCTAATTTGATCTATGTTTTCCGATCTATTCTTGTATTAATTACGCAAGTTACCATTTGCGGCATACGAATGCATCGATGCGGCATTATATTAATTGATCCTTGTTTTTCCCCGATCAATTCTTGTATAATTTACGCAAATTAACATGTGTGGTATATGAATGCATCGATGTGGCATTGAATTAAATTACAAAGTTAATTAACATTTGAGGCATGAATGTATCAATGGGCATCATATTAATTTGAATCTTGTTTTATACCAATCTATACTAGTATAAATTACGCAAATTGAACATTTGTGGCATATGAATACATCGATGCAGCATGATAATAAATTATTTTGCTAATTCGATTCTTGTTTTTCGTCGATCCATTATTGTATAAATTAAGCAAGTTAATCATTTGCGGCTTATGAATTATATTATTTTTGTATAAATTGTCGTCATGCCGCCGATCATTTTTTGCTCATTTCTCTCAAACACTTCGGTAATTTTTTTTCTCCTTTGGGAGATTTGATTATTTTTTTCTGAGAAATCCAATGTTGATGTTCTTAGCTTGCGCTTCTCTTTAGTTTAATAATGCGCAACTTCGTTTTTCCTGTATTTTTACCGATATTGAGAGACATCAGCCGCCAGACGTCCCTCGAAGAAGGGACTTCATTTCCTATTTAAAATAGGATTCTCTGAAAACAAAATCTCTCGATCTGTATACAGTGCCGTATTGTGCCGTACCACTGTCAGACTGTCTGACTGTACAGGCAGATAGGCTGTATGCAGGCGCGCAGCCAGGATTTTTTAAAAGGGGGGGGTTTCAAAATCGGAAATTACTAATGCCGTCTGTAACCTTCAACGCGATCACGCGCTCGTTAATAGAGCCGCATTTTCAGCTTCTGTCGCGTAAAATATTCAATTCATGACAACTACGAGATTCTAAAATGTCCTTACGTATATATTAATTTTATTGTTCCCAACGCAACTCGCGGTCTTTACTTTCTACGCCAAAATAAAAACATTACTGCCGTGGACATAAAACAATGAGATAAGCTGCCTGATATATTTAATTTTGATAGGTATTTTTGCAATCTTGTGACCTCGTTATCGCCGTTAGTAAAATCTCGATATCTGATATAAAATCACGTTTAGTACAATTTTACTTCATACAATGAAAATAGATATAAAGTATACCAGTAAATCAACAATACAAATTTATTGCCTCGAAATCCACGCCGAACAGTCGCCGCGATTACGTCACTTGTTAAAAGAGCCGACTTTTCTAACAAAAAATGATTTTTCACTTGTGCAAAGTAATCAATCAAAGACCGATACGGGCATATTCAAAATGTCTTGATTTATTAATTTAATTGTCTTCAATTTAAACTGCGGTTGAGTCGACAAAACAAGAGCCACTCTAAAACACGACGCAATCCCCGGACATAAAAATGTGTGGTAAACTGCCGGTTCATATTTTGTTTTGATCCGTATTTTTGCTATTTTGCGCATTCGATAAATTTGAGATGTACTTGTCACACTGGCTCCGCTCAATCGCAATGTTGTCACTCCGATTATTTTTAAAGATAAAACCTTTCGAAAAATCCGTAAATTTTTTGTCAATTCTCACATAGTAAAAGTTATTTCAGTACAATAAAAATACATAAATAAATACAAAAAGTGATCGAATATACTTTATTTATCTTATATATCATCAGTTCATCACAAACCGGTGAAAAGTCGCATTCTCAGCTTTGTTTAATGTTAACACAAAAATTTTCGACGTCAATTCAGAGGTAATGGATAAAAAGGCAAATCCCGCTCACAATTGACCGTGTTTCGATTTTAGTGACGAAATGTTTTTAAAGGTCAAGCAAACATAATTTGTGCCGTTGGCACACGAAATTTTGCGATTTTCGATGCCTAGAAAAGCGTTTTTAGACTGTCACGGGCCTCAAAACTTATATTATTTACAGTTTTATTTTTGGTATTTTATATTGCCGCTTTTCAACTTTTCGACATAGTAAATGCTTTGATCTTTGCCCGCAAATTATGCTGGGCCTTGCACGAAATCCATAACGTAAAAAGATACGTCCAGCGGTGAAAATTGTTTATAACAACTTTAGATCTAGTTAATTTTTTAGCGATAATAATTAATTGTTGTAATGAAACACAGTTTGCCTCTTTCACTTCTCTCGCAAGGGCCAACAATAACACTATTGAAAGATTTTGACAATGAGAAAATCATATTAAATTGTACAAAAAAGCCGTGCAAAGCCGTGGCGCGTGATCGGCGGTGCGTTTGAAGACGGAGTATTACCCCTGCGGGCGCGCATGTTTCACGAAAATGTGAGGTGCTCCGAAGGCGCATTATTGTAAGAAAACAGTTATAATATCGGTAACTATTAACCGTTTAATTTGATTTTCGTTTTTCACCGATGTATACCGGTACTGCCCTATATGATTACATATACGATGATTTTCTAAACCATTTTATTCAGTTCAATGTTGGTAGTGCATATTGAAATAATGGTGCGTAAATACAAAAGTCTTTTATACCGCTAAATCGCTTAACTTCGGACAGTTCCTAACTTCGAACAAAAAATTTGAATGGCCATATCTTGACTAATAAGCGTCGTATATTAACAATTTTAATTTTTATAGGTAGAGCTGTTATAAATACATCTATTCTCAACCTTTTTTAATGTTGTATAATTATTTTTTTCTTGAAAAAACGAAAATATTGCCGAAAAAAGCTATCTGTCGAGAATATTAATATTTCAAAGACTTACCAGCCGGTTAAAATGTTTCATTGTAGATCGAAACGGTTTGCATGAGATTAATTTGCGTATGTTAATTCCTGATTAGAATGGCCAATGTGTTATTTTACTGATCTGACGTAACTAAAATACCAAATAAATGCAACAAGGTAAACATTGGACGATGGAAATTTCAAATAATGCATTTTTCGCCAAGCCGTTTTGATGTTACGTTACGACGCCGATCGAGCGTCGTTACGATCGATGCGGTACGTTACATTCCCTGCAAATTTCGTGCCCATCGGAATATTTTTACTATTGAAATAATCGTTTTTTCTTGCCATCTGACCATTATCCTTCACTGCCCTAACTTCGGACAGTCATTTTCCTCACTGCGTAACTGCGACGCACAGAGAGAAAGAGGCATCCGACGCGGATGACGTAATCACGTCGTTGCCTGAAGATAAGACGCTCGATCGGCGTCGTAACGTAACATCAAAACGGCTTGGCGAAAAATGCATTATTTGAAATTTCCATCGTCCAATGTTTACCTTGTTGCATTTATTTGGTATTTTAGTTACGTCAGATCAGTAAAATAACACATTGGCCATTCTAATCAGGAATTAACATACGCAAATTAATCTCATGCAAACCGTTTCGATCTACAATGAAACATTTTAACCGGCTGGTAAGTGAAATATTAATATTCTCGACAGATAGCTTTTTTCGGCAATATTTCCGTTTTTTCAAGAAAAAAATAATTATACAACATTAAAAAAGGTTGAGAATAGATGTATTTATAACAGCTCTACCTATAAAAATTAAAATTGTTAATATACGACGCTTATTAGTCAAGATATGGCCATTCAAATTTTTTGTTCGAAGTTAGGAACTGTCCGAAGTTAAGCGATTTAACGGTATAAAAGACTTTTGTATTTACGCACCATTATTTCAATATGCACTACCAACATTGAACTGAATAAAATGGTTTAGAAAATCATCGTATATGTAATCATATAGGGCAGTACCGGTATACATCGGTGAAAAACGAAAATCAAATTAGCAAAATTCGAGAGCTGTGCCGATCTGTGCGAGACTTTCTGAGACGTATAGAGTCCCCTCCCCGATATGCGTTCACGTCACATTTACGATCACTGCCTTTCAGCGTCCTGTTTTGGCCAAACTAGAAATAGTGATAGATTCCCGCTTGGTATACATAATCCATACCTACTCGCCTACCCACAGCTCGCTTCTCGTCAAATTTCGTCCAAAAATGAGATTTTTCTGAGTCAAAACGCCACTAGTGGTCGAAAATGACCAATTTTAGAGCACGAAACCTCTTTTTCTATTTCAGAAAGAACGGAAGCATATGGGGAGGTTAAAATAAAGATAGAGCCGTGAAAATTGGAGTGGGAACAACTTATATTCTCTCCTATTCGTCGCCGGAGTAATGCGTCTCTATCTTTATTGCATCGCAGATAATTCCACGTGTGAAAAAGGGCGCTCGCGATTTCCACTTTGGTCACATTTGCGATCAAGTAAAAATGTAAGATCGAGACCCGAGTGAAAGCCCATTTACTTCGAATGGTGTAGACAACGTATCAAGAAAACTCCAGAATATAATAAAGCTCTTATTTTTCACATTATTCGTTTTAAAAATATTGCATGATATGTAGATTTCCGAAATTAGATCACATCTTTCCCCACAATCAATTTATAAACAATCACTGAGGGTTCAATAACGTAATAAATTAAATTTACCTGCCCTGTATTTGCCGTAGGTTACACCAACCATGTCTGCTCTGAATGTTTCTTGTTGATTTAAATGTTTTTGACCGACCTCATGATTCTTAATGTATCAGCTGCCCAATGTCAAATTTCATTATTGTTAACAAAAATTTTTTTACGAGCACCATTTGTAATTATTTAAATTCATCAGTTTAGGAGTTGACATAGACTACTTGCAGAGCACATTGGGAGTCATCGAAAATATAGGTTTAGCCTCTCATTATATCGAACAGCAATGCGTTTCCGGCGGAGCCAAAAATAGTATATCTTTGGGGCTTTGATCACATTGATTGTATGAAAACACTACTTCTTGGCATTTGTAAAGCGATAATTTGAGCGCAAAAATAAATTTGATAACATTGTTCTCTTGCAATGTAACATACCGGCTTTCTACAGAAAGATTAAGATTTTTGTACACATCGCCGTGATGGGGTGAGGAGACTGTGCGTAATTAATCATATGACAAGACAAGGCTTTTTCCAGTCACCCGGAATCTGTTCGCCATACTGCAAATGTATACACATGTTGATTGAATACAAACCATCGTCCTAAGTACCTAACTATTGTATCACTAATAAAAAAAGTAGGGGTATTATTATCGGTTTATCGAATGGACCAAGGTTGAGTCGTTATGCTATTCAATTTTATTTGTCCCGTGTAGAATCAAATACAGTAATCGGGTTGGGTTGGTGAGATTCGGTTGAAAAAAACGTTTGTAATAAGCTTGTCGGATGACAGTATTCGCGTCAGCACACCGAAAAAATGATTTCGCAAACATTTTCCATACCTATGTAGGGTCTAAAGCAGGAACGTCGGCGCTCCGATTGGCGAGATTTTTAGTGATCGCAAATATACGTTGTTGATCGCAATTGCCCCACTGACATGGTGAAAGTAGAGGCGGTATAAACGGTTTTCCGGTCCACGGTACCGGCATGATTTTAAGGGAAGTGAATTGAGATGGATTTGTAGAGTATGTTAATGAAAAAATGAATTGTTTTCTGTGAATACAAAGCATATTAGAAGCATTTTGGTAAAAATGATCGCATAACGGCGAGGGGACTCTATCCAGACATCTGACTTTTTCACGCATCAAGCTTCCCACTGACTCGACAGCCCTCATTTCAGAGATGCGCATGCATTTTGTTGTATTACAAAACACGGTACCGGTATCGGTACCGCCACAAATCCGGAATCGGGATAGTGTGCCGCACTGAAATATTGTACTGTCAGACTGTCATATCCAAGCACAAGGTTCTAAAGTTGGTTGTCTAGTTGCACAGGGTTGTGGTTTAATGGTTTATATATGTTACGGTATACAGTTATAACAGAACCCTGGAAGCGGTACCGGTACGGTACCGGTACGTACTGACTGACAGACTGAAGTAACATTAGGTCAGTCTAATGACTAACCTCCAAGAAAGTCTCCATACTTTCTAAAACTTTCGTCGGATTTCTCAGGCAACTTCCATCAATGAACAACGCCATAACGATTTGCTGAACGTATTGAACAACAATGAAGAAAACGAACGAACACAACAGCTCAAGGAAAACACGAAAGCATATGTCTGTATGTAAACCTGATCAGTATCAATGATCCGATGGAAAACCAGGTGAAAATTATTCTGAGGTTTTAAAGCGATTCCCACGCGGACGCGGGAGACTGGCTTTATATTTGGCGTTTCGAAAGTTACGTTATGTTTTATCGACGAGCATATATAGCCTACTTATTTTTCTGTTTCTTAGGTTTCGCGTAAAATGTATACATACACTACTTGTTGTTGTTATATGTTTTATGGCGCTAATAACTTCAGTGGTCTTTTGCGACTTTGATCAATTCGAATTTAAAAATACTATACTAACAATGCACATAATGCACTTCAATGTACGAAGTTTATACCGTAACAAAGAAAAAATTGAACTCTTTCTTAGCCAGGCAATAAACTTACCTGAAATAATAGCCATTTCGGAAACCAAACTTGGTAAGACTGACCACAACATTTCATTAAAAGGGTATAAGTTTTTTCATCGTGACTCACCGACTAATGCCGGTGGAGTAGGAATATATGTACTATACAATACACATGCTATAGAACGTGACGATCTTAATTTTGAAGTCCTTGGCTGTGAGAACATTTGGATTGAACTTAAAATTAGTAATACTAGTTATAATATACAACAACAAAAATTTATAGTTGGAGTTGTTTATAGACATCCTCTTTATTTGTATTCTGAATTCCAAGAAAGTTTTGTTTCAATGATCTCACAGCTCAGCTCATATGGTTCTAGTACATTTATTCTTGGGGATTTCAAAATTGACATTCTTAAATATGACATTGATCACAGAGTTAAAATTTATGTAGATGCTATACATAGTGCAGGTTTTTTGTGTGGTGTAAACAAGCCTACACGACTAGGCTTGACAAGTGAAACCCTATTGGACCATGTATACCTTAATGATATGCAACTAGAAACGTGTACAAATATTGTAACTAATGACTTGGTGATCATTTTCCCTTACTAATAGAGACAAAACTAATGTGTGAAAAATGTAAAATAAAATTGCGCAAACGAGATTTTTCTTATTTTTCGCCAGAAAATTATCTAGAACATCTCACAGATGTACTGAACCGCAACTTAAACACAGAGTGAGATACTAACTCCAATTGTCACATTTTTATCAAAGAAGTTATTGATAACCATGTGCCATTAAAAACCTTGTCTAAAAAAGAAGTTAAAATGAGGATAAAACCTTTTACTACAATAAATATGTGTTACCATCTGTCCTATTTTCTCTGCTTTTCCGGTATCATGGGCCAATGAACGCAGACTTCTGCATGACGTAACAATCAAATTAGTTAGCTGTAGGTGGAACCCCAGTGGTCGGATGAATATCAGATGTACTACTACTGCTCCATTTTGCGTTGAGTAGCCTTTCCATAGTTTTTTTCAGTTATTATTAATTCAGTTATTCTAAGAAAGTGTTGAGAAGGATAAGTAAGATATTAAACAATTGTATATCCTTACCATAAATAGCAATTTTAGTTGAGCACTAGCTGATAAGACGTTGTTAAATAGGTACGGTGCGGTAACTCCAAGGAAGGCTAGACCTAGAATAATATGTCACAAACAACGATATTTTCTGGCTTGCATGAAATGTTTATGATTAATTTAATGACTTTTCTTGACTATTCAGCAGACTTATACTACTATATAGGCCACAGCATATTTGGAAATAGAAATTAATGGCTGTTTCTGTAATGCACGGTTGTGTGAGAGAGAAGAAAATAATAAATTTTACCAATGTCGGTTGGTCTAAATCTAAATTCATAGAGTCGACAGGAACCTGGGAAGCAATGATAAGTTATGCCGGAGTGCAAAGAAAGTAGCATTGGAAACGATTGAGAGGTGAGAAATCAAGTTAATAGCCTACAGACAGTTGATGTTTTAAAATATATTCCATACTCATACTGTAATAGGGCATTTCAGACTGTGATATATCAAAATTTAGTGTAGATATAGTCTAGTAATGGTATGCAAACACTGCTGGACTGTAATACATGCAATGAGCATATATACGCTCATTGAGTACATCAGATAAAAATGCATTATGTATTCAAGGTATTAGTTAGTATTTAGTGGTATTTTTACACTCATGCTGTTCCCAATATGATTTCTTCTTCATTTTAGATACTGTACTACAAAAGAAAACGGCAATGTTCCACCAATCCGACCTAACGCAGGCTCTAATCCCTGCTGCTATCAGTGCTTTAAAATGGATTAAACAAGAAGTCTTGAAGCGTAAAGTTATATGAGAATCATAATAGTTGCAAACAGCTTAGATGGACTATTCATATTGAAATACTTTAGCACTTTTCTGCAATTGGAACTGCCCATCAAACTCATGTAGGAGACTTCATTGAGGTTTTCAATTCACTTTTTCTCAACTATGAAGATCTTTTGAGGTTAACGAGGCATTATTAAGTAAAGCTGAGGAATTTGTTTGTTCACTGTACGAAGAGGATATGAAGAATGTGAATGATACCAGGGCACGTCTATTTAACACTGGCAAACATAAGGATTATACTCTACCACGCAACAATGATTCACTGAAGAAGCATGTGGCCCTCAAATCAGTTATTGAGTTGGCAAACTGCAAGTGTAAGAAAAATAGTCGAAATAATTTATGCAAGTGTGCCAAAATCAACTTGAATTGCACAGATTTTTGTTTTTGTATTGACTGCAAAAATCACAGTACACTTATAGAGGAAAAGTCAATTTTCGAGATAGTTGATTCCCAAAACAATTCAGAAGAAAGTGAATTAGATTTTGCAGTTGTAGATATTGCAAGCTTTACCAAATAAAAGATGTGTACTTGGTATTTTCCTAGACATGGAAATAACTTATGACATGGTATGGAAAAGAGGACTGCTATACAAACTTAAGTTTATTTAATTCTAGTTTAAAAATATGCCAGTAGCATAGAGCAGAGGTGTGCAAACTGCTGCCCGCAAAGAAGAATTGTGCGGCTCGCGAAGAAGTGCCAATTTTGAAAGATGTGCCCGCGAAACGAGCTTTTAGTTTTATTAATCTGGAACGTGCGAGCAATTTCAATCCCCTTGCGTCGCGAAGCCTATACCAGTATCCGAGTGCCACTGTCATATCAGTGAAACTAGCTAGCAAGAAACTGTTGGAAAATAAACAATGTTATAAAAGGTTGTTTCTTTCCCACTGAATTCGTTTAAAGTCGGTGTGACAATAAATTTAAATAGCTTTGAAAATTTTTACGTTTCAACTCAACATTTCTGCCAGGACACCGAACAATGCCGACTTTTTCAACGGGTATGTAATGGTTTTTCTGTTGAATAAAATATTCAATCCATGATTGATATAATTATTTAAAATGGTTGCTTTATTCATTTAATTGTGATAAATTAAATCTGCGATTGCGTCGATAAAATAAAAGCACCAGTACTCCAAAATAACACGGTAATCCGCAACCCTAAAAATGTCGATTACATTTTGTTTTGTATTCTTGCCAATTTCACCAATATGAGCTGTCCCTGCAACTCTCACTCCGCTCTATCGCAATGCCGCCACTCGATTAATTCCAAGATATTACCGTTACAGATATTCCTAAGTCTGCAATCTCACAACACTACTGGTGTGCCGCACGCACAAGGAATTTATGAGATATTCAATGTCTAAGAAAGTGTTTTTAATCTGTCGCGGTCCACCCCAAAACAAAACTCATGGCGTTTCCCGTTTCATTTTTAGTATTTTATAATGCCACTTTTACTATAAAGAAATTTTAGTTACGGATTCACTTCTTTAGCATCTCGTCGCTGATGATTATAATAAAAACTAACTCGTTTTCCTCAGAGGTTTCATGGTTCCCGCGAGAACAAAAAAAGTAATTATAATCGTCTTCGCAGCACAAGAATATGTCGAGGTAAATTTCAGATTCAGGAAGAATAAACACCGAAATCAAGATTTTTAGGGCTTAAATAACACGCCACGCTGACGTAAACAAGGGAGATTTAAACAAAATGCAATCGCAAACGCCTTAGCGATAACAATTGATTGAAATTTTACGTGGCTTATGTAAACTTTTAAGCAGAAAATACATTAAAGCATAGGTTTATTGCTTGTTTAGTTTTACTTAATAAATAGTTTGACTTTGCCAAGTATTGCAAACTGAGCCGAAAAACGAGAATGTATCATGACCAACCACTATTTGGCTTTATACATACGACAGTGAATGGCGAAGTTGTACTCCGAAGCGTTTTCTGCCTAAACAATCTGAGCAATGACGCTATGAGACCAACACTCAGTTATAGCGCTATCTAAATATATAACAACTTGTCCATCACAAAAGCATTTTCTCAAAGCAAAAAGGGGGGGGGGGGGGGCGCGAAGTTTGTAAAATTTTTCAAAGGGGGGCGCAGCTCAAAAAGTTTAAGAACCACTGCTCTCTTGATGTCAGTCGCCACTCAACAAAAAATATAAAAATCACTAACGCGCATATGCAATTTTCATACTGCTCTATTATCCGGTTAACCGTCACGCTAATATCCGGATATCAGATAGCAAAATAACTCTTGGTTAACCGTTATCCGGATAATTCAACCTTAGTAGGTGTTACAGGCAGAAATTTAACTTTCGTGAATTAACCTATTAATTTTAGTTATTCTGGTCCCGATAAACATGTTTAGACTTGCTCTCGTTTATTTATTTGTTTGTTTATATTAAGAGCCCTGACCGAGAGAAAGTTTGGCAATGATGGTGCAATACTCTCTTATATCAGCTGATTGGTATTCATGCCCTTGTTATTCTTATGGACCTTTCCCCGACCTTTGACCCCCGAAAAATTCTTCCTATACTTTACCATTGCAAAATTTTCGGGGCTATTTTAAGAGTGCTTTTGCGAGTTGGCGCCTGTGAAATGGGGTATGCGTTTCAAACCATCATTATGATTCATCGCATACAACAATCTGGTTTTTAAAAGTACCGTTAAAGAATTTTAGCCTAGTCTATCACAGCTATTTCTACACTAATTTTTATTACCGCAATTAAATTAAAACTCA